GTTGTCAAATACCTAGCATTGCCTACTGCGGATAGGACAACCCAAGTTTGAGAGAAAGAGACAATCACCCTTATGCCTCTCCTTTTATGAGACTGAGCCAATAACCTTAATTTGGGACAAATGAAACAGTCGAATAACTGCAAGCAAACGGTTCTGCAGATTCAAGGTGGATGACTCCTCGTATTCATGCCACGTGATCGCCAACAAGGCAGAATGTGGCGATGCTCGAGAGTGACCAGGATAATCTAATTTTACCTTCTCAACATCAAACAACAATATGGCTGCAACCCGGGTTATTACCTCGACTTCTATCGATATCCGCTCATGGCAGACCGTGTTCCGTCTGCCGCCTCCTAAACGGCCCCAGTCACCTCCGTATCATGCCCGACGACCGCATAAAAAGTCCCGCGCTGGCTGCATCATCTGTAAACGGCGGAGAGTAAAAGTAAGCTTCAACCGCAATGCGTGAATGTATACTCACAGGTGCGTATGCAGTGCGACGAAACTCGGCCTTCTTGCAGGCGATGCGAGAAGCTGGGGGTTTCTTGTAATTATTCCCAAAATCAGGACCTTCAGCAGATGAAGGAACCAGATGGCACCGTATTCTCTCTGTCGCTAAAGGATCTGGAATCCAAGGTCAACCAGGCTTTAGCGACAGACTCTGACTGCCTTGAGATTGGCGCACTGAAAACAGCCAATGACGCTCGGCCCATAACGATCGTCGCGTTTCAGCACTTCATGAACCATTCAACAGACACCGTTGGCCATCCTTCCATACGGCATGTCATGAAGAGCGATATGATCCGCGTCGCATTTGGGGTGAGTCCCTTATCTACAGGAGTACTTGCAAGAGTACTAACATATTTAGTGTCCGCATTTAATGTACACAATCCTAGGCGTCGGCGGCCTCCATCTCAGCCGGATCCGTCCCCAGGATCAGACCTGGCGACTTGCAGAAATCTACTTTTGGCAGCAGGCAATCAAGGCATATCAGGCTGCGCTGTCATCAAAGCTCTCCCCGCAGAATGTGGACGCTCTGCTGTCAACCTGCATGTTCATGGGTATTACATCTCTCTGCCCAGATCGCTTCGAACCTACCGACTCATGGGTTCTGACGAACGCACCCGGAGCAATGAACTGGCTTTGTCTGCAGAGTGGCCTCCGCACCATTATCGAACTCGCGGGCCCTTACATACAGTCCAGCATCTGGGCATCAGCATTTCAGCAAACACACCAGGAAGAAGTCCAGTTATACGAGGACGGCGTTACCCAAGGCCGTGACGGTCTTGACCCTGACCTGGCTGATTTATGTGGGGTTGATGACTCGACCACTACATCGACGAATCCGTACTATGAGCCTCTGAAAATCCTGGCTGCCATATCCCTCTTGGAAAAGAACATGAAGAATGCTTCCCAATGCGCGACTTTCATGGGCAGGCTGGAGAATGATTTCCTTGCACTGCTCAGGGAGAGGGACCCGCCTGCGCTATTGATACTGGCGCAATGGATGGGCCTCATGTGTACGCTGTCCGAATGGCAGCCCTGGGTAGAGGGGCGGATCCGCGGTGAATGCAAGGCGATCTGCATGTATCTAGAGCACAGCGCCGACCCCCGGATTCAGAGGCTGCTTCGCTTCCCGGCGAGTGCTTGCGGATACAACCTGGCATATGTTTAATACGCAACACTATCGTCTATCTCCGTTATATTGTATCAGTCCACTACTCCTTGACCGCAATCTCAAGTACCTCCGCCAACGAATCCACCGCATAATCCGGCCTGAACGATTCGCATTCCTCCTTATCGCCCTGTCCAAACCGACACCAACATCCCCTCGCCCCGATATTGCGCGCATACACGAGATCCGTAATCGTATCCCCGACCATAAGCACCCTGCCCGGATCCACCTCAAACCCCTCCCCATATACCGCCTTCAACCGCGGCACCAGCGCCTCCGTGAAACTCGCCGCGTCCGGCTTCCTCTTCGACCCGGGCGTCCCATCCCCGATGATCAGCTTCTCATTGACGAACTCCGCTAGCCCCGTTCGCTCCAGCGCCGTCTTAATCGGGGGAACCGCCTTATTGCTCACGATCGCGATAGGAATTCCCCGCGAGTGAAGCCCAGCCAGTAGCTCACGTAAACCCGGGAACGGATTGGTGAATTTCTCCTCGTGCATCGCGTAGAGGGAGCGGTAGGTCGCGACCCATTTTTCCTCGTCGAAGATTGAAGGGTCCGGTTGGAGCGCGCGGAAGGTCTCTGGGAGGCCGGCGCCGGTGGCCATTAGCTGGCGGGCTTTGGTATAGGGGATTTCGTAGCCGGGGAGGAGGGTGGTGAAGGTTAGCGTTGCGGCATGTTGGATTGCTTCGCGGGTGTCGAAGATTGTGCCGTCGAAGTCGAGAATGACGAGGTTGGTCAATGTATGCTCTATAGTCATGGTGATTTCGTTAGATGGGATGGTAATGATGCTCTGAAGTTGAGATAGTTTATCTGGGATAATGTGAGTCATGTAGGTGGGCGGTTGATAGTCATTTTGATTCTCAGGGGCCGAGGCTATTTTAAAATAGTGGATCCTCGGGATTTCCCCGACATAACTAGCCACTAAGCAGATCATATCCGATATCTTGTTACAGCAATGAATAGGTATTCTCATTCAATGATACTCATTGACGTAGGGATCCCACATAAAGACTAATAATGAATAGGGGCCCGTCTGATATGCTTTCATATCTAAGACTTGGCACCAGCCAGGACAATTCGTCATCCACTGCCATCTAAGCGAGGTCGTTGCGTTCGCGTTTCTGCAGCTTAAAATACCATTCCTCGATAAGGAGCAGGAGCTTGCGGGCTGATATAGCATATTCCTCACTCTCGTTTCTGCTCGCTCCCTTGGGTAGCAATCTTTCTGCTTTGGCTCCGCTTAAGACTGGTCACTGTGAGGTGTGCGACTTCCAAGGACGGAAAGTTTCAAGGTATTGTAGTTGAACAGTCATATGCCAGACTGATTCGTCTCCCGAGTGTGATTGCTGTTCCATGCGCAGAGCCTCTACATTTCGGAATTGGGGGCCCCTCTGGGCAACTCCGCTATTCAGCGTCGCATGGCCTCAATGAGGTCAAAGGCTCTCCTGGCTACATGCTTCAACAAGACACATAGTAGTACAGCCTTGGCACCACGGTAGTTAAAACTATAAAATTAGTCGTCTTCCCACCTTGAGTTAAAACTCCCCCACAATGGATTCCTACATGGTCATCATCTACTATCTCTTTCTCCTGCTGCTCTTCGGATACTTTATGGCCTTTCACTTTTTAAATATAACTTCTATCCCATCTTCTTCTTCTTCTTCCGCGCCATCTCCAGACCCAGCTTCAATAAACGAACTAGTGGACGAAATTGACGACGACTCGTTCTATCATCACCCATCCTGGCCCCAGCGATGGTCGCACCCAGAATTTACCGGCTGCTATTCAAACAATTGGAGAAAAGCGCCATGGTCCAAACAGGAAAGACGTTGGACCACACGCTTCCTAATTCCCTCGATGCGTTCGAAGTTCCCGTGGGGCTATATGATTTATCGAACAGTCTACAACGCTGAGTCGGACGAACTGTGGCCTATCGCCATGGATAAACTTGCTCAAATCGTGAACGATTCGATTGAGTCAGATCTCTATGCAGAAATTCGTCATAAACAACCAGAGGACCCGGAGCCTGATTCAACCGCAGAACGACTAGTGAAGGAATCGCGTAAGGACGTTATCTTCTCCGATAAGAAGTTCTGGGACGGGGCCGGTATCGAACAGGTTCGCCAACATTTTGCCGAGTATCTCCGTGCTAGTAAAGGTCGCGGCTATGGTCGATATGAAGGGTGCCTTATCATTGATGAACGATCACTTAAGTCGATCGTTGCTAGTCCTATTACCCGTCAAAGGTACAGTCGACCTTATGGCTTCGTTGGTATGATCGATGGGCGGTATCCTGAGACGCGGTATGATCTGCAATACGCTGGCTTTATGCGGGTTAAAATTTCTTGCTTGTGGCCTCTCTATACGGAGTTGACCAGCAAGTACATGTGGGAACTGTGTCCCTCTGTTCCTGAGGGCTTAATCCCTGTTTATGATGGTGGAACTGGGACAGCGCATGACGAAGAGGGAAATGTCCATCCGATTGCGACAGATCGGGGCGTTCGGCTGTTTTGACGGTTTTATTTGTTCGCATAAGCTTTGGAACTGCTGTAGCACAATTCCACTTATAGGAGTTTCTTCCTACATGAGAAGCAAGGGCTATGTGAAGCAATGTGGAGTATTAATGGGAATAGGAGGATAAAGATAAACAGCACTAACCGTATCTGTTCTAGTCTTTTGGTTTTTAGGACAGCCAAATTAATCATTATCTGTCATTGTCGCCCCATCAGTTATGGCTTGAGGTTGATACATGGGACAATGATAAACAGAAAGATCCGCTTAGCTGAAACATCTTACATGCCAATTCGCTCGCGGAACGGATGTAATACTTGCAAGTGCGATTCCACGAGCACTCCCGTGTTCAGCCAACACTGACCGTCCTAGAATCCGTAAAGTCAAATGCGGAGAGGAAAAGCCCAGCTGTATTCGATGCAGCACCACAGGACGCAAGTGTGACTACAGTACCCCTGCCCCATCGCATCATGCTTCAACATCAGCATCTAGTGTTGTCTCGGTACTGGACCGCCCGCTTTCGGTCTCACCGAGTAGTGTGTGGCTCGAGCGGCGGGCATTTGCACATTATTACCTACACGCTGCGTCATTCATTGCTGGGGAACTGGACATTAACTTTTGGGGCGGTATTGTCACCCAGGCATGTCGAAGTGAGCCTGCGGTGTGGGACGCGATCAACGCCATCAGTGCCTTTTTTGAGAATCCAGATCCGTGCTTCGATCCTGTCTGGCTCAGGCAAAACGACAACAGATCTCAGCGGTTGCGTCCTAGCCACAGTGATGCATTACACTGGTACTCACGCTCGTTGGCCACTATGCGTAGGCAAATTGACCGGGGCAGTGTTGACATGAACATAGCGTTGATTAGCTGCATCTTGTTCATCTGCATAGAAACGCTGCAGGGGCGAGTGGAAGAGGCGCTACGACTGTACCAGCAGGGAGTCAGTCTCATCTTCGAGCTGCGGGCAGGTGGTAGGACGAGGTCTTGTCCAGACTCCACCCTTTTGGAAGACATGATCATCCCTGTTTTCGTGCGACTGGGCACAATTGCGCTAAGTATTTCAGGCGTCCCTGTCAGTGGCCTGTTTGACGAAAAGCAAGGTCGTACTGGAAACACGTTCTCCTCGCTCAGCTCGGCCCGTCTTGCAATGACGGCTCTCGCTGCAGAGGGCATGATCTTCCAGCGCACTGTTGAGGAGTATTTTGCGACCAAAGGCCACGAATGCCCCGTTCCCATAGCATTCAAGAGCAAACAAGAAGATATCCAGCAACGGCTGGCAGAGTGGCACCGAGCCTACACCAAGTTAGTCAACTCGTCTGACCAGTCGGAACTGCCGAGGAGTGTGACGTCTCTCTTGCTTTCCTTTCATGCTGCCACATCAATTATTACCACCGTTTCCACCGAGCAGCTGGAGACTGCATACGACGCTTTTCTACCCCAATTCCGGCTCATTCTTGAACAGTCCGCTGTCCATCTTGAAGCTTCGGCAGGCCCAAATGGCAAGCAGCCGCCCTTCACCTTTGAGATGGGGCCTGGTCTCTCGTTGTTCCTGACCGCTATTAAGTGCCGTGACCCGTGGCTACGCCGAAGAGCCTTGGAATTATTGAGAAGGGCACCTCCACTGCAAGGGCTGTACAAGTGTCCACCGGGTGCGACATTGGCGGAAGCTTTTATGAAATTGGAGGAATCCGGGTCTGCGTTTGATGCACCTGACCCTGAATGTGCAGGTTCTTACGGCGAAAGCACCCTTCGGATGCATCCCGTTTTAGAAGGACAAAATGCAAGGATTGAGAAGTCCATGATACCTACTACGGCCCTGATACCGGAGGAGTCCCGAATCCATGGCTACTGTGTTTTCCGGCCGCGAGACGATCCCGGGCCACTAGGTGATTTGGACATTTCCAAGTGGAATCGGAGTCCTGATCAGATTTACTTGAAGTTTTCACGGAATCGATTTGACGAGAATACAAGAGCGTGGCGAATGGTCCATGACATTGTTCCGATTGACTATTGATATGTCTCTATGATGCCATGTCAATCGGCCAGACGGCTTTCACTATAGCTCAGGACTTGCGAGCACATCATGATAACAACCTGCTCGCCAAAATCAGACGGTTACCTGCCCAGCAGGATAACCAATTCAATAACCCTGTCCTCGCTGCTCAACAAGTTCCTTTTCTTTGTCTGAATGACTAAATTGATATGGAAGACAAAACGGTGGTAAGAATGGACTGAAAGGGGAATGCAAGATTTTTGCACTCGCACTGCAATAAATATGTCTGTGGACCGTCTTGAACAACGTCACCAAGGCACTCCATGTGCCTCATACCTAATGACTTATTCTCTCTCTGAGAGCGATACCAGATGGAAAGCCAAATTTAGTTCTTGTCACACGATAGTCTCACTAAGGAAGCTGCTAATATGATTCAGCAAATCATGAGCGAAGATAGACATCTACTGTGGTGGTTCAACCCGCCACTGGTTAACAGAATCTCAATACACCGACATCGTTTGAGAAACGCTGACACGACCTGATACTGGGATTCACGATGTGCAGCAAGTTTGACAGTATAGTCCATTAGCACGTTATTGTTCTCTTTTCTGGACAGTGCCCCTGGTTGTGTGTTTGGTGTCTCCTGTATCAAATTGCAGGAAATACCCATAAGTATGGAGTTGGGGGTGCAGCTGACAACGAGGGCCTTCCAGTTAATTATTATCCACTTGCCAGTGTAGAAACCCCTCAAGCTGCGTTAGGAGTTTCCCCGTCTCCCACACAACTGTCATGATGGATTATTTCCTTCACTTTTGTTCCATTTTTGCTCCAAAAAGATATACCGTGCGTGCTGTTGAGCATTCAGCCATTGAGGTAACACCTTGATAAAGGGGATTCCACTGGCCAGTTAGACTCCTTGCCAAGCACGGCAAACGAACTGATTTTGGAAGCTCTGGGCCGAGCAATTGACTGGCAAACTCGTGCTTGAGCTGCGCGAAAGGTGTTACTGTTCTCAGCGCCACGTTAACGCTGCCAGAAACACAGCGAGACACAGCCGAGTGCATAGCTATGACAATGCACGGCTATACGGCTTACTCGGGTTTTATTTATTTAGCTAACTAACGACAATAACCCTGTCTAAGTGGTAAGTTACCGCTCCATGTTTCGTCAGTAGTACGTACTAAGGAGGGTTTAGACACCCATTATTCTCGATAAGTAGCAGCTGCCACACAAGGCCCTACTGTGTCTACTCCGACAGAGTGAAAGCTCGCTGCTACGTCCACTTGCTAAATATTCCATGTTCGCGGTTAATCGTGGCTGGCTGAATGACATCCGTGCATATCACCTAGCCTGGACATCTATTGCAAGATTGGACAACCTAATCAAGGCTATCGCGGTCTCGATATATCTGGAGCGGGGTTTAGTGTCCAATGGATACGGAAGCGTTATGCCTAGTATAGATTGGATGTTTGTTTCGCGGTGGGAGGACGACGACGCTTCTCATTCTTTTCCCAAGAACAGTCGTAAACAGCATGTTGGCCTAGCTCAAATTGTATCAATTCTGCTACAGCCCTTCACATTGTCACGCGATTACTGTAGGACCGAAGATTTAAAGCTGGACTTTTCCGCAGTACGTCGAGCACTAAAATTCAGGCGCCACTTTATGAACAGACAGCAGTCACCATGCCATTTACCGAGTATGTCAATCATTACTGTTAACTTATTGTGTATATTTTCATAACCCAGTCGCAGAGGAACGTCAGTTACATTCCCCACCGTGGACGGAGATTCGAATATCGGCACCGTTAAAGGATTCGAGGTAATTACTGCACAGGCGCATATATGATCAAGAATGAGGACTCACCACTCCTAAAAGAATGGAAAATACCTGGTTGAGGTCGAAGATGGCAAGATCATTGAAGTTGAAGAGCCAAAAGCGAAGGAGTTCAAGATTCAAATGTCAAGGAAGGATATATTTGACACCTTCAAGTGATGGTGTGTACAGTTGGATGGAGGGGTGGATTCATTTACCCTGACCCCTCACCGAAGTGATATGCATGTATAGGCGGGGTCGAAAACGGGATCCCCCAATGATGGACTCACAGTTATTCTACCATTTATACTTGAAAGAAACTACGCAAAACCCGTATCTATACTCTGGTCAAATATGTCATTGTAAAATATCTCTAAACCTCTATAGAGCGGAGCATAATGTTCTAGCTAGGAGTTCCAGAACGGTTGGACGAGAAGGGCTGGCTATCTGGCGATCTGGCTAAAACCCACACACTTTCCCATTTCCTCCGTAGCCTTCGTCTACATTTACCTCTTACATGGCGAGGTCTATGGTACTATACCCTCCGGTGCCCTGAGAATCACGTTGGTCGGTATTTCATGAAAATGGAACTCGTGCTTAGCGTTACGGAATCGGCAGGATTCGGCGATCAGCATCAGCTATGATCTGAACGCACCGAGACAATCCATCTCACTTGCTGATGCACTCAAAGTCATGGATAATGCTCCAAAATCTATTGGAATACAGCGGCTAGCTGAACATCGGATTTGCCAACATTAGAAAGACATGTTCATAACTTGGGTTTAGCTCCTGCAAGGATATGGATATTCGGCGAATCTGAGTTCGTTGAATAAACCATCTCAGAAACCAAGTGGTTGCCGTCTAATACTACTACAACAACAACAACAACAACAACAACAATCTAAATTAAGATGCTTCCAATGAACAGTTCGCGGTGTTCGTCACCTAAGCCTCACTTAGCCTGAGCGGGCTTTCAGCTAAGCCACCAAAACTATGAAGTTATTAAAAACTTTCAAAGACAATGAATTAAGACATATGAAGCGATTGGAAGTCAACTCACCAACACATCTCACTAGTAGTAGTTCGTATCTAGGCTCCAAGCGAGTTCGCACTGATTTAACCACTGCTGCAAGCGGACTGGAGCTCTTACCATCAAACTCCTTCTTTGAATACAATATCAGTACAGTGCAAGTGCTAGGAACTAGTTTAAAATTCCTTTACCATTAATACAAAGTTTGTCTTAAGTGCAGTATGCAATCATCCGTATTGACTTGAATTCCAGGCAGATAGGTTAGGACTCCGACTTGCCATCAGCTAGCCTCAGCTCCACATTATCCGCGGAGAGGAAATCCGCCGGGGCCCAACTGGCTACCTGCTTGATTGGCCTACGCCTGTCCGCCAGGAGACGACCGGAGGGTTGGAACGGTCTTAGAGGGCAATCACAATACAGTAAAGGCTGGCTGCACTTGTTGCTTTTTTTTTATTAAACCTAACCCCGCTGTACGGGCATATCCAGCACATCCTCGGCCAGGGACAAGTATAAATTGACGAACGATGTCTCTTAAAGCTGTAGTAGAAACGACAACTGAAGTCACTTAAAGATGGTTTTCTCTACCTCCTGCCGGAATATTTCGCTCGAACATGATCCCAATACAGACCTAACCTATTTACGTGCCGAGTGCAAAACGGCGGATTCCGGGGAATGGAACTCTAGTTCGATTTGCCTTGACGAACATCTCGGAGTGAGCCGGCTGTACAAGGGATTCGACACTACGGAAGGTAAGACAGCCTCTGCTCAAGGAAAGTCCCTACAGTCGCTTCTGGAGCCTGGTAGTCTGACCCTCAGGGGTACTTCGGTATTGTATGGTAGAGTCTCCGGCGTGGATGGTGGCTGGGAGGCAACTATCTACCTCGATCTTCTCTTCAATAACGACAACGGGAAGCTGGTGAGGGAGGGCAGATCGACCAGTCTGATGAAGTCAGCCGGACTTATCAGATCCTCCGTGGACGGCGACATAATGTCGCTTCTTCTCGCACCGGATGGAAAGCTATACGTCTCTCGGATGTCGATGCACGACGATTCGGCACTTGATAATGAAGGCCGACTGAGACCTTACAACGGTGATCTCTCCGCCATGGAATATCGGCAATTATTCGCTAGTTATTGGGGCATCAGCGGCCAAATGAGAAAACTGAACCCTATGGGGGACTGGCAGGACTTTGACCTCCGGTTCGGTGAGCAGCTCAGCAACGCTACTGGGAGTATATCATTGGAACCTCCGTAAGCCCTCCACCTAAGAATGGAAAGCGTTGTGGCACCTATCTGTCCTACTCACGTCTAATATATAGGTCTGAATATGTGGAGGATGAGTACCCACACTCGTGTCACTTGACACACAAACAGGGTCTAGTGAGTCTCGGGTTTACTATTATAGGGGCGGAAGCGTTAATAGTACGTATACCATGTCTATGGCCGAACTCTATGGCCGAAAGCTTCCCCCAATCTGTCCATAATAAACTGACAGTCTCCTGCAAAAGGACGAGGAAACCAGGACAACTGCACAATGCATCTATATGTCTACTATTCTGGCCGGTTACCTTGCGGATATTCTATTCTTCGGCAGGGTCGGGGCGGCTTATGGGTCTGGTTTGGCCCCCTTGGCTGCGTCTACTGTTCGATCCGCCATGAGCCCTTTCGTCAGCGACCCCAAGATGAGAGACGAGGTGGCCGCGGTTGCTCTCTACAGAGTGCTGAAGGAAGAGGTTCCAAAAGCCGCGGGAATCGGTGTTCGAAACGTTATAGCACTTTACTCGGGCGAATCAGCCAGAGACTGTCCGAATCAAGATGACTGTTTGAATGCGCTCAAGGACTACGCAGCAGCAGAGTTCAACCGCCAAGGTGTTGACTCGTCTATACTGCAGGAAATGACACTAGGATGGGACAAGTATGGCAATTCCTCCCTCCCCATGGAATTCACTAACACGCGCTACAGAATCCTTGAGACTGTTTTGGAAGCACTTATTAACGGAAAGTCGGAGGACGACATTAAACACAGCTTTGACGACTACACTCACGATGGGGTCGATCTTCTACCACTTCCGCAGTCGCAGTCGCCGTCACCGCCTCCTGAAAAGAAGAAAGACGAGGGGACCGATTACATAGGTAAATGGAGACAGGATATCATTTCCGTACAGGATCAGTTGTACCTTCTCGAGCCGAGCGTTGGCCTTGACGTGGAACAGAGCACTATGCAGGCTCTAGAATCGATTGCTAATGGACTCACCGGCCTTAACGGACTACTCGACTTCTGGCCAGATTACAAAGGCGATGATGCGACTAACGAGCAGCGTAAAGCAATAATACAATCCACGACCGAACTCGTTGCGAAGGGTACCGAGACAGTCAAGGATACTGAGGAAGGCAACTCGGTTCTCAACCAGGTATGTTCCCCGTCCACTATGTATGACCATAAGCTAAGCCTATCGTTGCTTTAGGTGCTTAAGCTAGCACAAAATCTGGAGAGCCTCAAAACCCAATTCACAGACGAAACGGACGCCGAGCAAGCCGAATTGGACAAGCTGAAACCCGAGTTGCAAGCGGCTGTTGAGAAAATGTTTGCCGATCAAAAGGTTTACCAGCATGCACAAAACGGGCTCACGGCAGAGGTAAACAAACTCAGCGAGGAGGAGCATAAACACGGAGCGGAAGCAACAATTGAAGTGCGTACTTCCACCACTTGCTTCCTATCACCCAACCTAACGATCGTAGGACGGCATAAGGTGGTACAGAGATTTGCTTCGAAGGCGTACCTCTGCTCTTGCATCCGCTCAAGCGGCAGCCGACACAGCAATGGAAACATACCTTGAATCTGAGCAAACTGTAGTCCACCTACAGGCCCGCCAGGCAATGCTCAACGACATCCATAAGCGCCGGTTCGCAGTGCAACGGGAAATCACCAAAACCGAGATGATCATCCGCGACCTGAAACTGATGATTGAAGGCACAAAGCGGGAAGAGGAGCGGATCCTATCCGTGGTAGACCTCATGTCGGCCACGCTGACCGACTTATTACACATTGGCGAGCCTCCGTACCATCGTCCGAACCGGAAGATCGAGGATCAAGTCTGCACAGCGGTCTTGGCGGTTCACCGAGAGTCTCTGATTGATGCGTCCTTTGTGGAGAGTGCACGGAAGGCGGTTACGTCGGTCCTAGATTGGTTTGATGATGTTATGCCGGAGGCTACGCAGCGTGAGATTGATGCGATAGTGAAGAACCCGCTATATCAACAGTCAAAACGTAAATTTGACGGAGCGGCCGTCGAAAAGGACGTCGAAAAGGATGTCTAAGAGGCTCTTGAGCAAGATGAAGCTATCGGTCTCGATCTGTTTGGATGATTGTTTACGGGCCCCATAAGTGTATTATTGTTGCACTCGCCAGCCGTCTTCGCACAATCCACGCAAGCAGCACCTATCTTCGCCCATCCTGTTGAATGTCTCTCGCTCGCGCCCACACTTGCTATTACTGTTTGTTCTTCTTTCTCAAGCATTTCTCTTGTCATTCTGATCACTTTCTCTCTTCTGGATCTCGCTCTGATCATCTATTGCCGCTCCTAGCTACCCTGCATCCAAAGCACAGAATGGGAGGCTGTATGCCGTTTCGCACCCTGCTTTAAAGCATTGCATAATGCTCGTTTGTGTGCTTGGCGGCTCTAGAGACATAAATTTAAGACCTGAAAGGATCGACGGTTACCAATCGTTCCTGAAGGGATCACTGAGCAATCTGGAAGAATGCTTAATCTGGATGGACTTTTATGGAAAAACCATGTAATAGGCATAACTAAACAGTTACTCTACAGCACATGACTTACTACCATAGGCGTGAGAGAACCATCGTTGTCACAAGAGGAACTGGAGGAAATATAGCCTATATTGGTTGAAGCCTCAGGTCGCAGGTATAGAGGTAATCTGATGGCGTACAAGGACCAAAAATGATGAAACTTCCAGCTAAGTGAAGAGGGGTGGTCAGCTTCTTATCTTACAAGGCTGTCTCACATGACTTTTGGCGTAGTTGATGGCCGTCAAGACTGCTTATGGGCAAGGCTGCCTAGAGCCAAGAAATGTCAGCCTTGTTGACACGAACAAATATTAGTACATGATTCATCGGTCGTCTTCGATTTCCCAAAACAAACAAACTATCTCATCTCTGGACTATCAAGAATCTCATTCCTGTTCTATTTGTCATCTCAACCTTCCATGTCTCAATCACCTTATATCTCGGTCCTCGCCACCGTCTTGGGAATCATCCCTATCGGTTTTGGCGTCAACGCCATCCTGCGTCCCGCCCATGCATTGACTTTCTTCGAGTTTGAACCACCCGTCGCTCCCGGAGACCGAAGCCTCGTTGACAGCCTGCTGATTGTATATGGCGCAAGGGATATTTTCATGGGCCTTGCCATCTATGCTGCTGGGTTTTTCGGCACTCGTAAGTCCCTTGGTTGGACTTTGGTCGCAACCAGCGGTGTCGCCGTTGCCGACGGGGCTGTGTGCTGGAGCCAGGGCCATGGACATTGGAATCACTGGGGATATGCTCCTGTCCTTGCTATTATTGGAGGCCTTCTGGTCCGTCAGTCTGATAGCAAGGATGGGTTGTAGCACATTGGAAACTACCATTATTTGAAGAGGAGTACAGATAAATCTTATGAAATGTCAGCAGTTATATGTCTCTACAGTGAGGTATGCTCGTGGTATGAAGCTTGGGAGTCTATCTGGGCGTTCTGAGGGATTAGGGATGTAATTCGTTGATTTTTACATTCCCTCTCTATCACAATGTATATGACCAACCGCTGAATCACCGACGCGCTATGCAATACAGAATTCCCTCGCCAGACGCTCCTCATAATGTTTTGTCATTATAGAATGCCTCCCATAGGGTAAGTTCATCACATCTTCTGAAAGAATGGCCTTGACAGATCGTGGCCAAGGGACTGATATAATGCAGCGTTCATCTCTTTACGCATAGTAGAATTCGCTGATTACCCTTTCCCCCTAATATAGAAATTAAACCCTTCATTCAGATAGGGAAAACTCCCACTCAGATACAAAAGGTGCGCTGACCGATATCGCCGTGACAGCTCATGGAAATGTCAAACTCGCTATCAAACCGTGGTACAAGAAGAGGAATAAGGGCGAATTCCTCAATGGTACAGTCAATGCTGGTAACCTCTATTGAACATGTCTTCAATTCCGAACAATACTAAACCATTCATGTTCTAGCGTTTCTGCCACAGTCAACCGGCGGCTAGGCTCATATTGTAGGATCTTCTTCAACAGATCAGCCAATTGTTCAACCTCGTCGGGGGGAATCTCTCTGGGAAACTCTTCGCCTGGCCCCAAGTCCCAATAATGCAATCCTCGTCGTAGCGCCCACTCTATCGATCGAGTGCCGGTCGATAGTTCCGATTGTTCCTTGGCCAGTGGATCAACCAGAACCGCTCGACCGAATGAGTCCGTTTCATCTTTAGAACTCCTTTCTGTGCTTCCAGGTCGTAGACCACCACGGCTCTGGCAGTGTGCCAAGCATCTCAACCATGTGGAAGAGGTGGCTGTCAACATTGTCATCAAACATGTCAAAGAGCTTTCTACCCGTTCGTATCTCGAAGAGGGTGCAGCCGAGTGCCCAGAGGTCACATCCAAATCCTGGCGTATTCTCTAAAACAAGTTCGGGGGGACGATAACTCTCGGGGATACCAAGCTCCTCTGGTGGATTTGTGACATCGTAAGACTCTCCGAAGTCGATCACAAGAATCTCATCTACGACGTACGGCAGCGGAACATGGCGAAACTCGACCGGACGGACGAGATATCTAGGCGCGGTAGGATCAGACGGAGTCTCCCCTGACTCAGTGAAAACTTCTACCTTGACGGGGTCTCCCAGGATTTTGAGGACTTCATCTTCGGGTAGTCCGTCAAGGCCCTCAACTCTCAGGAGAATGTTTGACGGCGTGAAGTCTACTGCCAAGTCAGTTCCAACCATGCGGTGTGGCTCGTGGGAACGTCAGGAACTGACCTCCGTGACATATACCATGACTATGCAATGCAGCCATGACTTCAGCAGCCTGCCGAGCCATCTTCCGCAAGCTTCTGTCCGGGTCTTCGAATTGCTGGGCTATAAGAGAGACACGCGGCCCCGCCACAGGATACACAAAGCAAAGGTGTGACCCATTTGGGCCTTCAATTCGAAATTGATCGAACGGAAGGCAGATGTGCATTTCTAATCCAAATTCTCGAAGCCGTTCCACGCGAAGCTCTGGGCAATCGTCTTTCGAGTAATCGGCCATAAGAATCTTTCTCAAGAGCCACATAATGGGGTATCCCATTGCGCAGGACTTGACACAGCCAAACGTTGGCGAACCCCCCGCTGCCTAGCTTGTGAATGACGCGGTATTCGCCCTGTCGACCTAGGCAATCGCCAAGTTGAACAGCATGATGGCCACCAGGCTCATAATCCCAGATTTTCTCCAGTCCGAATGGAGCCGTATCAATGTACAAACCATTGAATGGCCGCTTGTCATAATCCTCGTCCGTTTGAGACAAGACGGGAGATCCAGGCGCGTAGTCTCCGTGATCCGACATTGTAAGCGCTAGATCTTCTGGTTGTTGAGAGCGTCAGACACTGATCTCCAAGAAATGTGGAAGGCCAGAAATCAGCGTACCGAATTGACGACGTCGAATTCGTCTTCCACATAGATGTCACATAAATTGGTGACTTTAAAAGAGTTTAGCAAGTAGTGGAGCGGCGGGGCAATTGCGGAGGAATAAGCCGGGGTGTAGAACGAAGCGACAACGTCCAATGAATGAACTAAGCTGGCATTCCGTTTCCTTTGCCAATGAAGCGCCATGATCTGTTCTAAGGAATAGATCGATCGATCGTAGGACAACAGAACACGGAGTCGTGAAGGATGTCGATATACCCCTGCAGACCCACAGGTCACTGTCTACGTCGGCAGTTCCGCACAGATTTATGATTATGAAGGCCATCTAGATGTTCAGTACTCTGGAACTCAGAGGAATGTTCCTATTGCTCTGGCAAACCCTCATGAATGGCGCATACCACCAGGCGGCTTCAACCTAGAGCTCTGGGATGCAAGAACGGGGAAAAGCATCAGCTCTGTTGGAACTCCTCTCATTTGGCTGCATAGGCCGCACAAACCAAGAGCTATTCTTGTTGGACCTTGTGTACTCCCTCTCTGTATTTTCTGTTTCCTTGATTGCACTGCCTTTGCCAAAGTGTTGTTATATGCTACATCATGTCAGTGTACAGTTCAATGTCAGTTTGTCAATTCACAGACTTATCTTTGGAAAGTGTTATTATGGCGCGATGGGCCTAATTCGGCCTATATTTCGAAGCTGCTGTCGCTACCATACTGTTAATTGGGCTGATAACGATGTGTTGATGCTAAAAGATCGTGCGGATTGCGACATCCCTAGTGGGTAGACCCCTCATGCTACCATCGTCCCCTGCAATCATGCAATCACCTTGGCGAATAAGCATCTTGATTTTATTGGAGTCTTCAGACGAAATGCCAAGTGCATATCCATAGAAATGATATTAATCGAGTGATAATCAGCACTTGGATCGCATTGCCGAGCGCTACCAAGCAGGCCAACAGATATGATTGGGCGGAGGAGTATAAAGACAGATTAGGATGAGCATTACAGACACAAGGACAGTCTACTTGACAGTCTAGATTTTCTGCCAATGCCAGACGGGCCGTCTCCATCTTTTGAGTTTGTCGAAGACTTATCGGCTTCTGTCGTAGCATCACGTCATTGTGCCAGGTGATGAGCACCTTATGTTACACGTATCAAGGGATAAATAGTTCGACCTCCTACAGCACGATGGGTTAACAGCGCTCACTGATCTGCCTTCTAACCCAAATCTACCACAATGGGGTCCAAGCACAATGATCAATCTGATGCTTCGAGCTTCAGCAGTGGCGACCTGCAATACACTGCTGAAGCCGGTGCCAACTCCTCCGTGCCAACCTACCAAGAAGCCAGCGGTGCGCCGATTGAAGTCAATTCGCCGCTGGGATACTCGGTCGGTTGGATCACAGTCATCTTCCTCAACCTCAGCAAGATGATCGGAACTGGTGTCTTTTCCACCCGTGAGTCCTTCGTCTCGTGTGATGTGATGCCTAGAATTGACAGCCGCAGCATCAACTGTCCTCAGAGGCGCCGGGTCCGTTGGCCTGGCACTGATCTACTGGGTCATTGGATTCTTCATGGCCGGCAGCACACTGGCAGTCTACCTGGAGTTTTCCTCGTACTTTCCCAGCCGGTCCGGGTCAGAGGTGGTTTACCTCGAACAGGCGTATCCGCGGCCAAAGTATTTTCTCCCGACCGTGTTTGCAATGCAATCGGTTTTGTTTTCGTTTAGCAGTAGTAATGCGATCGGTACGTGTATTAGTCTGAATACCGGGTATATCTGACCGATCAGTCCTCGCGCAGTATCTGTTTCGACTGGCAGAGGCGGAGTCCACGCCGTGGAAGCTCAAGGGTGTTGCAGTGGCTTCGTATAGCGTTGCAGTGCTAGGTGAGATATCGCATATTGTCTAAAAAAGGATGCTAACAGTATAGTCCTGGCATTCAACACGAAGTGGTCGCTGCGTTTCGCCAATGCCATTGGGTTTGTCAAACTCGTCACATTGATCTTGTATGTCTATCCCTTGTCAAAAAAGAAGGAAACTCACGGGTTAGCATCGGTATCACCGGTCTAGTCGTCCTTGGGGGCCACACCAAGATCGAAGATCCCAAGGCCAACTTTCGAGACGCCTTTGAGGGCAGCTCGTCTGCCTCGGTGTACGGAGCAACAAACGCACTGGTCAAGGTAGCCTTCTCGTACGCGGGATTCGAGAATGCATTCAATGTTGTGAATGAAGTCAAGGTATGTCATGCTTTTGGCTTCAGACGTTCGCTACTCATACCAGCAGAATCCAATCAAAACGTTACGGTGGAGCGCGCCGCTCTCTCTCTTCCTGGTAGCAACACTCTACATGCTCGCCAACATCGCCTATTTCTCCGCCGCAACAAAGGGGGAGATCCTCGGCTCCAAGGTCGTGGCGGCGGGTATCTTCTTTCAGAAAGTCTTCGGCACGAGCAGTGCGTCGCGAGCCCTGAACTTTCTCATCTGTCTCAGCGCATTCGGAAATCTCCTTGCCGTTCTCATCGGGCAGTCCCGTCTCCTCCGTGAATGCGGAAGGTAAGTCGCTATGGCATGACTGTAGCGTCAACATCGCTGACGAGACCAGACAAGGAGTCCTTCCGTTCACCAAGTTTTGGACCTCGACCCGTCCATTCGGCACACCGCTTGGCCCCTACGCGCTGAAATGGGCCTTGACGGTCCTCATGATCCTCGCTCCGCCAGCCGGCGACGCCTTCAATTTCGGTGCGTTCTCTCCGGACATACACTGTATAAAGCCTATACTTACGTTGGCAGTCGTCGATTTGGGCGTGTACCCCAACAACGCCTTCGCCCTAGTCCTCGCTATTGGACTACTGCTTACCCGTCGCCACCGCAAGCGGCATAATATTCCGCCCTCGGGATATAAAGCGTGGGACGTGGTGGTCGGCTTCTCGATCCTCTCGAATACCTATATGGTTGTTGCGCCGTGGTATCCGCCCACAACAGGGGCGAAGGGAGGGGATGTGAGTTTCTGGTATGCGACGTACTGCGCCGTGAGCTTGGGAATGTAAGTTTTCCTCTGTTTTACCGAGTGCAATGCTGATTATGTAGTATTGGGCTCTGTGGCGTGTATTACTACCTCTATATCAAGGTGTTGCCGCGGCTGGGTGGGTATACCTTCCGGCAGATTATCCTGCAGATGGATGATGGAGCGACCGCGCATAAATTAGTCAAGGTCCCTAATGAGCAGTTGAAGACCTGGGATGCGGAACATGATGCTACGGGGAGAGAGCGAGCCAAGGAGGAGGCTGTTAGTACGGCTGTCGATGTCAAGCACGAGTTTGGCATATAGTTAGCGTTAGGTCATTCATATACATGCGGATTCTCTCATTTAGGACGTGAATGGGTCTCTCCCCAGTCGGCTGGTAACTTGAAGTCCTTGGGAAGCACATACTCCCCCCGACAACTCCCTGGGCTCGTACAACGTAGGTTACACCGTCCGTACAACCGACAATAACACTCGTCGGCCCTCGGACACGCCTGCTCATTCAACCGCTGCAATTCCACCCCATCCCCAGACCCAGTCCCCAGATGCTCGGGGGCAATAAACAAAATATGCCAGATATATGACAGGATCCGGCCCGCGACCCTATCATCCGGCGGGGCCGCTCCCCATCGCCGCGGACCAGCCGCCATCCCATCAAGCAGCCACTGCCGCAAAGCGACATATTCCGCCCGCGAATGCCGCCAAATATTCTCCCTCGCCACAACAAACTGCGCACAGCACTGAGCCTTGACCGCATCGTTGCGTCCCAGTTTCGCAGCAAGGTATGCCTCCCTGTCCTCCCCACCAAACAACACCCCCAGCGCCCCCGGCAGCGCCGTATCCGATGCCGCGCGCGCACTCCACGGTTCAAGCACAGACTGCACCCGATTCTCCAGACTCCCCTGCGGCGCTGCCGACGCGGCGCACGTGCTCACGCTCCAGTCGCAGCGCAGGTTATGGTACCCGAGTTGTTCCAGCGCAGCGGGGATGTTAAGCGAGGCGAGGAGCGCGGCGTTGTCGTAGGCCGGATGATCGTTGTGCCAGGCGAAGCGGGAGCCGTGTACGAAGACGGCACCTGCGGCGGGAATGGCGTCGTAGTTGTCGATTAGGAAGGTGAGGTAGGCCATTGCTTCGTGGCCGCGGTTTGTGGGGACTTGTAGCGTGGATGCCTTGGGATTGGGACTGTCGACGGTGTAGATGCAGAGGTGGTATGTTTTTGAGAGGGGATCGAGCCAGGAGGGGTCACCGTCTGCTGTGACGCGCGAGACCACCAGGACTGGTTTGGTGGTTTTGCTCAGGCCGGGGCATTTGCCGCGGGACGGCGGGGTGGGCGAGGAGGATTTGTAGCGGATGTGCGTCCATGGGAAGGTTTTGATGCGGGAGGTTGGGCGGTTGAGGGTGAGGAGGAGAAGGATACCGCCGAGGACGGTGAGGTGGAATAGAGAGCGCAGAGTTTTGCGTCTCATGGGGTCTATCTCTCTTGTCTCTCGTCCATCATATAGGTTTGGAGGACGTGTCTGTTGGCAACTCTATTCCGGGAGATCCGCGGTCATGAGGCCGGCGGGAATGCACAGCCTCATTCCAACTCCCGTCTACACAGGGAGGATCCGCAGATAAAAAGGTGTAAACCTTGATCAGATGGATGAGAATTTCAATCCCGGACGAGACAAATCACAGGATAAATTACTTCCATGCCTTACATATTCGATTCAAGGTCCATCTGATACGATCTTTACCTTGGACAAGCTCATGCGAAGCCTCGACAACCCACACAGTGTCGTTTTTATTGGTCCATTAGAGACCCAAGGGCCTCGCACTAGCTGTATCAGGTTAGTCATGTCTTGCTCCAGAATGCTTCTAGAAGCTTGCCAGGTTAGGAAGTGCATTGCAGAGAGCCGAGGTCCTCTAGATGATGCTACTCTATCAACCTTCACAAACCTCTACAACACACCAAACAAGGTCAAAATTTAGTTTTCAGTCGCCAACCCCCCGCAACTCCCCTGGCAAGCACAAACGCCACAAATGACGCCAGGTACAACACCCCTCCAAATACAATCAATCCCCAGTACTCCCCATGGTTATACTCCTGGATGGCACCGGCTATAGGAATCGCCGTCAAAGTGCCCACACTCACCAGCGTAAAGGTCGTCCCATTGCGCTTCCCATAGTCCTCTGTGCGACAAACCTGTGAGATACACACCGGGGTTAAACTAATCGCCGCGCCACTCCAGAACCCGAAGCATGTCGCGTAGGCGATGATGGCGCCGTCATTATCACCCGCTGTATACCACAGCGCCAGGGTTAATATAGAGCAGACTAGCGCCGTCAATGACATGATATTGAACCGGCCAACGCGGTCAGCAAGCAATCCTGGCAACGCGCGGCCGGGGATCGCGCCGACATTGAGGAACACGCTGAGCTTGTATGCGAGAGACGAGTCCATGCCAGCATATAGTCCGTACGAGGAGATGTAGGTGTATGGAATGAAGACGGCGAACTCTACCAGCCAGACCGCGAGAGTGGTAGCTGCATATTTGGGCTCACGGAGGGCTTTGAAATCGATTGCCATTCCGGCTTGGCGGTTGGGCGGGAGTCGGGTGCGAAGTAAAAGGCAGGCGAGTGCGCATAGTACGAAGCAGATGATTCCGATGATCCGCAGTGCCCAGGTGAATCCGAGCGAAGGGCCGAGGTATAGAATGATCAAGGGGAAGAAGACCCCGCCTAGTCCGCCGGCCGTGCAGGCTATCCCTGTGGCCAGACCGCGACGAACGTTGAACCAGTGGCCGACAGCTGCAATTGCCGGAGTGAACAGGCAGCAGGAGGAGATGCCGCCGAGAACACTGAAAGAAAGGAAGATTTGATAGTATTCTATGCTCGTCAGCTTACCTGCATACGACACAGGAGGCAGGGACGTACGTGTACTCTCGCTGAAGAAGAAAACGGCCAACACAATGCCAATTGACCCTGGCAAAACAACTGGAAGAACGCCACGGCTGTCGAAAATGGGACCTATACGCGTTAGAAAGGTTCGAACGTGAAGGCAGGGCCTACATACCAACTTGCGCACTGCCAAAGTACAAGAAGAAACTGTAGACCCCAAAAATCCACCCAACGCTTGAGGGAGAGTACGCAGCGAGCTGATGTTGGGCTGTCCATGCATGCAGCACCCCTATCGTATTCAAAAGACCCATTGATGGAATCATTGCACACCATGCGCCGAGTACCACCAGCCAGGCCCGAAGGCCGCCCTCGGGGAACTTTTCGTCGATGGGATCATTAGAAGATTCGCTTTCTGTCGTCTGGATATCGCGCTTGTACAGATTGTTGGATTGCTTTTCGAAAACTGTTGCATCCAGGGGCGCGCGGTGTTCAGATATATCCTGACCCATCTCTTCATAGGAGCGTTCGAAGTTCAGTAACTCCTAGTAAACTATACAGCCAGCAAAATCAAAGAAGGTTGATTTTTCTCAACTGAGTGGCTATCTAATTCATATAGTGGTGACCCAAATGAGCAATATCAAGTGTCGGGTCACCTCAGATTTCTGATAGCCGCAGACCATTCGACGAAAGAAAACGTGGACAGAAGTTAAGAGGAGACCCGAAAAAGGATCTGTTTGCACATGTCTCCAATTCGATAGAAGCAGAAATTGACTCTAGCTTGATCTATACCCACTTTTCCACATGTCGCTGAGTTGCCCATTCGCTTTCCACGCCCCACATCTTGTCTATCCCTTCGGGACTGGCCGCCGCTCCGAAGATCCCCGAATCAGTGGCTACTGTTTCTCGGAAGATTAAGATCGTTTCTTTGATATGCTGTAAGTGGCGTACAACCCGTTGCCCTATCCAATGAAGAACCGGTAAGTAGACACAGGTCCCATGCGTTCACGCCTATGTGTCATGTCGTGTTTTCGAGGGTTCGGGCATGACTCCAGAGTCTCCGACATTTTTACAGAGTTAGAAAGCTGGTACGGCTAGTGTCGGGTCCCTGACAAGTGGTCCGAGTAGTCCAAGCTTATAGTGTAAGATATGGCAAGCATACCCAGAAGCTCTAGACTGGCACAAACGTCCTATATATGCTGTTCGGTATGCCTGTAGCAATGCAGAATTGCCATTGGCTGCAATATCAACGGCCTGTGCTTAACGTATATATACAAATCCCTAAACCCTGGAACGCGGGGCTAGCTCCATTTATCATGTATATATACTGACATATTATAGAGCAGGGGTATCCGCAAAACACGACGCCGAAAAGCTCTCAGGATACCGACTACCAGCAACCTCCGCCGCATTGCAAGCCGATCGAACCTCCTCCTCTTCTTCCGGAGACAACTCGACGCTCAAGCTCCCCAGATTCTCCTTCAACCGCTCGAGCTTGGTCGTCCCAGGAATAGGGAAAATATCATCGCCCTGCGCCATCAACCAAGCCAATGTCAACTGCGACGGGGCGACTCCCTTCTTCGCCGCAACCGCCTTAAGCTTCTCCACCAGCGCCAGATTCTTGCCAAAATTCTCCTTGCTAAACCGCGGCGAAAGCAGGCGGAAATCGCCCTCCTCGAAATCATCCGGCGAGGTAATAGCCCCAGTCAAGAACCCCCGGCTCAGCGGCGAGTACGCCACGACCGCGACGCCGAGCTCGCGCGCCGTCTCGAGCAGTTTGTACTGCGGGCTCTCGATCTCCAGCGCAAAGGGCGAGTATTCCATCTGCACGGCGGTGATGGGGTGGACCTTGTGAGCGCGACGCAGCGAGTCCGCGCTGCACTCGCTCAGACCTAGGTATTTGATTTTCCCTTCCGCCTTGAGCTGTGCCATTGCCTCGACGGTCTTTTCGATCGGGGTCTTGCGGTCGAGCCGGTGGCAGTAGTAGAGGTCGATGGTCTTGACACCGAGACGGGCGAGGGAGCGATCGCAAGCCTCAAGGGCGTATTCGGGTGAAGAGTCGACGAAGCGTTGTCCGTCTGGTCCTAACCGGTTGGCGAACTTGGTTGCGAGGAAGATGTTGCCGCGTTTGGAGGGGTTAGCTCTGAACCATTTGCCGAGGAGGTCCTCGCTGTCGCCGTATATGTCGGCTGGGTTCCGTTAGTCGGATTCATGGGGAATAGGTAAGGTACGTACCGCTATCCCAGAATGTTTCGCCTAGCTCATATGCAGCATCTAGCAGGGCAAGTCGCTCAGGGTCGGGTTTGGCGGTGCCGTAGAAGGAGCTCAGGCCCATTAACCCGAAGCCGAGGCGGGGGACTTGAGGGCCGTTCTTTCCCAGCGGACGAGTTGGAAGGGTAGGCATGTTGATTGCAGGGATTGGGTAGCTTACAGTGTGAGTAGAATGTTGGGCCAGTACACCAGTACACCAGTACACCTCAGTCCTTTTATATGTGGAATTTGCGGGGAGACTGATTGTGGAGTGACATCAGTGGAGACTATCTTCGCTCTTATTTCCGTCCGCAGTGTCATCAACGGATTTATACACCTTATTTCCGCCACGGTAGAACTTATACGAACGCTAGCCAAACTTTATCAGAGTTATGCTTCGGAATAAGTGTATAACTGTGCACTTATATTGATTTCCGTATGATCCGCGTTCAGTCACTGGATATATCCAACGCTTTCCGGACTTTGGCGCCCAGCCCCTTTAGCCTCTCAATGGACTCATTAGAGAACACAAACCGGATATACTGGCTACCGTGCACCTCTCCCCATCCATCCATTGCAGTTGCGCACACACCCTGTTCGAGCAAACGCTTCGATGCGGTGCTCCCATCAAGCCCGAAATCGCTCACGCGTAGAAGCAGGCTCCATCCGCCCGCCGGAACGCCAACTGGCAGCCCGTCAAGTTCCGCGACGACGAGATCACGGCGCGCCTGTAGTTCAGCTACATACGGCGCCATGGTCTCTGACGACCGCTCGAGCGCAACAGCCACGGCTTCCTGAGCGATTCCCACGGGCACAACGACATTAGCCATTGAGACCGCCGCGATATCACTGATCAGGTCCTCTGGTCCCACGATCCAGCCAACACGCCATCCGATCATCCTCAGCTCTTTCGCGGAGGAGCCTACGATGACCGTCCGCTCGAACATCCCAGGTAAACTGGCTGGGTGTACCACAGGACGTGCATCGAAGACCAGACGCTCCATTGCTGCATCCAGGATGAGAAGCAGGTCCTTCTGTACGCAAATCTCCGCAATGAGCGTCCAGTCCTCTAGGGTAAAGTAGCCCCCGCTCGGCATCGATGGCGACATGAGCAGCATCGCGGTAGTTTTATCAGTAATAGCAGCCCGCAGCGCGGCCTGATCTAGCGTCCACTCCTTCCCTGGCTCGAAGGTAAACGGCACAAGCTTGGGGACGCCGCCAGCGAGCAGGACCCGATTGATGAGCCCCCGGTAGGTCGGATCCGTCAATATCACCTCGTCGCCTTCTTCGATGGTTGCTAGCAGGACGTTCAGGATACCTGAGAGCCCGCCCACGGAGATAACGCAGTTGCGTGCGCCAGAGTATGTCATGCCGGAGAGCTGGGAGACGTGTCTGGCTGCGGCGTCTTTTAGACGGGCTTTGCCGGTGAATGGGAGGTAACTGTTACATGGGTCATCGGAGACGGCGTGCTTGGTGTGAGCTAGAGCCTCTGGATCGGGGGGGATGTTGACGTCTAGGTTTTCCAGGCGGAGGTAGTCGTTGTTGGCTGCGTCGGCGATCTGGGCGATCTGGTCGACATTGATGCCTTGGAGGTGGTTGAGTCGTCGGGGGCGAGTACGAGGCATGTTGATGATCTACGATCTAAGACGTATATTTGCAAGCTTGGATACTTTGCATAAGAGTCGATAATAAATGGGCGAGAGTTACCAAGTTATATACTGGGACCCCGCACTTTAGGTTCACAAGCTCGTATTGACTGATACGCGCAACATTCACACTACAGTACCGTTATAGCATGTCCGTCTTCTCATACGGCCGTAGGATTTTTTTGAAGTATGATAAATTATACTTGGACTTCATCGGGGATAGTGACTCATAATTAGAAAATAACAGCGAAACTATTGGCTGGCCCGAGGCCGAATACGAAGTGGCATATTTATAAATCTTATGTTCCCTTAACCAATCCAAGACCAAAACATCCTGGACACCTTGAGATAACAATGCATCGTGTTGTTTACCCCCTTCGAAACGTACAATCTTACCTCCAAGTAAAGACCCTTATAGTTCACCCGCGCAGAGCATACATGACAACCCAAACACTCAACACTCAACCAAAGCAACCATGGCACCCGCCACCAGAAGGCAGCCCGTGCTTTGTCGAAATACCCGCCCAGAATGTAGAGGAGCTTAAGGTCAGTCGCCCAGACGCAGGCAAGCCGTCCACTAACGATAGCAGACATTTTATGCGTCTCTATTTCCATCGTGGGAATGGAAACCAGCACATGGTGAAGCTACTGAGGATGGGAATCAGATGCGGCACTTCAAGTTCTGCGAGCCTAAAGGTATTCTTCCTCGTTTGTAAACGTGTCGCAGGCTGATGGTGTAGGACTTGCTGGTGCAATCGTCAAAATGGCCCAGGACGGGCCAGGAATAGAGCAGCTGAGGGCTCACGGGGTGACCGTCTATTATATTGTTGATTCTCTTGAGAGGGTGAGCTCATTTACCTTTCTGATGACGACGCTGATTGGGTTAGATGGAGAAACGGGTAAATGAGTTAGGTGGAAGTGTCATTCAGGCGAAGACGACTGAGAGCTCGTATGGTTCGCTTATGAAGTTTTGTGATCCAGAGGGGAACAAATTTGGTTGTTATGAGGTGCGCCATTAATGCCTAGGTCTTTCTACAATTGAGCTGTTTATTCCAGTATGGTGCATGATGTTTGCGTAGTCCGGTCGCTACACAGTAAGCAGCTCTATGGATTCACTTAGGTGTAAGCACGTGGAGCTACTGTTTGAACAATCAGAAGCCCAAAGGCCGAGATCGCAATGCTAGAATGTAGTGCTAGGCCCAAATGTCTTATGCAGGCGAGCACTTTGGCTTAGATTGATATCCAGCATGCAAACAATCCAAGCCCAGAATAATATAGAGAGAAACAGGAACCGGGATGTACAGGATTCTTGAAGCCTTTTAAGCTTGCTTTTAATCAATTCTGAGATCCCAGCACACTTATATGCCTGTGATTAATGAAAAATAACCCGAAATCCCTTTGACTCCAGACTCGGTAGCGGCACAATCAAATCGTGAGCGGGCTTAACATCCTTCTCACTCGTTTCATATAGGCTGAAGTCGGGACCCCCAGGACGAAAAAGTGTAGCGATAATGTGGTTGATTTCAGCGTACGCGAGACTATTCAAGCCAAGTCAGAGACAATTAAGCAGGCTAGCATGCTGGGCGAAAAAAACCTACTTCGTTCCCAAACATCGCCTTGACCCCTTCGAAAAAGGGACATAGTTGCGACTCATCTCCGGCGTAACGTCCGCCAGCCATCGCTCGGGGAGGAATTCATCAGGGCGCGGAAAGACGCTTGGATCACGATGGGAATAGTATGCAGACATGCCGACGGGGACGCCAGCTGGGATCGTCCACTGCCTGAACTGGAGGGGTTGTTTGGGGGATACACGCGTACAGCGGTGCATAGTGCCGAAGCTGAGGCTGTAGAACACAACATCAGTTGGCGTGGTGCTCTATTTAGGCACAGGGAAAACAATAGAAGTACCGAAGACCCTCTTTAATCACCGCCTGTAGATACGGTGCTGTCTCTAGTTCAGCCCAAGTCGGCTTCTTGGGCGGGTAGTTCGCCATGATGGGCTTCAGGTCTTCTTGGAGACGCTTTTTGATGGCGGGGTTGACCATTATATGGTAGCAAATGAAGCACAACGATCCGGCTGTGGTAACGGTGCCAGTGCCAATAAGGACCTGGGCTTCCTTAGACAGGCGATCATCTGTGAGTTCAGACGGCGGGAGATCGCTGTTCAGCAGATGTCGGAAAATGGTCGGGCGGCCACCCATCATCGAGGTATCTTTGGATCCCAGGGATGCTTTTTCACGCTTAGCGACTCGGAGATGGTTATCGCACATCTACCAATGTCAGCAGGGTAATGCTCTTGGGGGTAGGGGTTTATTACCATCTTGAACTTATTGAAGGTCTGAGTTCCGGGGTCCAGCTTCGCCAGAATGCTCACAGGAATAAGCCGGACGACACTGCCCAGTTTAGAATTCACTCCTCAATTGGCGAGAATAACTTACTGAATCAACCAAGGCAACCCCATAAACAAAGGCAGCGTTGCAATCCCATTGTGGAACAGATTATACCACCACGGTGAGAATTCAGGATCATTCACCAAAACATCAGGCGGATCATCCATACACAGCCTGTTAATCACATCCCCAGAGTAAGCCGTGAAGGCATGGTCCAGTCTCACTACCTTGCCAGTTCCCTTGAAGCTTTCGAATCGGTTGACGATCAGTTTCTCGGTCAGCTCGCCAAGCATGGGCTCTAGCCTTGAGACACCCAGTCGAGAAAAATAAGGGTCGAGTGGCTTTCTCCTCTTGCGGTGGAGGCCATGTTCTGTTGTTGCGATGTGAGAGCCCTTGAAGTCGACAATACCTTCGACGAAGGCCTCGTGTCTGTCCGTGGGGCGGACGGAGCCCGTAACGTAGAGTTCGTCGTAGTATTCCGAGTCGCGGATGGAAAGCTCGAACGGATTGATCCTTACGATTGGTCCTATATACAAGAAGCTCTAAGCTTTGCTTCCTTTGCAAGTTGTGCAGTGAAATCAAAAAGTCATAGTACCTACCGTACTTGTCGTGCATCTTCTCAATCTCAAACAGATATTTGCCTTTGTGGACAAGATCATAGTACAACTCGTACCAACTTGTTACTGCGGCAAGCTTGGGACCTGGAAATTTTGCCAGGGGAGACAAGAAGAGGCGATAAATAACTAGGTTGAGGAGATAGAATGCTCCTGCACCGATAACGGCGACGACAGCACACAAACTGGCATCCATGGGTAAGAGCAAGTTGGCCTCCATTTGGGGCCTTGGTGAGACACTAGGTGAGAAGGCGTCCAAACCTAGAGGAGATTGAGGGGTCAACGAGGCTTGATAAAGATTACTTCACATATTATAAGCGCTTTGACATGCTTCTGACATAACAAGGATAAGTGGGCGAATCGCCCAATTCGGTGATTCCCCATTAGGTAGGTACCCCGACAGGTAAGCGACAGGTATTCCTCTGCCCTCTCTGCTCTCTTTGCCCATTCTGAGCAGCCGAAGGTTGCTCGTTCCATCTGACCTTATCTCTCTTGCGGGCTGTTGGGGTCATGGCTCGCCAGCTTACCTCCCACCTTTTCTAGGTCGGTCGGGTTTTGCCCTAAGAAGAACGTCCCCGCGAGTACGATCCTAAACCACGCGGCTCTACCTGATAGAAAATGAAATCATATAAGAGAAGAGGATCACTCCAAGAAACACACGCTAAGCCCTTCAGCCCCTGTAAATGTACATTATCTCTCCGCGACCTGACCCGCTCTGCATGCCTGCGTATAGAAATGGCCTGCAAGTACTCGACACTCATCGACTCCTCCCTGTACGACAGGGAAGGACTTTACCCTGGAATGGATCTCAGGAGGCATATGGCCGGTGAGCTTAAGAGGCTGGTGCTTTCAGGGCCCAAGAAGACTGGCGCCGCTTGGTTGGTCCCATTCCAAAGCCTTATGCGGGGCTCTTAGGACCCCACTCTAGCTTCATAAGTGGCGCGGTGCCAGAGTGTCACCCTGATAGAATGGAGATCATCGCTTACGCACTGGAGTTTGGTTTCATTCATGACGGTATGTGCTGACTGTCTGGGATTGCCGAACGAGGCTCATTCAAACAGATGTCATCAATACGGATGTCAACGATGCCTCATTGGATGAGGTGGGACATGCCTTAGATCAAAGTCAAACTGGCAAGATCGAAGATAGGGGCTCCGATGGAAAGCGTCAAATCGTCACTCAAATCATGCGCGAAATGATGGCAATTGATCCAGAGAGAGCGATGAGTGTCGCTAAGAGCTGGTCCTCTCGCGTCCGACATTCAAGCAGACGGAAGGAGGACACAAACTTTAAGACACTTGAGCAGTTTGTCCCCTACAGGGCCCTCGACGTCGGGTACATGCTCTGGAACGGCCTCGTCACATTTGGCTGCGCAATTACAGTCCCCGATGAAGAGGAGGAAGAGGCAAAGAGGCTTATCATACCTGCGTTGATCCAAGCGTCGCTGCTGAACGACCTCTTCTCCTTCCAGAAGGAGAAGAACGATGCTAGTATCCAGAACGCTGTCTTGATTGTCATGAATGAGCATGGGTGTATCGAAGAAGCAAGAGATATCCTCAAGAAACGCATCCGCCTTGAATGTGCCAACTACGTCCACAATGTCAAGGAGACCAATGCGTGGGTGGATGTCAGTGATGAGCTGAAGAGGTACATCAATATCATGCAGTATACCCTATCTGGCAATGCAGCCTGGAGTACGAATTGCCTGCGGTACAACGGACCTACCAAGCTTAATGAGTTGCAGTTGCTGAGAGGCGAGCACGGCCTGGCGAAATACCCGCCAAGGTGGTCACCGGAGAACAGAACCAGCGGCCTCGTTGAGGGTGATTGTCACGAATCCAAGCCAAACGAGCTCAAGAGGAAGAGGAATGGCGTCAGTGTGGGTGACGAAATGACGACGAATGGCACTGTTGGCGCCAAGAAGCCAGCGCACATCTCACAACCGAGCACGGATTCGATTGTTCTAGAGGATGTGGTGCAGTTGGCGCGTACTTGCGATTTACCGGACTTGAGTAATAAGGTGAGTTAGATATCTTCCTGCGCTGACGCAGCTGTCACTGACTGAGATTCTAGGTTATTCTCCAACCATACCGGTATCTTACCTCCCTCCCCTCTAAGGGTTTCCGAGACCAAGCCATAGATTCTATCAATAAATGGCTGAAGGTGCCCCCGAAGTCGGTGAAGATGATCAAAGACGTCGTCAAGATGCTGCATAGTGCATCTCTCATGTGAGTTCTTCTTGCCCTCTTTCTTTTGACGCGGTTTTCTAGTGTCCAACGGCCCCAGGCTCGATGATCTCCAAGACAACTCCCCACTACGTCGCGGCAAGCCCTCTACCCATAGCATCTACGGCATAGCCCAGACAATCAATAGCGCAACGTACCAATACATCACAGCTACAGATATAACCGCCCAGCTCCAGAACTCAGAAAACTTTCATATCTTCGTTGAAGAGTTACAGCAGCTGCACGTGGGGCAGAGCTATGACCTCTACTGGACGCACAACACGCTCTGCCCAACCATCGCTGAGTATTTGAAAATGGTTGATATGAAGACGGGCGGCCTATTTCGCATGTTGACGCGGATGATGATCGCCGAGAGTCCGGTCGTCGACAAGGTTTCAAACAGTGATATGAATGTGTTCATTTGCCTCCTTGGACGCTTCTTCCAGATCCGCGATGACTATCAAAATCTCGCTTCAGCTGACTACGCAAAGGCGAAGGGGTTTGCCGAGGGTCTCGACGAAGGGAAGTATTCCTTCACGCTAATCCACTGCATTCAGACTTTGGAGTCACAGCCCGAGCTCGCAGGGGAGATGATGCAGTTGCGGGCGTTCCTCGTGAAGAGAAGGCATGAGCACAAACTTAGCCAAGAGGCCAAGCGAGAGGTGTTAGCGACCATGAAGAAAACGGAAAGCTTGCAGTACACACTCAGCGTTCTGTGGGAATTGCACGGAGAGTTGGAGAAGGAAGTTGAATATTTAGAGGCGAAGTTTGGCGAGGAGACCTTCACACTCAGAGTGATGCTAGAGTTGCTGAAGGTCTAAGAGATATAGATTGGTAGATAGGAGGGCAGTTCGTAATGTCATGTCAGCGCCTCTATGCCCAGCGGGTCCTCGCCTCTGATACTGCGCCACCACTCGCTTTGTCGTACAAGTTCTCCCTCTTCACCACCTAGCAGAGACCAGTACTTCTTCAGAAACCACTCCTTTGCTTCCCAGCTGCGGTTGTCCCATGGAGTACCAGTCGAAGCATATCCAGTAGAAGCATCTCGATCCTTCCTTCCAACGCCTGCCCCTCCCCAACACACTAAACCAGTAACCGCATCGCGGAGAAATTCACCCTCGTCTACCTCTTGCTGTTGGAGGATGAGATTCTTCCGTAGCGTCTGAAAGGGCAGGACATCAATGTACGGAGGATGCTTGATAGTAATTTGTTCAATACTTGGCCTCAAGTCTGGCTTGAGTGTCATAAATATCCTCTGCACTGTGCAGATCATGTTCTCTTTGACCATGTCATCGGCTGATGCCCTAAGCGACCGATAGAATGGCGAGGGAGATTCCTTAACACACATCATCTCCTCTGTAATGCTAATATGCATCCTGAGAGTATTCATTGCGGCTAACGTACAAATTGTGTCCAGGCGAAGATGGTTGGCATATGGATCTGGTGTAGGTGTGACCGGTCCAATCCTGAGTATCCTGACCTCGGTAGAGCTGTATGGGCCGGCACGGTGCGTCTGTACTTTGAAATGTGTGGTGGGGCAATTACATTTGGTGGTGGTGGTGGTCATCCAGCATCGATCAATGCCGTCCTTGTGTTTATCATGGATGAGAACGAGAGGATTAACTTGGGTTGGAGGAACCCATATACTCGGTGCCGACAAGGGAGTTTCTGATGGCGAAAATTGCCTTGTGGAGTCCGAGATTGCTAGTGTTGATGGGGAGATATCTGAATGTGAGGGTTGTGCTGTGTAATCCCCGAGTATAGAATCCCAGACATTTGGCGACGATAGGGTATTGTCTGAGGATGTCAGATGTGTTGCAGAGTTCCATATATTCAGTGCTGATGCGGTATGGTCCGACTGTGGAAGAAGCTGTTGGCAGTCCTTGGGAGTAGCCATCGATGAACTGGAAATCGACACGTCCCAGACATCATCACCTAGGATCGACTCGGATTGGACTCTGCCCGTCATCGGGGATGTCTGCGCCATTGATGCTGCAAGCGTTTCGAGGTTCTCCAATCGCTCACGGAGCTTCTCACCTAAAAGGAACACTCTATCAGTAATTTCTTTCCCCCCAGATCTTCCCGATCTATCTTTCGAGAAGCCAAGCCGCACTCACGGTATCTACGTTGCGCTCGGATGTTCTGTTGCCGCCTCTTTTCAGGGTCACGACGGACGGGTTTTCGCTTCTTCTTTCCCATGCTTTCGCTCCGTGCTTTCTCCTCCGTCGTGTCTCGTGGCATCGTGTACATCGCTTTTGTGGTGTGGATCCTTAGAGTAGATGGACGGATGGATGAGGTAGGCTGGGTGGGACGGCTGATGGGGAAAGTGCGGAGTAAGACTCCAAAGACGTGGTCGGCTAGAATGCCTATCTACGGCGGACGACAGCGAGCGACTGTGCTCGTTCTGGTAACTGGTCAGATTGTCTGTCAGATTGTTATACTGTCACAGCGGGATATTCGCTCATTAGGGCTGGAATGTTCTACGGCTGTTCCTCTCCACTCCCAGTATCTATGGAGGCGGAACGGTATCATGTCGCAACTAAATAAATTAACCCAGGTGGTCATCGACTCATTATTACACGACCTTTCTGCCAGCACAGACTTGGCGTCTGAACAAAGAGTGAAGCACCACTATAGGTGGTAAAGCCCTCAGGCTGTAGCAACAGTACCTTAGCAGAATACCCCGCCCCAGAAAATAGAGATAAGAAATAGAATAGAAGCCAAAGAGTACTTAAGCCTCCAGGCTGTAGCCACAGTAACCTGACCGTAAGCTACTCAATCAATACTCTCCATGATGTTGGGGACTCTGCACTGGAAATTCCCGTGACAAGGAGGTGGAGTTTGTCGAGAGGCCGCATGGATCGTCAAATCTACAAAGGAATTCAGTCTGCGACCGATGCAGGGCCAAAATGATGTTTCTGGGAGAGATGCAGAAGGCGAGCCTGGCGCGAGCTGAAAGTAGCATTTGTGAACTTGGAGAAAATGTCTACATTCTCTAGATTTGGTTATACACTAGAATTATTGATTAGAAGTAAGAGGAACGCGCTCGGCGGAGTCAATTGAAATAGGGCTCTGATAGCAACCCAGCTTATAACGTAGCGCAGCTCCTACAATGACACAGTTACTCGGATAGACTTTACAGGTTGTTTCACTATCCTTTTTTTGATCTCGGCCCACGAGAAACAGAATCCTAAAGGGATCCCAGAGAACTTGCGGAACAAGAACTATCCGTACCGGTGAAGCCAGCTGCACTTCGTTAGTGATTTTGACTTCGCAGGAGAAGATGTGTACAACGGCGATCTCCGCAGCAACAACTAGCAGGACAGATGGTTGGACACAGAATCTGTCAAGGAATGGTTGAGGTTTCTCGCTTTAGATGAGTAACGTCGCTGATGATCTGGGTTTAATATGTTGAACAATGCCGGCTACCTTTGATCATTGTCGCGGTTGAAGTGGTTGGACCTGGAATGACGGGTCCTGAGCGGTCATTTCTCAAGGGACCTGTCAACACCGCGATAAATGATCGCTGGCTCTCTTTTGACTCAGGATAGCCATCGTGTGGGAGTGTTGAATATCACTGTGGCTGTGACGCTCTGCTAAGAATGTGGATCCCTAGGTGTATTCATATAAGCAGTTCACCTGCCCCTCACAACATGAATGACAACAACTTCTTACCTTTGAACCTATTGTACACTATTCAACACATGCCACAGGGCAGGCCGCAGTCCACGAAAACCATGGCCTGCCACGGGGCATCTCGTGTCACAGGGCATATCATGCCCCATGGAGAGCAGCAGGCCGTGCGAGAAAAGACACATCGTGAAGATAAGTTATGTGTATTCGTAGAAGCAGCTAGCCGAGACGAAACTATCGAGGAGCGGAGCGACTGCGGACAGGTGCTCGGTAGCCTCAGGCACCACGTCGACAGCCCTGCGTCCCAGAGCTTGACTTGACGAGAGCGTATCTCAGTTTCTGAGGGCCCAAAACGGCTATGGCTTTCAGTGATAATTTGGGCTGCGGCAGCTCCGTCCAGTACTACATACAGCATAGGGAAATTCCTCTCCACAAGTACCCATCTTAAGACTAGTAGGCCTCAAAACGTATCACGAAGTTCCTCCACCTGCGTGACATCTTCCACAAACGTAGCGCCATACTCTCTCATGATCTGTATCTTCTCCTCCATATTCATCGCTAAATGCATTCTCCCAAAATCCCAAGGCAGTTGTTCGGCACTCGCAAACCTCAACACCCATACGCCCACTCCATCCGTCGGCCAACCAAACTCCACCACCTTTGCTTCTTCCTCCGTCATCTCCCTCCCGTCAAGCTGCACTTCGACATAATCCTCCCTACTCGGCCACCACGTCGCACCAGTCCGTCGCAGGAGATTACAGAATCTGTCTTCTTCGTCGGCACTGGGTGAGCGTAGCGATACATGAGAGCGGGGGAGCGATAGGAAAAGCATATCGACAAGGTCAGCGTTTTTTCTGAGAACCCCGCCAGTTGAGGGGTAGCCGTAGACAACGCATCCCCAAATGCTGAAGATGGTCCGTTTGGTCGTCGATAGAGGAGGGTTTGTAGGGCATGAGCCGTCCGGGTGGTCTTCCGTTACTGCTCGTTGACGAAAAATACGGAAACGGTCCACGTTGATGAGAGGTAAGCGGCCAATGGTTTGCAGGCAGAGAGTCAATAGAAAGGTAGAGATGATGGCGACGAGCATGCTGGTAAACCTCATGCTTCAATAAGGCTACAAACCGGAGAAGACCAATGTTGGGTATACGCGACTCGACCTCAGAAGCTCATGAGCACGCTCTCAGTGTCATGCGGATTACCGTCTCAATATGTAGGAATTGGGAGAAGCTCCCTTCAACTAATTAGGCAGGAACATTAACATTGCAAGTAGAGTCATATAAGATGACCCACTGCAATTTCCTATGTATGGCCATAACCGCTAACCTTTTCAGCACTAGCTTAAAGGTATTCAACCCTGTTCTGCCTCATCAACCTGTCCCGCTTGGCTGAGGAAGGCTGACACCCCAGGCAACTGCGTAACAAACTTGACCACGTAGCGGGCGAAGCTCTCCCGCTATGCGGGTGGATTGCGGCCCGAAGATCTGGCTGACGTTAGCCCATCAATATAACTAGTTAACTATGGCTGATTTGGCTGATGAGAGCCGTTGACTTGGCGGACCGAACCGACAATAGTAAGTACTATGGATCGCGTCAGCCATGAAGCCAGGAACGCGAGTAAAAGAGGCTGTTGCTTTATCTAGTGTGGCCTATCTTCTGCTCTCTCAACTTCCTATCACTATAATTTGATACATTCGGTGATGCTCATTGGCGCCGGTAAACCAGAACACCTGCCAATATGACTGGAGACCATGACGGCGGAAACGCCTCTAGTTCCAGTGTGGAGAAGAGGGAAGCGGAGGTTCATCAGCTGGCCAGACAGTTCACAGAGCAGAGCAACTATTCCACGGCGGGACAAAACCCCTTTGCTGCGGAGGCAGGATCGGCCCTGGACCCCAATGGCGAACACTTCAGTGCTCGGGCATGGTGCAAGGCCATGCTGCAGACGTACACCGGGGACAAGCAGGCACATCCGCTGCGAACCTTGGGGGTCGCCTTCAGCAATCTGAATGTGCATGGTTTCGGTTCTGACACTGATTACCAGAAAAGCGTCGGCAATGTCTGGTTAGAGGCACTCAGTCTGGCAAGCAAAGCACTTGGTCAAAAGCAGCGCAAAATTCAGATTTTGCAGAACATGGAAGGATTGGTGGAGGCTGGAGAGATGCTGGTGGTTCTTGGACCCCCTGGATCCGGATGCTCCACTTTCTTGAAGACTATTGCTGGAGAGACTTACGGCTTTCATGTTGATAAGAACTCAAACATCAATTTCCAAGGCAAGTCTGATTGACTAAGAGCAAGGTTCTTTACTAATTCCCGTCAGGTGTGAGCGCAAAACAAATGGCCCGCGAGTTCAGAGGAGAAGCCATCTACACCGCGGAGGTCGACGTCCACTTCCCCAAGCTCACTGTTGGAGATACCCTTTATTTCGCTGCGCGCGCCCGAGCACCACGACACATCCCTGGGGGGGTGAATGCGACCCAGTATGCAAGCCACATGCGAGATGTGATCATGGCCATGTTTGGTATTAGCCATACGAGGAACACAGTTGTAGGAAACGACTTCATTCGCGGTGTGTCTGGTGGAGAGCGCAAGCGGGTTAGTATCGCTGAAGCTTGCCTCAGCAATGCACCGCTGCAATGTTGGGACAATTCTACTCGTGGTCTTGACAGTGCGAATGCCATCGAGTTCTGCAAAACGTTGCGCATGCAGGCAGATATTAATGGCGCCACAGCCTGTGTCTCTCTATACCAAGCTCCTCAGACCGCTTACGACTATTTCGATAAGGTCCTGGTTCTATACGAAGGTCGCGAGATCTACTTTGGTCGCACATCCATGGCGAAGCAGTACTTCCTTGATATGGGCTTCATCTGCCCTGACCGACAAACTGATGCTGACTTTCTCACCTCTATGACTAGCCACCTTGAGCGTGTTGTTCAGCCAGGTTATGAAGGCCGCGTACCTCGAACACCTGATGAGTTCGCTGCGCGATGGAAGGCCTCACCACAGCGAGCACAGCTTATGCAAGACATCAAGAGGTATAATGCAAAGTTCGCACTGGGTGGTGAATACCTGGATAAGTTAAAGCAATTTCGACGAGCTCAGCAAGCCAAGGCTCAGCGTGTATCATCACCCTACACTCTTTCCTATGTACAACAGGTGAAACTGTGTCTGTGGCGCGGGTATCAACGATTGAAGGCTGACCCCAGCGTCACAATCTCTTCATTATTCGGAAATACGATCATATCCCTTGTTATCGCCAGTATATTCTACAACCTCAAGGCTGACACAAGCACCTTCTTTCAGCGCGGTGCTCTTCTCTTCTTTGCTGTGCTTATGAACGCCCTTGGTTGCGGCCTTGAAATGCTGACTCTATACGCGCAACGAGGGATTATAGAGAAGCACTCCCGATACGCTCTCTACCACCCATCTGCTGAAGCGTTTTCGTCAATGATAATGGATTTGCCCTACAAGGTTCTCAACGCTATTACATCTAATATAGTTCTGTACTTCATGACCAATTTGAGGAGAGAACCCGGTGCTTTCTTCTTCTTTGTCTTCACCTCGTTCGTCCTGACTCTGACCATGTCCATGTTCTTCCGGTCTATGGCATCGCTATCAAGATCCCTTGTCCAAGCTCTGCCCTTCTCCGCCGTTCTACTTCTCGGTCTCAGCATGTATACTGGGTTCGCTATCCCAACAGGGTATATGCTTGGATGGGCTCGCTGGATTGCCTACATCAATCCTATCAGCTATGGCTTTGGGTCCCTACTGATCAATGAATTTCACAACCGCGACTTCCCGTGCATGAACTATGTCCCATCGGGTCCTGGCTATACGGATCTCGGGCTTAACAACCGTGTTTGCTCCACCGTCGGATCAGTGCCTGGACAGCCCTTTGTCAATGGCGATGCCTACATTGAGTCAGCATATAGCTATACCGCCTCGCACAAATGGAGAAACATCGGTGTCATATTCACCTACATGTTCCTGCTTGGGGCCGTCTATCTCGTTGCTACTGACTTCATCACTGAGAAGAAGCCGAAGGGCGAGATCCTAGTTTTTCCTCGCGGACACAAAGCTCTGAAGAAGGGCAAGTCAGATGAAGATCTTGAAGGGGGCAGTGGCCGCAGCGTCACAGTGGAGAAGACTGGCTCAGATGGCCTTGACATGATTGAACGCCAGACCGCGATCTTCCAGTGGAAGGATGTCTGCTTTGATATCAAGGTTGGAAAGGAGAATCGCAGGATTCTTGACCACGTTGACGGATGGGTCAAACCGGGAACCTTGACGGCGCTTATGGGTGTTTCTGGTGCTGGAAAGACCACGCTCTTGGATGTCCTGGCTACGCGCACCACTATGGGGATTATCAGTGGAGAAATGCTCGTCGATGGCCAACCGCGGGATGACTCCTTCCAACGTAAGACCGGCTACGCTCAGCAACAAGATCTGCATCTGAGTACTGCTACAGTGCGCGAGGCACTTGAATTCTCTGCTCTTCTACGTCAGTCCGCTCACGTTCCTCGTCAAGAGAAGATTGACTACGTGACAGAAGTGATTAAGCTTCTTGACATGACCGAGTATGCTGATGCTGTTATTGGTATCCCTGGTGAAGGCCTGAACGTTGAGCAACGTAAACGTCTCACCATCGGGGTAGAGCTTGCGGCCAGGCCCCAACTTCTGTAAGTTGTCACCTCAGACAAATTACTTCGGCCTCGGGCAAATCACTGTGGTCTCAGGCAAATTACTGACTAAAGGTGCGTTGCCTGGACAGCCTTTTCCTGGACGAACCGACCTCAGGACTTGATTCCCAAACATCCTGGGCTATCCTTGATCTCCTTGATAAGCTGAAGAAGAACGGCCAGGCTATTTGTAAGTGTCTGATCGTGCATTTATAGCTGCCATTAACGTGCTCCTAGTGTGTACCATCCATCAGCCATCTGCCATGCTGTTCCAGCGCTTTGATCGTCTCCTCTTCCTTGAAGCTGGTGGTCGCACCGTCTATTTTGGAGATGTCGGCCAGAACTCGCAAATACTGATTGACTACTTCGTCCGCAACGGTGGCCCTTCATGTCCTCCAGCTGCCAATCCCGCCGAATGGATGCTCGACGTGATCGGTGCCGCTCCTGGATCTCACACTAGCATCAACTGGTTCGAGACCTGGCGTAAATCCCCCGAATATGCACGAGTCCAAGAGCACCTTGCTGAACTGAAACACGAACGTCCCCAACAAAGCCACCTGTTCCGCACCATATCCAGCCAAAAGCGCGAAGACAAAGCCAGCTACCGCGAATTCGCTGCTCCCTTCTGGGTCCAGCTGTGCGAAGTCCAAGTACGAGTCTTCCAGCAAATCTGGCGGTCACCCACCTACATCTACTCCAAGACCGCTCTCTGCGTGTTATCCGCTCTCTTCGTGGGCTTCTCCCTCTTCCACACTCCCAACACCATCCAAGGCCTCCAGAATCAAATGTTCGGCATCTTCATGCTACTTACCCTCTTCGGCCAACTCATCCAACAAATCATGCCGCATTTCGTCGCCCAGCGCGCGCTATACGAAGTCCGCGAACGACCCTCAAAGACCTACTCCTGGAAAGCCTTCATCATCTCCAACATCGTTGTTGAACTACCCTGGAACTCGCTCATGTCCGTTCTTATGTTCCTGTGCTGGTACTACCCAATTGGTCTCTACCGCAACGCCCAACCAACAGATGCGGTGAACTTGCGGGGCACACAAATGTGGCTGATGGTCTGGACCTTCCTTCTCTTCTCGTCCACCTTTGCACATTTTATGATCGCGGCGTTCGACGCCGCCGAGAACGCTGGAAACCTAGGCAACCTGCTCTTCCTGCTTTGCCTGCTTTTCTGCGGTGTTCTGGCGACACCAGATCAGCTCCCAGGGTTCTGGATCTTCATGTATCGCGTTTCGCCGTTTACGTACCTGGTCAGCGGGATGTTGTCGGTGGGCATATCGAATACGAACGTAACCTGCGCAGACAATGAGTATCTGCGCTTTGACCCAGTTAACGGGACTTGCGGCAAGTATATGGATTCATACATGTCGTGTATGGGTGGGTATCTTGAAGACGAAATGGCGACTTCTAACTGCAGCTTCTGCCCGATCAAGGAGACGAATGTGTTCCTTAGTAGTGTTTCGTCGAGTTACTCAGATATCTGGAGGAATTTTGGGCTCATGTGGGTATTTATTGGTTTTAATATCTTTGCAGCTTGTTTGTTGTACTGGTGGGTTCGTGTTCCAAGGGTCAAGAAGCCAGTTGCTAAGACTGAGTGAGCGTTGTTTATAGTTGTCTCATTTTTTCATACATATTTTATAGGTTCTGCTTGCTCTACTGTTGCGATATCTTCCTAGAATTGAATATACTGATTCTCCGCCCAATATTATCAGAAAACAACTTGTGCAGGTCAAATGGGAATTCAAAGAATAAGATTCGCAGCAATACTCTTTTTAAGATTGGTACTCTACTACAGGATTTTAGCTGCAGTTAAAATCTGAGGATATCCTGTGCTAGCTTGACCATTACCATCTCCCTTATAAACTTTCTGCCTCTATAGACTGCTTATCCTTAAATGAGTCTCTACTTACCTTATACTATTATTTAGTATACCTTTATTCTTCTTTTATATATATACTTCTCTTCTCCTTTCTCAACATGTTCAAACCTTCTAAAAATGTTGGTTAGGGGGAAGCTACAGCTTGAACAATCAGAAGCCCAAAGGCCGACACTGCAATGCGAATGTATGTAGGAGCGACATGAATTGTTCGATAATTAGAACCGTTAAGCACAGGGTATGACAAATCCCAGAACAGAAAAAGAAAAATGCAAACACAGACTAATGCAATGGGGTATACATGTCCATGCTGATACCAGTAAACATGCGCGACTCAATCAGATACTAATATTCCTCAGATTGATATCCTCTGTGGAAGCAGCTGGGGACGCTCTCCTCGTGGACACAAACACCCGTTGTCGGGCAGTAGGCAGTACCGGGTCCGCAGGTCTTGAGGACGGGAGCGCCTCCGGACGCGCATTCGTAGAAGTTGTGGCAGTCGGAGCTATCGGGCCATGCCTGTCCGACCCTGCAGTACGCAGTCGCTGCTGTGGCGGATGAGAAGAGGAATGAGGCCGCAAGGGCGGACAGGGCTTGGTAGATGAAGTGCATTTTGAGGGGTGTCTGAGAAGACCTTAGTAACTTATGGATGATGGTTTGAGTAGGCGAAGTACCTGGTGAGTATGCGATTGAACGGTAACAGGAAGCGATTCAATGGTAACAAGAAGTTGCGAGACGATATCTGGTGGATTGATACTTGATTCTCGACTGAGATTATGAAAGGATGGTTGATATTGAATGAGCTCGAGATCATGGCCATCGAGCCATCTTTATACCTTTCTTGTATCTACGAAGATGTAGAAAACGGTTATCATGAAGTGCTCCCTTGACATCAAAATAGTGATACGTAGATTGACCTTCCGCAGGCGATTTTGACATGACCGGTAGTAACTGTTTTCGTATACACCCCTTGGTAGTGTGAAGCCGGACTACGAGATGATCTTCCAGCATCAGCTACTCCAGGAAAACTAAGCTTAATGCAAGCGACGCATAGTTAATTCTGAGAACGTACAGGAATGTGCTGGATGGCATATTCTCGGGAAAATCCATTGACTGCTGCTTCTTCCACGTGGCTGCTGGACATATCATTACGAATATTCTGTAGATGTCAGACCTCTAAATTAATCTGGAAAGAGAATTGATCATTAAGCTGGGTTGTTATGCTTGGGGTTTCGTCCTGCACATCCTGACTTGCTTTAGGTATCATTCTTGATAACCAACAACCGCGTATGCTGCTATTTGTTTATTGTGTAATTGAACCTGACCAATTCCCTAAGTGTACATACATCCACGATACCAAGTGCTGGATTCTGGAGATGGTGTTCTTGCCGACTATCAATCGGAGGGACAAGGGCCAGGGATGAGGGCCGCCAGCAGCCACGCCGTGGAATGTTGGAATGCTGGAATGTGGAACAGCTTCCGAAGCCACACATCTTTATTTTATCCCTGTGCTCATTCTGAAAGCAAAGGTCGATCGCAGTTCGCTACTGTATCCGAGTTTACGATCGCCATTGTAGCAATACACTGTCTTCCTGACAAACATAGTGACTTGATGGTCGACTAGTATACTGCACATGCTTTCGTCAACCGGTCGAGGCTCTAGTTTATATGATATTCTCTCTTTGTCCCCCGTCATCCAGTAGAAACCATGATTATGAGAATACCTGGTGTTTCGGTTATCGCAAGTGCTGTATGAGCTGTGGATTGCACGACTCGAGCATACCTCAAGGGAAATGTAGCTTGACGCCACCTTGGTCAATGAAGGCTTGACGCACATGTAGTCACTAGTACTATTATTGGCTCGTTGACAGCCCCTACATTCTTCGTAGTGGAACGTAGATCAATACTCCAAAGAGGCTAAGTTAGACTTCAGCCACTCCAACTAAGATGCACTCTTAATGAAACACCAGATTCGTTTCGCAAGTGGTGTCTGGGCTGGCTCACATGCCGAAACAGTCAAGCTCAAGTTGCGAAACGAAGAGGAGCTGCGAGTCGACGGAAACAAGCCTTGTCGGCCCGCATGAGCCAGACTTGATTGTGGAGAAGTCTACCTCTCGTACTAGGAGGAGTTTACGTAGATTTCTTGCTTTTCCTTTCCCTGTCGCCGGTTCTCTACGGGTAGTGTGTTAGTGTTGTCCCCGATCTACATATGGAATTGTAGTAATTCGGGGTCCTGAAGCTTCAAGATCAGCAGGGCACGGAGCAGTAGGAAAAGCTGGCCCTGATTACACTTCAACAGACTCACCGTAGATCGCCATCATCACACTTGAGTGTCTCCATGTTTAGCCGAATATTGCTGGAACCTTCCGAGCCAGACTCACATGTCGCCTCTTCTGGCCAGCAAGCGAACATCGCCAAGTCAGCCATGGGGTCGAACAAAATTATATCCTTCTTACCATTCGCCAGGGAGATTATCCTTGTCCCTGACGCCGGCTTGGCTCGTATTGTCAAACATAATCGCTGTCCGCCAAGGACGGTGGCTTCCGAGCTTGCATCGTGAGTGGTTCTTGGTGCACCAAATACGAGGATCTGCGCGTCCAACCCCCAGAAATGGTGACACGAGAAACTGAGACTGCACTCCTGGGGTTTGATCATAAGAAAAGGGGATGCCCGGTTGACCGATCGATCTTCGCTTGCGTTTGTGATTTTCACTTTCCATCCAACCCACATTCTCGTCGATCCACTCTATAAACAAGCAAAATGAAGTGGTCAACTCTCCTCCCTCTGGCACTCTCCACACTCTCTCTGCTCCCTTCCACGGGCGCATGGGAAATAACATGGACCGACTCCGACAACCAAAAGCAGAGCCAATCCGGCACTGGCCCCAGCGACTGCATCGTGATCGATAACCCCAAGGGCCACCTATTCAAGATCGACTCCCAAGGCGAAAAAGGCATCAACATGCTCCTATTCACAAACAACAAGTGCTCCGGCGAATCAGCAGGCATGGCGACCGACGTGTTCTCCAAGGAATCTTCCCAGGAGCTGCTCGGCTTCAAGGTCGTCGCTCTGTCGTCAACGACTACCACGGCAACCGCTACGACTGGGAAATCTGTCAGCCGAGTTGCGACGACGTTCCCAACCTCTTCGCCGAGTGAGACGGCCTCGAGAAGTATCAGTGATAGCGGCGAGTCAATGACAATTCAGCCAACGGATGCGATGAGCACGGCTGCGACTGCGACCACGACTTCGACGTCGACTTCGACTTCGAAAAGCTCGAGCACCCCGTCTTCGAAGACTTCGAGTGCGGCGAGCGCAGCTACCCCCAATGCCGCAGGCCAGCTGGCGGGTTCGGATGGGGATATGGTGAAGGGGCTCGTCGGTACTATCTTCGGGCTGGGACTGGTACAATGGATGATTTGATGGGCTACTATCTGGCCTGTACGCCTGTTGTGCCTGTATCTCAAGCTGTCTGGCCCAGGACTCATTGTCTGTTGCGGCTTGTTCTATTCTTACCTATGCTTCTTACGACCATTCTTACGATTAATCTTAATATATCCTTCTGTGCATACCATGGATAAATCACTTCATTTCAATTGCGAGCTGACGTTCTAAAAAAGTGACTCTAGATCAGTTGCCGCTTTTCCATTACATTTTTAATGGCTTCTCTTCAAGACTTTCTGTTGATCAATCTTTTCGTATGGAAGAATATCATAGGGAGTGACAGGTCAATAAATCAAATCAATACATCCAAAGCGTGACAATTGCAGCATATCCAATCGAATCTCAAAGAAACTCCTCCACCGGCACCGCCGGCTCAAAATCATCCGGATTAAGTGACAGCAGACAAACAGGGAGCTCGAATTCTTCCCTCATCTGCCCCGCAACTTCCTCGCTGTACTCGTGCACCTCCTTCATATCCGCCTTATCCACCAGCTCATAGTGCCGCTTAATGCGCGGAGGGAGCTCATCCAGCTTCACAAGCCCCGTCTGGACAAGCTCGCTCTGCAGATCCAACCAGTACTCTCCCCGCATAGTCCGACCAGGCACCACATCGCGGTAGTACAACATGGCCAGCGCCTCCGCGTATTGGTTCGGAGTTGGTATCATGACAGCGTAGTCGGTAGAATCCATCCGGCCGAGACGCTTTCGGGGCGAGTACTCTGGCAGCCTGGCATCGTTAGCAAGCATGTAGTGCGGATGGTAGCCGTCGGGCGTGCAAGCCGGGATTTCTGGAGCCGTCCAGAGCAGATCGGATTTTCGGTGGAGTTCGACTGTGAACCACTTTCTTGGGTCGCCTTTTTGCTTGATGTTGAAGTGGGCATAGGGGGGTGGTGCCGGGCGGGTTGGCTGGATGGCGGGGCATGTTTGGCCTAGATAGCAGACGGGGAACTTGGCTGTCTCGAGGATATTGCGTGCTTCGTCAATTAGCTCATCGGGGATGACGAAACTGAAGTCCTGTAGGTGCTGGTTAGATAATGATAAGCTGTAGTTAGGATAAGTACTTACTGAGACTTGGAGAGGTACTCCGTAGAGACTGAAGACCAGATCGCCCCAGAGCAGACAGGGGATTCCATGGGCATTAAGCAGGCGCGAAATCGAGCAGACCAACTCCTTGTTGGCTGTGTAGTCTCCTCTGAATTTGAAGTCTGCCATCGTGACGTGTAGATAATCTCTCGAGGATGATATCGATCTCTGTCCGGAGTGCAACTGGTATATATAGCTCTAGTCGAAGGTCCGTCCATTGCGACGATTATCCCCATATCGTCATTAAGAATGCGTCAAAGAAAATCAAGACAAATGGCAGAGACGCCTAGGCAATACCACTGATGGCTTCGAAGTCGCATCCGTTGGGTCATGCTGAAGGGAAGAGTCGGTGGCTTGTCTTTCTCGATAATGAAACCGATGAGCAAATCAAAGACACAAGTGCGACAGAGCCATTCTATCTTAGATCTGACCTTCTTTTGTCCTAGAGAATGGCCAAACGTAAAGTGGTGTTTCAGCAACAAAGAAATATACATTCAACCCAGCCTATCACTGTCCCGTTCTGAAAGACATGCTGACAATTAAGCACAAAGAACCTATGTGAATGACAGCATTCCGCGTTAGGGAACCTCGAACGTCTCGAGGCCCTTTATCAAAGAAGCACTATTGGAGTAAGTTTGAGTGTATGTCATTTCCATTCTTGAGCATCACTATACCCGCCCATCAAACATCACTGGGAGGACCATTATTAAAGAACTCTGGTGAAGGTGTTTCATGATCTTGACACACTCTTGACATACCAAAGCAAACCATCAGCTTTGGCCATGAAAACCGCGTTGTAAATCTGCTTTAATTTTAGAAAGTCACTCAACTCATGCTGCGTGCGAGCGACTTGAGGTTCGAAAGTAAGAGCCGGGAATAAAGCAAACATATCGAAGCTCTATCAATCTCATATCCGCTTTCTATATTTTCGATATTTGATATCTGACTGCCAGTTACCCAGTTAGAAAAGGATGAGCACTAAGAACCGATCGTATGTAAAGAGTCTAAGAGAGTCCGCTGCATTCAGTCTCAATGCGATTGGACTATAAAAATATAACCATGCTGATAAGTCACTTTCGGCTCCTCTAATCCAATCACGCTCAATGTTGGGCCAGGGTCATCGGTGTTCGCCGAGTCGCAGGTTACAGGCTGTGTTGGATAGCGAATGGACGTGAAGACTTTGAGACATCTCAAGGGTGGATGGTGGCTTTGCTGCGAGCGAGTCATGATCAGCGTATGGCGACCAAACGCTACGCATGAATCCTTGTTCATAATCGAAGTGGGCATTTCGAATGACTCCAACCCGATACAAGTGATGTCCAGGCTCCGGTTCGTATAATGGAAAACCCTCGCCTCGATACTTCCTGTTATTGAACATATCTACAAAGTAAGCCTTGGGACCATGTCCCTGCCACTTCTGGATGTGAATGGCCAGTAAAGTTGATGTCTTGACCCTTGTAATACTTCTGTCTGGATATGGCCAAGTGACATAGCCTGGTATATGGATGCTATTATGGATGGACAAAGAAACGACATCCCTAACCTGAAAGGGAGGGACAACGGAGCCTATGGTACCAAGCAGACCAAAAAGCAATGTTACACTACTCCTGGAGCATATTCGTCACCTTCGTAAACACCCTAAGGTCACCATGTTTGGAAAGCCCCAGCACGTAATCACGCACAATCCGGATGTCCTCGAAGGTCGTCTCATGCAGCACCATGTCGAACCGACGGACCATGTAAGCGATGGTCATGAAGAGCTCGATATACGCGAGACTAAAATGTGAGCAGCGGCTCTCATCTTCGTACTGGCACGGAGTTAACTCACTTCATGCCCAAACAGATTCTGCTTCCCCGGGTAAACGACACGATATACTTGGTCAAGCGCTCCGGCTGATCTGATGCTTCGATCCAGCGCTCTGGCCTGAAGGTCTGCGGGTCGGGGAAGATTGATGGATCTTGATGAACAAAATATGTGGACATACTTACGGGCGTCTGTCGTTGTCAGTAGTGCACAATACAGAGGAAAAGAAAGGACAACTCACCCCCGGAGGAATCGCATAGTCTTTGTATTTCAGGGTCTCCGTCGGGGCAATCCTTGGGAGGCGAATGACAGCCCCGTAAGACAGGCGAAGGGCTTCATTGATTACTGCGTTCTGCACAGGTCAGATGTCATATTTCCAGATGAGGACATGCAATTACCAGATACGGCAGCTTTTCCAACTCAGCCCACGTCGCCGTGCTGCTCAGCGTAGGCAGAACACTCGACTGCAACTCGTCCCGCAATTTCTTCCATATTCTCGGTTCGTTTGCCATGTAGAATGTGGCAACGGTCAAGGCCCGTGCAGTGGTCTCTGTGCCCGCCGCAAGGACGATTAAAGCCTCATCCTGAATACGGGCGAGACTCCGTTCTTCCGGCGGAATGGAGGGGTCTGTAAGTCTGTGGAAGATGGTTCTGGCGCTCTCGTCACGCTTGGACTTCGGCTGGGCCGCATGATCGAAGATAGATTTCTGGAATTCCAACAAGGCGGTTTTACCCGGCTGAACGAAGCACATTATCTGCGCGGGGATTGTACGAAAGATTGTCACCAGGAACGGGAAGAAGCGAAACCAGTGCACGGCCTTCGTGGCCTCGTTGACTGCTGCCCGGATATTACTGCGGAACTGCGGGTCCTCGAGGAAGCCCCAGCTTTTACCGTATGCATAGTGCGTGATCACATCTGCGGTGAGTCCTGCAAACGCAGCATCCACCCGTATGGCTGACCTGCTGTCATATGCTTCTTGGAAGCGTTGCATTAGCTTTAGGACTCTCTCTTCGATGATTGGAGAGAGGACCGTGACGGATTTCTTGGAGAAGTAGTCGCTGAGGATGCTTCGCCGGAACCGATGATGGTCATGGCTAACTGTGGAGAAGGTAGACAAGGGAGCGCCGGAGACATAAACCCATCCGGGGTCTTTGTCGCGTTTGTGGGTTCCACCAGCGTAAATCGTATCGTAGAACGAGGGGTCTTTGATGTGTAGTTCACGAGGATTGATGCGAACCACTGGGCCTGACTGATGTGAGAGACGAGGTGGCTGATGATACAAAATAAACTTTACCGTATCTCTCATGCATTCTTTCGATTTGGAAGAGGAACTGGCCCCCCTTGATCACATCGTAGTAGAACTCGTAGAGGAAGGTGGCTGCGGTCAATTTCGGACCCGGGTATCTGCTTAATGGGTGGAAGAAGAGACGATAGATAGATTGTACAAGAAAGTAGCAGAAAATATAGGCCAGCGCCAGTAGCAGCCATGAGAACGATACCATCATTTTGATGATTCGCACCGATCAAAAAGTTGTGGAAGGAGAAGCGCGACGGGGCAAAGACGAATATATATCCGACGTCCCCTCTATCTAGAGCCAACCACAGGCAGCAAGCGTCCTTGTTTCACTGAACGCCAGGCCATCCATGTCTTATTCATCTCCTGCAGGACGATCCTTGCCAAACACAACGGTCTGCATAAAGGAGGGGTTGGACACATCAATTTGAAACCCTCGTCTGCAGGATCAGATGACGGATATCCCAGCTCGAATTGTACGTTTGCAACTGCATTTGAACGCCGATGATCCAGCAATCATCTAATGGAAGTGCGATCAGCCCAATAATAGTTTCTCCGCCTTCTGACAACAGAGTAGTAATTGAACCTTGAGCTCCCCTGAGTATCCTTCAATGGACGAAAGATTGAAGAGCATCGTGGCACTAGGTGTCTGAAGGGGCATCGTTATGATCGGGAAGAATTCGACATGGCATGTCAACGAGAAGCCTAAAGGGCCGATGGCAATTCTATACTCTTTGCAGATGTCCCAGGGGTAGGTGACGGACAATTGGACAAGCTATTGTGAGTAGTAATTCTGATAACCCCGGGAGAGGGTGCTGCTTCAGTTCGTGACATGTCGCAAATAATACTAATCGCTGTAGTGTCCGTTTCAGCCGTATCAGGGGTGATGATAGCTCTAGAAATGACAGGAGTCTGGTGTATTGTGCTAGTAGTCCTTTCAGACTGAACGGGCCGTTAAAAATATCTTCTTTGTCTTATTCAGTCTTGAGGCATTCTTGACACAGATGAGAATAGAGTGCGGAAGTAAGGCTTCCTGTCTGGACCCAGAGCCGATCAACCAGTACCTGGCATATCTGCCGCCCTATCCTACGGCAAACTAGCAAGCTCGCCTGTCCTGGACTACCTAGGATGGATAGTATTTCAAAACAGCAAACACCTCTTTTTGATCCTCCCTCTCGAAAGTAATCGAAGCCCTTGTAGCATGCGTCGCGGGGCTGTAACACCCTTCAGGCGCCGCGTGCGAATACTTGCCCCCGCTGTAGAATTCCGGATGCAGCTTCAGTGCCGTATCCTGCTCCTGCAGGTCCCACAGCAAACCACACCATGGTTTGTAATTGTGGATGCCCACGACGACGGTGAATATTTCGCCGGAGGAGGTTTTGAAGCGAAGCATTCCAGAGGTACCGCTGCCTCCCATGAACAGCACATGCTGGCCGTCGTTCTCGGTCCAGGTGCATCCGTTGGCATAGTACCAGCAGGTTTTTTCGACACATGTGAGGGCGTCGGAGGTGCTGTTCTCGATACGGAGACGGATAGTGTAGGACATTGTAGCGCTGCAAGTGTCAGCATACTCTTGAAGAGCTTGTGGTGGCATGCATACAGGATGCTGGTGTGACTAGTATGTCAGGACCTGGGATAGTGTAGGAGTGCTGCTGGTTGCAGAGTATATGCTCTAATAGAGAAATAGTGTCTTGTCGAGTCAGGCGGAGGAGACAAGCTCCAATACTCGTGGGATATTGACGCTTTATATAACGGAACCGCGATACCAAGGCTAATGGAGATGCCTTCTCTCGGCTATAATTGACGTATAATTCTGTTTGCTACTCAGATCGCCACCGACAATCCAATCGATGTCAGTGCTTCAGCGGTTTGGGTGCTGTGCTCTAGTGCTTACACCTACGTTAATCTCACGATGAACCATGGAGAAGTGGATTCGGATATGACCGAGCCATGTGCCAAACTCACCTGCAGGAAATAGATCACTCAGAGCTGAAATGAAAAAATGGCGTCGACGCATATACGGGAACTGGAGAACCCCGAGGCCGCGAGGGTGGCGTAAATGGTTAGTGTATACCCGATAGTACGAAGCGACAGGACATGTCCTCTCCAAAGATGCTACTATCAGATTCAGCTCCAGAAGAGCGACGGAGTTTGATGTTAGCATTATCATATAAACGAAAGACGGAATGGCCCGGTCCAATAGTACGAACCCTTGTCGTGGCGTTCCCCAGAAAGGAATCCTGCAGCACGGCGCTTAAAATCTGGTAGTGGCTGAGGATTTCTGAGCTGAAGATATTAAAGTGGCGTGCTGGCGATAAAGTTATTATGCTTGTAATATCCAGTTGATAAATCCCTCTCCAAAGGCTGGCGTGTGCTAGGGCCACTGGAGATACCGTACCTAGCTGAACTGATAAACAGCTACTCATTAGTTTAACGTGTCACCGGCAGGGACTGAGCGTACGCGGACTGAAGCTGCATACCGATGATCGATGGTCTAGGCTCGGTGCAGCTCTCCATATGCACTGTAACCCTCCCAGGAGGGCTGTGCAGCATGTCATTGACCCGGAACCTTGGCGAGCTTTGTCTATGGTGTCACCACGCTCTTTCAACTGTCTCAAGGAGTATTGAAGCCGATTCTACAACCGAACCAATCGGTGCTTGGCGTATATCCGTCAGCTGAGATGTATTACACGATCAGCATCTTCAGGTATTCTTCGGAGATATCCCATCTCAGCTAGCCACTGGAGAATGCCACTGCTCAACAAGCGCAATCATAGGAAGGGAAAATTATGATCCGTGTCGGCGATTTAGTCCTACCGGGATGACCGATGCCAAAGCGTATCTGAGGGAATGTACTCGTCTGACTGGGTCTTCTCTAGCATTCTGGTCGAAGGCGATAGGGTGTTTGTGTACTAGGATATAATACCCATAGCCCTATCTGGTCATTGTTCCTAGAGCTGCCAGGTCATGTAAGCCACCCGGCAGCTCTGTTTTGCATATATATCGCTTTTATCACAGCCATTAATCAGTTAACTCCAAAGGCGAAGCCACTTCCCTAGATATCTGTGCCTTGTTTCCCCTGTATATGTCATAAAACTAGCATGCAACAGACGTTAGAACGGTTGCCAACAGATTAAATGGGAACAGTCCAGATATCCAGCCAAATTCCTGGACGAAGACGCCCAAAGACGTCACATGATACTTCCATGCTCTCATTGACTGCGACAGTATCCCAACGTTCATAAGATACCAGTGGGGACCATTAATTGTCAGCCAAATATCCGTCCGCAGTGAAGCCGAAAATGAGGACCTGACCCGATCGACAACCGATGGCAACCGTGTTGCCCTGCACGGCAGAGCACTCAGGGCGGAATTCAGCGGGTAGCCAAATGAAATTATCACCGTCACGCGTAATCCAGGAACGGTCCGGGCTCAGACCGTAGCCGTAAACTTTTGGCTCTGGGTAGTAGGCAGCTGAAAGGGGCACAAGGTCCTCGTCGTCTGATTCCTCCTCGCTTGGTTTCTCCTCGCCTGGTTCTTCATCAGATAACTGAAATTCATGGGCGGCTGATTCTTCCTCTCCCAATAACACTTCTTCTGACTGACCATTGCTGCTAGCCAGACTGCCTGACTCGCCTAATTCATCGTCAGCTAATTCCTCCTCGGCCGATTCTTCCTCCTCGAATAGCTCTTCTTCTGAGTTATCATCGTTGCTAGCCAGACCGCCTGCCTCGGCTGATTTCTTCTCTGCGAATGACTCCGCCTCAAACGCTCCTTCTGCCTGTTCTTCGAAGTCATCATAGTTGCTTTCACCATTCCCTTTGTCCTGAACTCCTTTGCGCTCTTGATCAATGTAGGTCTGTTCTTTGATCATGTCTCTAGACCACGTCACAGGTGTGAGAGATGATAGATCAACCTTAATACGCCCAAGTTCAGTGACAAGGTATGTTGAAGTAGGGTCGAGAAGTAGCTGATATATAGAAGTGCCGATCTCGTACATCTGTATGCAATCCCCCGTGGCCGCATTCCAGATCTTGATACTGAAATCTTCAGATCCTGATGCAAGTCGATCACCACTTCTTGAAAAGGCCAGTGACGTGAGTCGACGACTATGGCCCCGAATTCTCCACATGCAATATCTTGAGGCCGTCCTCCACATCTTCATGGTGCCACCCCTTAAGCCTGTTGCCAGTCGCTCACCAGTTGGTGAGAAGGCTACTAATGTAACCTGAAAATGATCAATTGTCTGCATGCATTTGCCTGTGCCTGTGTCCCAGATCTTGATGTTGCCACCCATTGAGTATGACGCCAGTTGCTCACCAGTTGCTGAGAACGCTAGTGATTGAACCCAAGAAAGGTTATAACCTCGGTGCTTGAACGTCTGCATGCATTTTCCTGTGACTGCGTCCCAAATCTTGATATCACCGTTGAATAAGCCTGAAGCTACTCGATCACCAGCCATTGAGAAGGCTACTGACGCAACCGAGGGAGCATCAGCTAGTCTCTTCAGCGTTGATATGCATTTGCCTGTGACTGTGTCCCAAATCCTGATAGTGTCTTTCGCTGAGAGTGATACTAGTCGATGGCCACTTGCTGAGAAGGCCACCGACTTGACCCGTTCCGAACGGCTCTGAATTGGTGTCGTGTTATTGACTATGGCCGTGTCCCAAATCTCAATATCACTAAACCCGGCCGATGCGAACTGATCATCGGTTGCTGAGAAGGATGCTGACATGATCTTCCCAGTACTATGGCCCACAAGCGTCCGCATGCATTCGCCTATGGCCGTGTCCCACATCTTAACACTCCCATCGAATGAGCCTGATGCCAGTTGATCTCTGTTCCTTAAGAAGCTTACAGAGAAAACTGCATCCTCATGACCATTAAGTATGTGTAAGCAAGCACCTGTGGCTGTGTCCCATATCTTTATGGTGCCATCCGATTCCCCGGAAGCAAGTCGCTTATCATCCGCCGAGAATGCTACTGATTCGACAAATGCACGATAGTTACCAAGTTTGTGAATTTGTTTGCCCGTGGCAGTGTCCCAGATAATGGTACTGCCCCCATCCAAGCCTGCTGCTAGTCGATCATCGGTGTTTGAGAAGGCTACTGAATGGACTGCATAAATCACTTCAACAGTCTGCACGCATTTGCCGGCGACAATGTCCCAGATTCTGATGGTCTCATCTGATGACCCCGATGCAAGTTGCTCGCTTGTTGCTGAGAAGGAGACTGAGGAGACTGGACCACTATGGCCCTGGAATACTTGCACGCAATCGCCGGTGGCTGTATCCCAGATCCTGATGATGTGATCCCTTGAGCCTGATGCTAGTAGATTTCCCTTTCTTGAGAAGGCTACTGAATTAACAGTGTCATCATAACCCTGAAGCGTTTGCATGTGGTCACCTGTGGCTGTGTCCCATATTTTTATAGAGCCATTCTTCAAGCCCGATGCAAGTCGATCACCGGTTGCTGAGAAGGCTACCGATTCGGGTGTAGCCTTATTGAGGTCAAGCGTATATAGGCGGGGACTCCAATCCAGTTGCGGGAGGGGTATGTGAGATATCCAGGTGTGTAAGAATCCCTCAAATGTCTGCCGAATCGGGCTTTTTTGCGGGGCAAAAACAAGACCTGCAAAATATGCCTGGAGCGGTGCTACGTCAATCACTTGACGGAAGAAACGGATAAATCGATGCATGTCGCGAAGAAACGTAGAGAGTTCAGTGTTGTTGGCGGACTATGACTTCTATAAGCATACGCTCGCATAAAATTGGATAGCGACTTACATCAACCGCAGTCTGCAATTCCCCCAGTAGCCTGATGCTCTCTGAAATCCCACCGATAAGACTCAATGCCTCAAGCCAGTGGAGGAAATGCTCTTTCAAAAATCGAAGAATTGCCCCTTCCTCAATCAACTCGTTCTCAAAGCCCTGGTCTTTTGCTTTGCAAAGATGGCCAACCCAAAAGACGCAGGAGTAACGTATCGGAGCCAACGGGTCCGGGTCAGGTGGCGTTACGTCTCTGGACTCGAAACCTGGATACGGCAGAGCATAGATGTTATGTCTCAGTATCGAACCCATCGCAATAATCGAGCGCGCGCTGATCTCCGCATTGCCTTGGCCGACGCTACTACCTAGTCTTGTGTAGTCTGCCTCGAGATAGTCCTTGGCGGACTGGTGGATCAGGGAGACGGTTTGGCCCGACATTGCCAGGAAAGAACCGCATTTCTCGACAATTGTCCGCGGGTTTATCTTTGGTTGCAATCCAGCAAGAACGGCGAGTTCAGGCAGCGAGAGAGTACGATATGCGAGTACCACGGCGACTAATATGTTCTTACAGCGCCTTTGGTTTTGTGGACTGCCCTTCTCGATTTGGGCCATAATTAGTTCGTACACATTCGACAAGCCAGAGGGAATCCTTTGGATAGTCTCGACGGCGTCCCACCCGTCCACTCCGTCCAGTTCTTTGAACGCCAATGCCACCCAGAGGAACGTGGACATAGCTCGCTGGCGGATCTCGTCCGAAAGTTGCGCCAAGGTATCCGTATCATAACCGTCTTTTCCCTTCATGCTGTCAAGCTTATGGTCAATATATGCGTTGACGGGGCCTTCCAGACGCCTAGGGTCCAACGTGACCGAAACTGTTGACGCATGAAGACCCTTGAGATCCTTGCCGTCTGCATGAACAAGAACCTCCGGACGGCTAGAGAGTAACCACTTCACCTTACTGGAGAGCGCAAGCGAAGTATCAATCAGGCGAAGAAGCTGCTCCAGGCCCGGGGTTTTCCGGTCACTCTCATCAAGGGCATCGATGGCAAAATATATTGGGGAGAGGCAAGGGTCTTTTAGCATGCTCCGGAGTGCGTCAGACAGCACATAAAACGCGCGCTCGCCTCTCAAAAGAGTGGAACCAGCATTTCTGCGCTGGTCTCGGAGGTGCGAGATAAGAGATGGTTGCTGCACTAGTAGCTGCCAAATCAGTGATCGCAAGATGGTCGTTGCGCTATTCCGGGTCTGATCTGTACCTTGGCAGAAAAAGTACGAGACACTCGGTGAAAGGGCGGAGGGCTGACCGGAGAGCTTGCGAATAATGCCCATGAAGAGCATCGTTTTGCCGGTGCCAGCAGGTCCGTTTAACCACAGCACACGGCAGGACGGTCTATTGAGTCCGTCATTGAGCCAATTGGTGAACGCGGCGTACTCATCGGTGCTAAGGACCCAGTCATACGCATCGTCAAGCAATTTATCCTTCCTCTCCTCAATGTCCTTCAGATCGTACTGTGGATCCACAGCAAAGAGGTCTTGGAGGCATTCCTTGTCCTCAGCGTTCCTTCGTGTTGTCTTTTGCATGGCAATAAAGTCTCGCAAGTTCTGATGAATGTCACCAAGGTATTTCTCCATTTCACTACCAGAGTCGACGAGCTGGCGCAGAGAGCTTTTTTGATACTCTCGGTAATATTGCTCTGAATACTCCCGCACGACGATTTCGGCAGCCTTAACACACGCCAAATCACCGTCCCAGTCGTCCAAGTTCGCTAGTCCGCGCAGGAATCCAACGCCTCGATGCCGGTAATAGGAACAGACGCTCTTCATCTGATAGAGGAGGAGCTCCTTGTAGAGCAGCACAACTGCCTTCTCCAGCCTTTCTAAGACCTCTTGAAACGACTCCGTTCCGATCATAATATTGCTCTTGTTCAACAGGTGTTCGGTTAGGGCGCAATACCAGTCCATTCTTGAGGTCACATGAGCGATGCCCTCCAGGTTAGACTTCGTGGCCTGCGTAGGGTTCAGGAGGATCTGGGCAAACATTAGTGGGTCCAAAGAAGAGTGAGCGATGACTGCTTACTTGTAACCCGATACAAACACCAGCCCACGGGAGCACAGCCTGCGGTATGTTCTGGATTGCGAGGTCGATCATCCCTTTGGCAGAAAGGATGAACTGGGCGACATCACCCACTGCCATTTTGATCTTTGACGACGTTTCGATTTTTTTCTGACCATCGTTGACTAATTTCTTCAGATATTCCTGACGCGTGGTTGGACTTTGCACCTGGGCAGCAAGCTCATCGTCGTCGGGGGCAGAGACACCAGAAGCTTTCTCGGCCTTGAGAACTGCGGTAAGAGTCTTCAGGTAAGACTTGACAAGGTCAGCAGTATCTTTGTCCTCCTCAAGGCTATCGTAAGCGGCATTCCAGATTCTCTGGGATATGGAAAGCTCTGCGCCCTGATTCGTTAGGCGCTCTTCGGGTCCGGTATGGGCCCCAGCAGGATCGACGACCGTCGAGGCAGGATGAGGAACATGCCTAGGGTCAGCAGGATCGGATGAGACATCAAATGTCGCTTTGGACGGTGACGTTGTTGTCGGCTGACGATTCCCGGAGATCGCTAGAGTCAATTCGGCCATTTTCCCACATGGATCCGACGGAGCAGGCGAGTCCACCAGGTCGCTGGACGGGGCTTCTGCGCTGCCTGATGTATACCACCGTTTAGCAGTTGGGGCAGCTGTACAGATCTAGAAGGCCTAGTATGGGCTTCCAACGCGCAGCTTACCTGTTGGTGGGGGAGTCGAGGAGGCGACAAAGCTAGAGCTATCGTTCTGACTCTTTGTTTTCCTAGCCCTCCAAGTTTTCCAGCGATCCCTTACGCTGTGCATGGCGTCTATTTGATGACAATTATGTCGGCTACAGAAGGGGAATACCTATGTAGTCAAATGGGAATAGCGGTCTCATCAAGCCAATGATGAAAACGCAAAAGCAATTGACAACGGTGAAGGTGGGGTCACGTTGGAGACCGCAAGGAGAAAAAGATACTATGTAGCTGACCAAGGGTAGAATTATTTGCTAGCCATCCCAACGACCGGGGAGGAGATCTGAATTCCAGGCGATGGTGAAAAAAGTAAACACCGGCAGCACGTCGTGAGGGGCAAGCACCAACATACGAGGCTGCGTAAGAATACATTTCTATTGGTCCACAAAAAGACCGATTATTTCAGTCTTAATGAAAGATGGGAGATTCTGTCCACTGTACAGAGCCAACAAGTGCGCTAGGAATTTAAAACATTATCTTCTTCAAATACTTCTGGACTACAGGCTAATAAAATAACGCCTACACCATGTCAATCAGCTCCGACCGAGTTCATAGATGCGGGCCGAGCCGACTGACCCAACTCAGTCGTACGGGTATTTGTACAGTGGACTACATTCGTACACAAGGACTCATCACTCTTTTTGCTGTTACCCGCCGGTATTCCCAATAGTTCGAATCTAAATATGGATCTAAATGTAGAAAGACGCCGGGAGGGCCCAGCTCATAGATGTACTATATGGTGAAACTAATACATTTCAACAAGTATCGTAGGATCCAATATCATACTGTATAAGTATACGATTTCTGAGCTACTTGGCGGTCCCTACCTGGGGGTGCGAATGGTGCGGATATATGTAATCTGCAAATTCCAATGTGCTCCTATTGGATAAAAAGCCCATCATAACTCCCACCGTGACTTGCTGCATTACAACTTGAATCACTTCTAATATGATCAGTAGCTTTAGCTCCTGACATAGTAACAGGAGATACTGCTAAAAGAGAATACGAGACCCACTGAGACAATATTATGCATAATCCTTCTTACTGTTTGAACAATCATCATGAGGGGAGATGTCACTAATATACATAGCATATGCTGACCTAAGGCACAGAGAGGTCGGTCCATAACGAGTGAAGACTGACTATTTCTGACCCTCGCCATCTTTCGAGCGGTCGTTCTCATACTTCTGCACCTTTCTCCACTCCTGTTTCACCTTCTGGATAGCCAGCCCAATCATCCCCGAAACCAACCCAAGGGCTAGCACTGAATTCCGCAGTCCGTTTGGATGAATCCAACCCACATTGCCCTCCATAGCACTGACGCTCATGAGCGCAAAGTTGTACGTCCCATGAAACCATACCGCGGGACCAATCACTCCCCACAGTCCTAAAGAGTCCCCGTGATAATCCCTCCGCGTAGCCCGCAGCGCCGTCAAACAAGCCACAGAAAGATGCCCTAGCTGACCCAGCACTACTCTCTCGACGAACGTCAGCAGTAATTTCGGCCAGCTCTCCTGACCTCCCTCGCAGGCTGAATAAATGAACCCAATGTTCTCCACGACACTGAAGCCTAACGCACTGGCAAGGACGTAGTCAATGTACGCCCTGTCGCGGCGTTGCTTCTTCTTGGCGTCTCTCCGGCGCGCATAGATGACCGGGATGTATTTCAGGAGTTCCTCGACGAGTCCAGCGGCAAGATACGTCAAAGTGCCGTTGAAAATCCAGTTCTGCCATGAGGAAGCTAGTTCCGCACGACGGTCAAGTTGCTCTCCTGTTAACCCAGTAATAGTTATACGAGAAAATTCAGCCCAGAATTCAATGCGGAGCTCTTCAGAAGAAAAGAGGACAGCGCTGACGGCTTGACAAATTCCCATTTGGACAGCCGCTGCCGCGGCTAAACCGAGGGTGCCGCTCAAGGTGAAAGTCCAGATGAGTGGTTCTAGCTCCGCGTGGCGGGCGGGAGACGCTCTGCTGCGTTTTCTCCATTTCCTGTAGAACACGCCTGTTGGGACTAGGCTTAGAGGGGAGAGAAGGGCGGTTTTTGGAGATGTGGTGGCTATGAGCAGAAGAGCGGACGGAGGACCCAGGTAGCAGAGAAGACGAGTGGAGAGGGATAACGAGCTGTTTGGCGCTATAGAAGACATTCCAAAGGAATAATGCTCTTGCAGTTCATATTAGGGTGCTCGATGAGGTCGATAATCCTACTTGTCCATCTGAGTCAAAAGAGGGGTCAATCTGATATCACGTGATATAATCCTGGCATCTGGGCCAATAAGACTGCCTGAACACTTAAAATGAGGTTCTATTCAGGGGCAAGACCTTCATAATTCTGAACTTATGGTAAGCATTGCAAAGTAGTACTGAGAGTGTGCTTGCTTGTAACAAAAAGACTGTATGTAACCCCAGCAGATGAAGTGGTGGAGGGTTTGAATAGATCAGTAATGAAATCAATATTTATACCGCCTTCATGCCCCCGGATACAGAACACTGGCAACATGAACCTGACTTGACGCAATCATCCAGTAGCAATAATGGAAGGACGACAGTGAAAACATCTGTTCCCTATCTTATTTCCAGCAACTCTGAGATGGCAGCTCTGCGACATTCACAGTAAGCGTCCCCTCTGAGGTCGTTCCAGAGGGAGAAAGAAGGCGAAATCCCTCTTCACCAGTGACAACACCTGAGTTTTGCTCGATAACCACGAAGTTCAATGACTTATTATTGCTGGGGTTCGTCGCTCTAAAGCATTTCCCGCAGTTTGGATCGTTCCACTTCGCAACAGCTGGCGAGGCACCGACATATGTATTCGGTTGTAACTTGGTCTGGAGTCGTTGGAGGTTGTTTACGCCGTATCTTGTTATGAGGCCATTGGCACCGTCTGAGCAGGAAAATGAAGTGAGTTCAGAATTTTGAGCGTAGTCATAGTCGCGATTATATTTCAATGTATCTGCTTTGACAACTGGGCTTGCTAGGACGGCAGACGAAAGAATAGCAGCCGTAATGGTCGAAAACTGCATCTTGATGGAGGATTGAGCTTCTTTAAGGATAAGGCTCTCTAGGATAATCAATATTTGAGCTGTTGAGAGATAAACAGTAAAGCACGATTGTTAAGTTAACAGGAAAATGCAGGACTCAGAGAAGCTTTTATATTTTTCAGCATGCCCACTCAGACCGGATGACAAGGCTCAATGACCCTGAATTAACTCTACATTAGTATTAGTATTATTGTGTGGTGAACTGGTTGTACTCCCTATGCTGCCCAGGCGTCCTATCATAGGCTTGTACACCTTGTGGAAGTTGAGAAAAAGGTGGATGAGCATGTACATACCAAAATTGTGGCGGGCGCCAAGGGTTGTAATGCCCTAATACAGCTCAGTCACATCTCAGCATACAACAGAGAGCTAACTAGTTAACTAATAGTTATATCATTATGATTAAAGTACTTCTGCACGTCCCGTATTCATGCATAAGGGGCATGAAGGTGGTTGGTCTATCTGACAGAGCTCAGCTGCAGCCCACAACACGATATCCAGAGGCAAGCACAACCGACGACAAGCAATCGGTGGTTGGCATCCTCGACATGTAAAATCATACAACTAAGAACTAGGTGAAAAGTGGATCTTACGATACGGCATCACTCGAGCCGGTCTCAGATTCTGTCAGGCACTCCTGGCCTCAACAGATCGAGTCCCTCGGATGCCTTCATACGACTCGATGGCAGAAATCTCATCAACCCCCGAATAACTGGAACAAGGCGAGCAAGTGTTGGATCGTGCACCCTCTTATTAAACCTTGTCTCTAGCTCCGATAGCTGATGATATTGGAGGAAACTCAGCAAATCTGGCTGGATCGCGTCCACATGGAGGATTGTTCACTCACCTTCCATCACTTCCAACTGATGCTTCGAGTTCAACCGCATGCGGTCCCACGCTGGCTGCCAGTCCTCTGGCACCTTCTCCACAAACCCGACCATCTGTGCAACCAAGGCACCATCGTCGTCTAGGTACCAGAATGGAGTCGTTCTGAATATGAACGAATAAATCTGCGTTGAAAACGTTACCTACTAATTTTCCTGCGGACCGCATAAGGCTACTTACCATGCAGCCTGCACGCCATAAGTCGACTCGGTGGTCAAAGGAGTTCCCGAAAATCGTCTCTGGTACCTGCAATTGGCCTGGTTGAGAAAGATATTTAGGCTCGTGTCCTTGAAGGAACCCCTCTCCAAGGTCAAGAATCCGGAGGTCTTCCTCTTGCTCATCTACCCACTCGTCCCATTCGGCTGCTTTTACCATATATGTGAACAACAAAGTATCCAACAATTGGACTCCACTTATGTCTGCTGTATCCAGCGGGAAGATCGACGCCGTTCGTATATTGGTCGAAGCGGGTGAAGGGTCGATGGTGGAGACTGAATGGGGCGATTCTGCTTTGAGTATGGCTGTACGAAGCGGACAAGAAGCTATCGCGGCGTTCCTTGCAGACCACGGTGCTCTTCTGCCTCGCGGAGTGACTGGGCGACGTGCCTCCATTATTGCCTCCCGGAGAGGATTACAACGCTTAGTGCGACGCCTAACGGTTGCCTATGAGGCCGTTGCTGGGATGTCTTTGCAGCATCAATCGTCTAGAATTATGAGCGGACTCCCTGAGAGTCTTGACATACCGTGGGAAAGGAAGTCAGATTCCCCAACTGATGAGGTCTCTTTTGCGGAGCTCATGGAGCAATATGATATCAAGACTGGCTTGTATCAGCGATACAACATGATGCAGCAAATTGGGAAGGGACATTTTGCCACCGTGTACATCTGCTCCAACGGAGTGACAGGCGTATTATTTGCTGTCAAGATCTTTCAGAGCCATAAATCTCCCTCATCATTGGATTTCAAGGGCTTACATTACGAGATTCAATTGCTACGCGAACTTCAGAAGCGTTCTCATCCAAATCTCATGAGGATGGCAGATCTATTCGCAGACTTTGACAAGAACAGGATCTGCCTCGTCATGGATCTCGGGAAAGAAGGGGACCTCTTCGACATTATTGTCGTGAACCATAATTTCACCGAGGCCGAAACACGAATCATATTTATTCAGCTATTATCCGCTATCAAATTCCTAGTGAGTTCTCCCTTTTGCCCTAACCATATTAAGAGTTCAGAAGCTGATGCCTAATAGCACGACTGTGGATGGGTCCACCGCGACGTCAAGCCCGAGAATATCCTTGTTATGGACAAGAATCTTACAATCCAGCTAAGCGACTTTGGGCTGGCAAAGAAGCTCCACACAGAGTCGGGCTTCGAAGAGTTGACAACGACCTTGTGTGGAACTCCAAGCTGTACATTTCTTAGTCCTTGTCCCCTATAGGCAATTTCTGATCTATTTAGATGTGGCTCCGGAGGTCATTCAGCTCGCAACTGTCGATACGGTTTTGGGGTGGACTTGTGGTCTTCCGGCGTTGTCTTATACATCTATCTATGCCGGTTTCCCCCATTTTCCAACGACTTGCACACCGAGGAAAACCCGTGTACCCTCGCGGAACAGATCAAGATGGTCAGTATTATTATCCGTCCCCTTATTGGGATTCCGTGGGAAATTCTGCTCTGGATCTCATTGATAGCATACTCACGATAGATGTGGACAAACGTGCCACGGCCTGGGAATGCCTCTCCCACCCGTGGATGTGCGAGGAATCATCTATATCACCAGATGGTGAAAATGATGCAGTATGGCCCTTCCTCTGGACATGTGGACGTTAAAGCTAATGCCGAAACAGGTCCCCGATAGCGAATGGAACGCGATAATAGCCGGATTATAGGCATCACTTCAAGCACGAACCTACCTTGTTGGAATGGGTTCTGAAGATACATGTTTCCTGTTACTTCAATTATGGCCTCTTTTATCCTTTCTACGGCCAGTCTTAAGCTACTTCCCATGGCACTATTCAGTTATAAGCTGGACTAGGCTAAAGTTCACCCCCACGCTGTCCTTAGACAAAGAGGTATGCTAGCGACATATCATCATCAGGATTGAGACGACAGAGAATAAAAGTCTATCCACTACGTCTCGCCTCAGCAGCCTGCAGCTTATCAGCCGCAGCATGTCTTCCCATCCTTCTCAACCAGACCTTTAGATCAAACTCGCCCTCGCTGAGTTCCCTCGGGTCCCCAACAAACTTGAACGTGTATCCGAGATCCTCAGACGACTCCATGCCATCCGTGTATCTAATGAGACAATCCTCAGCACAATAGTTTCCAGTCTCATACTCAGCAAGCCTCTCTGCATCCTGCGTAGTACGGACACGATACGCTGCGCCTTCAACAACAGACCCCGGACGATCGAGTAGGGCTGGATATTGACCCCACATTTTACACTCATAGCCCACGATGTGTGCAGGCCGCAGTTTTGGTTCTTCGATCAGTTCGAGGATCTCGGCGATCATCGGCGGATCTGTTAATGTGCCGTAGAAGAAGTAAGGGCCAGTGGGTGCGGCGAACAAGTCGACAGGTTTTGGCTTCTTTGGGGGCTGGTAGAAATAACCAGGAGGCGCGCTTCTGAGTTTCAGAACGTAGGGGGATATCTTTGAGTGAGGATTCGAAGGTAGAGGGGGAGGTGGAGGGCTGTTCCTTCCTTCTTGCCCTGCATCGGCCATTGTTACCAAGGACAGTAGTTGTCAAACTAAAAGACGGCAAGGTAGTTGTCTGATAATGCGGCACGTAGCTTGAGAATGTACTTTCCGATTTGAAGCTTATTCCTACTCATGGCCTGGCTGCATAATTGTGCAAAGTTATACTCTGGTTGTTGACAGGAATTCCACGGTGGATTCTGATCTCACGGTCAATTGGCATAATGCCCAGATCCGATGCTTTTTATAGAGCGCGCTACCCGCTTATTGCTTAGCTCAGGACCTGTGGCTAGGTTGATTGGCCATGTTTCAGTGCAACCCTGGGTTTATCAACCTGGCAGATCTTGGCACTTTTAAAGGCATATTTTATTGAGAAAGACCCTCCGCGATATCACAGGTGACGACGGGAACACATGAACACATCACATCCATGAAGTTCTTCCAAAGGAAGTTAGCCGCCCTCCTGGCGCTTGCCTACTGCCTTATACTCCCAGTAATAGCCAGCGGAGAGGTCCAACCGATTGGAATCGATTTTGGCCCTGAGATCATGTCAGTACTCCCCGGTCCGCGATATTCACGCTCCCCAGTGGCTTACCGATTGTAGAACGGTCGCATATGCGCACACTTCTGATAATGTCTCGATTGTCGCCAAGGTTATCCCCAGACTGAATGACACGTATGCAATTCATATGCGTCACCTTCGTCAAGAAGCCTACGTACAGAACAATGTAGCGGCCATGTATGGTGAGAGAGATGGGCTGATTCCGCGGATAACTGACGCCGTGGCGGCGGGACTAAAAGTGGCTATCTCTAAGATTCACGGTCTGGTGCCACTATCGGTTCAAGAACGCATTTCCGGGTCGGAACTTTTTCAAGCAGCGTCTGGAGCCATGAAGACCACATTTGGTGCCATGATGGGATTTCTCGGACTAAACTACTCATCTTCCGCGTCGGCAGCTCTAACATTAGACGATATCAAGACAGAGTTCGTTTCTGTCCTCACCGAACTCAAAGCACAAGCACAGAATAACCACAATATTGACATCGAATCCGCGACCGTCGTTATCCCCCAGTTTTTTAACAGGACTCTTGCTGATCTCGTGTGGACAGCATGCTGGGAAGCTGAGATCAGCCTCTCGCGCGGACCTCAGGACCGTACAGTCCTCGCTACGTTCAATCAAAGCCAGGAGACCCAGGTCGACAACCCGGACATACGATACTTGGTACTCGACTTAGGGGAGTTTTACCTGGATTCACGAACGTATAATACCGACAGGCGCGCCGGTATGAGAGAGGGATACCTCCCTATGGATCAATGGGGCACTGAGTCCATTGCTCGACATTTGACCAGTAGGTTGGTCAAGAGCTCTGAAGCACTGAGGTTTCAGATCTCCCTTGGAGCGCGGGAGAGTGATCTTTTGGAGCCGGTCAAGCAGGCTCGTTTGATGATGCGGAACACAAGGAATTCCGGGGCGAAGGGGCCTGGGGAAAATGACGGATATCATGACGAATGGCCGCTTGACCTGACAGGCTGGAGGTATCAGGAGTTTGAGGAGGTCAAGGCCGTTCTTACGTGGCAGGATATTGAAGTGGTCGAAAAGGCTTATGTGGATAGCCTGGTCGACAACATCGTCGCTCATCTGACTGCATTGAGAGGTTGGTTTTCTTTCCCCCGAGATGGTCCATCGAGATGGCTACGTAGGGTCTCACTGACGCCAAATAGAATACCACCTGGGTGAAACGCACAAGGATGACGAAATTCCACAGAGAATCGATAAGCTGGTTATTTTGACTGCCGGTCACGATGGTTACCTGGTCAAGAGGGCAGTCTGGCAAGCTCTTGGAGACCAGATTGATGTCATTGGAGGGACAGTGCATGATTCTGGGCTTGCTGCCGTTGGAGCAGCCCGTTCTGCATTGGAGGAGATACAGAAGCAAGTATGGACCAAGTACCAGGGATGGATACAACACGATGAGATATGACAATGATACAGTTCTACTCAAGATTTCTGTGCTCGTTAACTTACACATTCTAAGTGTATTTCTAGTAAATCTCTAGGTCTTAGAAGGCTATGCCCTATCTACTAGAATCGGCACTCGTCATCTGCAACCGTGTCGACCAATAAGAGCTGACTCTCAAAAGCCCTTACAAACATGAGTTGCATTACTCTTCTCCCCAAGCCTCTGCTGAAAGGTGCAATCCATACAACCGTCGCTAAGGTATTAAATACCCACAGGATGGCCGATCCGTCTGGCGGTGTTCCTTCTGTGATGCAAAATATGCAAGACGGGAACCGATACGTCAAAAAAGGCAACATCTTGCTGCCATGCCCTTCATTCGATAAGCCCGAAGACATCTTAGACCTTCCCCCCGGATGAAGAGGCCATTACCGTTCTCGGTAAACAGATGGACAGGATTGTACTTGAGTATGTCTTCTCCCATGTGACTAAGTACGGGCATGGAGTGCGACCCCTCGACGCTGAAGCAATGAGACTTGTATCTAAGCATACTTCCGTTCCTTCGCCTGAAGTGATTTTCACAGATTTCGATGATAACTATGGAAGCATCGACATGACTCTTCCAGGAACGCGTCTAGAGAAGGAGTGTGATACACTGGTGAAGAAGAGCAAAGAGTTGGTTTGTCTACAAGTCTGGGACATGGTTTCCAAGATAAGCTGCATTCCGCCTCCACACCAAAACTCGAAGATCCTTTCCAATGCCTCGCCGATGGGTCTCTATCAAGGGGCCCACTGCTCGCGGATCTGCAAGATTCGGGCCGACCCCTGATGAATGATTCAGATCTGCGAAGTCGCCTCTACGAGCGGTATCTTCACTTTGGAGGGAGCCGATACGAACGCGAGTTACCTGGCATGCTACCACACTCTGACTGTAGTGTGTTCACGCACGCTGATATTGCACCTCGCAATATTATGGTTGATGAACAGAACACAGTCACGGGTATTCTCGACTGGGAATGTGCGGGATGGTACCCGGATTATTGGGAGTATGCGCAAATTATGAGGCCTGCTTTCGAGGGTGACTTTAAAGTGTGGATGGACCGGACTGCACCTCAGAGATGGGATATTAGGGGGATCAACGCCGCCAGGCGGGTCTTGTTTTGACATCGCCACATACGACTGGATACGTTTGTGAGGGTGACGAGGGGCCCTATTTCTGTCCTATGCACCATTTCGAGCATGAACTTATGTTGTTCAAGAATGAGTATTGAAGGTCCATATCATGCTGACATCATTGTTTCTGTTTCTTCCCTGCTATCCGCGATTGGTTTACTCTGCAGAAGACCCCATGTCAAACAAATGGGTGACTTTGTATAAAGTTGTCTTCTACAAGTGAACGTATTCCTACCACCTCTTTAATAAATTACCATCGTCTCAGACGCTCACATAAAGGGCTAGTTGCTTGCCTGTATTTCGTACATTCAGATTAACTAGTCGAAATATGGGAAGGTTCAAGCCTGAGGCTTAGTATAAGCCCCCTCTTCTTGTGATGGGACTTCCTCGTGATCCACCCTTCCCCCATTTTCGCATCGGGAGCACTTCCTGCTCTCCCACGCGATTTCTATTACACCTTCAGATTCTTGAGGTCAACCCGCGGGTAATCACGGACCCACGGATACTAATTTTTGCCGCCCTGTCATTTGAGACATGCATTGCCTTGAGAGCCTTGGCTGCGGCAATCTGCAGGAGTCATCTTGCCCAGGAAGAAGAATTTAAGGATCAATAGAATTTTTTGATAATTAGACAAGGTAGATCAAGCTGGCATTTGAAATATTATACACCAACAAGTTGCAAAGAAAAGGCGTGAACGTGGGCAGTGCATAATCTCCACAAACACGAGCCGGAAGCACCAATGCGATACTAGGAGGCAATGCAAGAAACCTTTCGAATATTTTGAAAGGGTACCTGAAAGTTTCTCAAGGAACCCCAGTCATTGCCAGAGGAATATGAGAATTATCCGACAAAGTAAAGCGACAGATTAAGATCAAGCTCAGCTAGCGGGAGATCTGAGGCAGGACAGACAAAGCATGGCACAGGAACAGAATCGGTGTTCAAACCTGCCTCAATCAGGCTGGAACAATGCCTCAGTGGCCGTCTGAAGGAATAGAACTTGTTATTAGGGCTCCGAGAGGAATATGAAGACGGATGAAAATCCATGAAAATCTGCGAATATGAATCCCTCCCGTAACCCACCGTGTTTAAAGGACAAGCCCCTAGGCCGAATTCCTCTAGAAATGGAACTAACTAGCTGTATGGCTAGTCTTGAATCAAGTCAAGATGAATGTAGAATCAGAAGCGAAGAGGTCATGCATCCGTTAGGCGATTGAAAGTTGGCTGTCATGGCTCTTTTACATGATCCACAGTTGATGGGCCATAGCGTCCGTACAGTTGCTAGTCCGGTTACTAACCGGTCATATGACTCAGGCATACTCTGTAACTTAGTTAACTAAGTGGGGTATGCTTAGGACACCTATATGCTCACTGGCCGTATAAAACAGCTTTATGCCTAGGCGGCCTTACGCCTAAGTGATAAACCCACCAACCGTGATTTTCATAAGCATCCCATAAAGTGTTGTCATCTGGCTCTCATATATCTACGCTTCCTAATATCCTTTTAGTCCAACCAATTTCTTCATTTGTTGAAATAACCCTTAATACCCTGTTTTCAAACGAGCTTGCCGCTGGTCGTTTCAAACATCGACCATCTCCCTACCTCAAGGGTCACCAACAAACTATGCCTCATCTCGCCCACGTTTCCCTGGTCGTCCGTGACTACGATGAGGCTCTCGCCTTTTACGTCGATAAGCTCGGCTTTACCCTCGTCGAGGACACGCAGGAGCCCGACAAGCGCTGGGTCGTCATCCGCCCTCCAGGTGCGTTGCCAGACGCGACAACCATACTGCTCGCCCGTGCTTCAACACCAGAACAGCTTGATGCTGTAGGAAATCAAACCGGCGGGCGTGTGTTTTTATTTCTTGAGACGGATAATTTCCAGAGGGACTATGATCGGTTTACTGAGAATGGGGTTGAGTGGGTAAGGCCACCAACAACGATGAGTTATGGGACCGTTGCTGTATTTAAGGACTTGTACGGCAACCAGTGGGACTTGATTCAGCGAGCAAAAGCATCCTGATCGAGATCATGCATTATAATTACAATACGGAGTTCATTGCCCCATTTGCTGGCTCCCGTTTCTAAAACTTTGGCAATCGTCAGGTTTCGACATTGGACGATCTCCAAATACCCATCTTTGTCGCTATTTCAACGACCCTTCCGCTATAGTCTACCGCCTCTAGTTCTCTCGAAAGAGTAGTGTCGTAGTTCCAAAACAAGCGATGAGGCAGAAGAGGCCGGTCTGATTCTTCAAAGTCACCTGACGCCCGGTGCAGGGAGGATGTTGGCGATTGTGATGTCCTGCTGCTCCACCGCGAGAGCAAGGGCTCTGGTGCAGGAGGCGCGATTGGTTTTCTGCACAGGAAACAATTGTTGGTATAGAGAGATACCCAATTACCTGAAATATCGCTGCGGAATCAGGTAAAGATATATACATACTTAATATTATTAGAGCCACGTACGACCAAACCGGGAATATGTACTCAATGACTGCATGCAGCTATCCACTGAACTCTGCTTGATCACCAGTTTGATACAGCAAGCTATAAGGGAATAGTCTACGGCCGCACTGCAGTCAGTGCACTCATGCGCTGCGGCTGAACTATCACTAGCAAGGGTATAGGAACCACGGCACATAGCACTGCTTGGAAAATTTCGAACTTCCCACGAGTCCCAGCACTGTTTGGCAAGACTAGTTTGGAACAATGGGGTACTGGGTGAAGAGGCAGATGGGAGGATGAGTTTGGATGATACCGGTCACTGGGTGGGCTGAATAAGAGCGGCAGGATTGAAAGGTAGTATAGAGGGAGGGTTAGATGTTTGAGGGAGTATAAATCAGAGTGGGCGATTTGATATTGGGAAATGAAGGATAATCTATATTACAATAAAGTGCTCCCATCGATAGAGCGAATCTAGCTGGCCATCCCTAAACTACTGCTGAGAGCAGTATGCAGTCGCGTGTGGATGGCATCACCTGTCAAGCGCATGCTCCTGACACTACGAATACCACAGTTAGCGAGAATTTATGTCAAAAAACGAATGCTACTTACCATTTGCCAGTACGTCCCCTTAGCCCGAAGCAGATCCTGGTGCGTCCCCTGTTCAACGATCCGCGACGCTTGGCCAGTATGGCTTGCCCCAAAAACAAAGATGGTATCCGCCTTCTGGATAGTAGCCAATCGATGAGCAACCGCAACGATTGTCAGGCTCCTCTTTCGAGCCAGGCGTTCCATAGCACCCTGCACCACCTTTTCTGACTGCGAGTCCAGACTCGAAGTTGCCTCGTCCAGAAGCAGAAGCGATGGCTTGCGGAGCAAGGCACGCGCAATACAGAGTCTTTGGCGCTGGCCACCGCTGAGCGATGTCTGCGCTTTGATCCCGAGCTCGGTGGCGTAGCCTTCTGGAAGCGATGTGATGAAATCATGGATCTCTGCATCTTTGCAGGCTTGTATCAATTCCTCCTCAGTGAACTCGGACTGGTCGAGACCGAGGGTGATATTCTCGCGGATACTGCCTTCGAAGAGCCGTGGCTCTTGAGCAACCAGCGATAGTGCCCTGCGGTAGGATGTCATTTCAAGGGTACGGATGTCTTCGCCGTTGAAAAGGATCGTGCCCTGCGAAGGACTGTAGAATCTCTCGAGTAGAGAGATCACAGTGGTTTTCCCGCAGCCGGATGGTCCGACAAAGGCGACAAACTGTCCGCTCTCGATACTGACATTAAGTCCGGTGAAAAGAGGCACATCCTGTGAAGCGTATCTAAAAGCAACGTCGCGGAACTCGACACTAGCCCCGGTCCGGTCATCGCTACGCACGATTTCTTTCTTTCCGATACTGGCAGCACCGAGTTCACCTGGTTGCGGGCGCGAGTTCAATATCCTGTTCCCGGACGCAGCGGCCTGGGCAAAGTTGGATCCGAAGCTGAAAAACTGGCCGGCCGATTGTCCGCCCTGGATGATCGCCATGAATATAACGAAGAATGACGTCGGTTGGTACTCCCTGGAGGCGAGCAGCTGCCCACCATACCTGTAACCATCAGTAATATTCTCTTGGAGGTATCAGGGGGTGATACGGACCAGAAGGTGAGTGCCATCGCACACAACTCCACGCTATCTGAGAAAGCGAAGATTAAAGTGGCGTATCTCGCCTTCCGAAAAGCCTTCTTCTGTTGTTCCCGCAAGAGCTGGGTATATCGATCGAGGATGGCGTCCTCCATCGTCAATGATGAAACTGTTCGGAACGCATCGATGGCTTCCGCTGCAAACTGCGAACTTCCAGCATAGACCTCGGCGTTCATTGCCTCGAACTGCAGCTCGTATCTGATGCGCATAAATGCAGCCAGGAATGTGCATGGTAAGGCCGCAAATACCGTCACCAGACTCAGCTTCCATCCAAAGGAAAAGGCAATCACAATGCAACCAATTATGCTAAACGTTGAAATGAGAGGGAATGCGCCATTGAGACCGATGAGCTCTTGAACCTGCTTGGGATCGGTGGCCAGCCGGGAAACAATGGAGCCGGAAGCGTTTTCGCTTAAATCATGAAAGGGTATGGGCTTCGCTAGGATGTTTTGAAAATATTCCTTTCGACAGGCTTCGGATATCCTCTATATGGAATTAGGGTGAGCATCACAAACGGGACATATGTACCTACCACTGAGAGAGAATTGGCAGTGATTCCCACAGTAGAGTAAAGAACCCCCACGGCGAGTGCGAGCAAAAAGAACATCAAGGCCCAGAAATTGGCGGCATCAACCAGCTTTTGGCCCGTAAACTGAAACACGTTGATGAGCTTCGCGAATAACCAGCTCTGAAGTGGAAAGGCCGCTATTTCCGAATGATGTTTAGCTCCAACCCCATAAAGCATTCAGGATTAGTCTTACTTCCAGCCCCAGCTGTGCTGATGAGGACCGCCACGTAGAACGGCCAACGCGCACGTTGCTCATATAACAACAGCCCAATAGTCCTAATAAACCCTCGGCTTCTGTCTCGGACGTCCTCTTCATCGTTCACCTTCTCTTGAACAGACAGGGTGGGAGACTTGGCCTCTTCTTGTAATTCTAGCATCGCGTTACCTGTGTGACTGTCATCATCTGCCAACAGTTCAAGCCTCTGGGCGTTGACAAGGTCGCGGTATACTCCACCCTCTCGCTGGAGGAGCTCATCGTGTGTTCCCTCCTCGACGTTCACACCTCCTTTCATAACAACTATATGATCTGCTCGTCGAATGGTGGAGAGCCGATGTGCAATCATGATGGTTGTGCGGTTTCTGGAAACCCTATCCAGGGCCGCCTGTACAATCTTCTCGCCGCGAACGTCGATAGCACTCGTCGCCTCGTCTAATATCAAGATTTTGGGTTCTTTCACGATGCTCCGCGCGATGGCAAGGCGCTGTCGTTGCCCCCCACTCAATTTGATACCGCTCTGGCCCACGATGGTATCATAACCCTGTCACAGTCAGACATGTCGAATTATTCCAAGAGACTGACATACTTCTGGTAAACGCAGGATGAACTCCTCAGCAAAGGCCTCTCTGCAGGCCTTCTCAATCAGTTCTCTTTTCACGCTGTCAGGCTCTTTTTCCCACTTTGTTCCGATAAGGCCAAAGGCAACATTGTTGAAAATAGTGTCATTGAAAAGGAAAGGCTCCTGCTGGACAAGTCCGATCTGTGATCTCCACCACTTCAGGTCCAGACTGTTGATATCATGCGGCCCGGCATAGATACTTCCTTGATTGCGGTCTTCTGGACTCATCGCCAACTGATACCATCGTTCTATCAGCGCAACGATCGTACTTTTCCCCGAGCCAGAGGGGCCAACTAATGCGGTCGTTTTTCCATTTTGAAACCGAAGGTCTAGGCCCTTGAGAACAGGGACGTCCGGCCGGGTAGGGTACGTGAAGCGCACGTCTCGAAAGATTATATCAACGTGGGCTGAGGCCTCGGGTTCGCGAAGGCCCCCGGCCTCCACTTTTTCGGAATCGATCAACTCGAAGAATGAACCCGCAGCGCTGGCGGCTTTGGACACGATAATCAGCGGCGATGCGATATTCCCTAATACACTTACCACAATCATGACGGAGAAGAACACCCTGTTGATTTATTAGACGGTGACCAAGCTGAGGAATCGAAGCGTGAGGATATACCTACGTGATGACTGTGTTGATCTCCTTGATGTGGCCCTCCCTGTATAACTTTAAACCAAACCAGAAGGCGAGGGAAAAGCTAGCGTATAGTGCGAAAAACACCATAGCAAAGTGGATGCCTATAATAAACGAAAACCCCTGTCCCCGTTTCCGTCCTTCTTCGACCCAAGTGGCATATCTTTTGGAAAGATTGTCCTGGGCACCGAGCGAAACCACGGTCCGAATAGACCCAAAGACCTCGGCCGCTATGGAAGAATGCTTCTCGTCCGCCTTGTCAATCCTCTGCTGAATCTTTGTCATAATCGGTAGAGTCACACTGCAGCCGACGACAACGAAAAGAAGCGCAGAACTTGTGACCAGAGTCAAGGCCCACGAGTACTTGAAGGCGATAATGAATGCTGCCACTAAAAGAGCGACGGATTGGAAAAGAATGGCGAGCTTGTCCGATATGCTCTGTTGGATTGTATTGGACAGTGTCGTGATTGTATTCGTGACCGTGCCCACGGAAACTTGGTCCACTTTACTGATCGGCTGGGAGAAGAGGGCTTGGACGTATTCCAGTCGAATAACAGCTGATACTCGGAGACCAGTGACGCGAAAGCAGAACTGCAATGGTGAGAATATATTCATCATCGTTCTCTGTCAACTTTCCACTTACCATGGAGAAGTAAGTCAGGCAGAATTTCGCTATGAACAGGTACACGATGTACAGACTGTTCTAATGTCAGCGCATAAAACGAGAAGTCGGTTTTGACCACTTACCTCAGTTTATTGACAGACGATTTGAATTGTGCTTCCGTGACATTTGTGCCGGGCATGAAATACCCATTGAATTCACCAACAAGATTCCCAAACACAATGTTCATTAGGGGTAAAGGCTGGTTGAAGATGTGAGTTATAAAGCTTTGTCGTTTTCAAATCAGCTCTCAAGTAACATACCACACCGGACGCAATAGCAGATATCAATGCCACGGCTAATACAAGGCGATCCTTCCCCGTTGCGTAGGAAAGGGCTCTCTTTACTCTTGTCAGTGGCATAGCAAGCAACCCTGGGGAGAATCATCATACGAAATAGTTTCCCAGCGAGGCAGTCGGCGCGGACTCTGCATCGTTTTTCCCTTCGCTCTTTTCTCCTTCTGCCAGCACTGCTTGTTTCTCGGTCGCATTTGCTGCGGGGCTATCTTCGGAGCTCCCCATTGTGAAGTACACTGCGAATGACTTGCAGTCAAAAAACCATCTTTCAGGAGATGAACAGGGCAGGGGATGAGAATTTCATTAAATAGATATGTCGCTCAACGAATCGAAAGCAGTCGAATACGAGTTACCCAAAAAGGGAAAGACACTTGGCGTTCCAGGCAGCATCAGCGTTATATGTGGAGGGGCGAGGGGTCGAGAAGACATATGCCGTCTATTAGCATCATTTAACGCCAGGATAAGCATAATACATCCACTAAAGGACAGAGTTAATAGCGTCGAAGTGGAGATAGTAATAATAATGAACTTAAAAAGGACCTTCTACTCTGTACATGGCCGGACATTCGGGGATTTCTGGGAATCCGGACCCCCCCGGAGGCACTAAGATCATGTGCATCCGGGTTTTCGGACTCTGCGAATTCCCCGCTGATCTTTCTTACCTACTTCAACCTCCTGATGATCTGGATCAGCGATGACCTCCCAGGACGCGCCCAAGCGCACGTCGGTATGTAATCCTTGATTCCGCCTAGGTTTATTGGGGCTAAGAGATTGTTTTAGTGCACTCGTTGTCAGGCCAAGAAGGTCTCAAATTGTCGATCTCAATGATTGCCGTGCAGAACTCATATTGACGTGCAGTTAGGTCGGATGCAATAGACTCGAGCCTCGATGCAGCAGATGCGAAGCTGTCGGTGCGCAATGCATATATTTGCCGCGAAAAGCTCGGTCCAAAAATAGACGGTTGGTCCTATGCTCCTTATATCTGAAGCGTTTACACCACATAGCTCACAATGTATCAGTGGCCTCCATGACAAACAGATCCTTCGGGAAGTTCTCAGGCGTCTAGAACGTTTGGAGGATCATTGCAAGATTGGCCAAGATGCAGACACCAGAGATGTGTCTCGTTCAATGTCTGTGTCCTCGGGCGACACGGACGTGAATGACGCAAGGTCGTCGACAGGCCCTGACCTGATAAATGAAGGCCAATCGCTTATCCCTAACACGCCGGACGTCGTGCATAGCATGTTGAACGGTATAAAGGATGACAAGGACAAGTTACTGCTTACATCAAACGTTTTCTGTCTCCTACAACATGTTAAATCCCAGGTTTACAAAAACGAGGCTTGCATTAAGGCGGTAGAGGCTGCAATGTCGGAGATCTCGCGCTTGGAGAACACACAAGAAAGAGACGTCTTGCTTCCTCCACAAATTCCAAAGGACCAAGCAAAAAAATGGGTAAATCGTGCGTTACCATCAGCTATTAATTGACGGTCCTTGTCTAATCGATCCTGCAGTGTACTATGACTCGTATCAATTTGAAGGGTTTCGAATTCCTTTGGAGAAAAGCTTTCTCTTAAGCGTTCCTGACTTGTTGGAGATACGTCACGTCCACTTGGATGTTACGTCAAGGCTCATTTACTACAGTGTGCTGCTTCAGGGGGTTTTGATGGATCTGGATCACACCGTGCAAAGGGGTGGCATCGTAAAATCTCTTTATCGCACAAGCATTGAACTCGTACCCAGCTGGTTGGACCAAGTCAAGGATACCCCGGAGGACCTATTTGCCGCTTTTCTGATGGTGATCATGAGTTTCAAACGTTCTTCTGAGCTCACTTTCTGACGATTTCCAACAGATATCGATGGCGCTGGAAGGCTGCAATAGTGAGCTCTCATGGAAGATTTTTTGTCATGCCTGCCGCATTGCAAGAGCTCTTGGATATTTCTCCATCGACGGGAACCCTAAAGGGCCTGAGAGCCATATCCGTCCAGCGCAGGAATCCTCTGAACAAAAAAACGAGGTAGAGCAAAATCGAATGCGATTCGAATTTTGGCACCTTCTCCGGACCGACTGCCTTTTTCGTCTCTCGTTCGGTAAGCCAGCGATGCTCCCTGAAGGGTCATGGGCGGTTAATCTCCCTGACCCCTCAATCACTGGGGTTGATGATGCATCGACGCACTTTATTCAGATCCACTTCCTGGCATCGATGCGTCTCACCTTAGTGGTCCTGAAATACTTGGACTTTGTGAATGCCGAGTCCGATCAGAATGCAGCCACATACGATAGTTGGATGGATGATCTTATCGCCGAAGTGGAGGCAATCTTGTCTAACTGGAATATTGTAAGTCACCATGTCTGTTCTGTCCTGTGGATGTAGTCCACGTCGGCTTACGCAAGTACAGGAGGAGCTCATGAGCACAACCAAAGTTCTCATCGACACGTGGTTCTGTGCAGACATTCTATTCACAAGCTACAAGACCATTATCATCCTCTGCCAGGCCAAGAAATGCAACCGGGACAGTGCCCACTTGCCACGACACACGGTAGACCTCGCCAGAAAGTCCTTGAAAGTGTTTCAATCTCTTATGGGTTCGACGGTGCGGTCTTTCTGGGGTATCAGGTACGTCACCTAGGACCTAGCATATCTGGGTTTGTCTGCTTACGACCATATCCTGCAGTATTCTGTTACTCCACCAATTCATATTTTTCTTCCTTTTATGTTTGGACATGATCGATTGCCAAGAGCCGGGAAATTATGAAGAAGGCCTTGCTTTAGTGAGATGGGTCAACGAGATTGCGGTACAGGCAGCGGAGAATCGACCGGAGCTGGGGCCGATTACCCTTGTGACAAGATCAATGACCGCTGCTTGTGAACAAGTGCGTCTGGGGCGCTAACGATGTGGAGTGATTTTGTCAATCTCGAAGACTGCTTTCTTCTAAACAAATTTATTAAACAATTGACATATTATCTACAGTGTGAAAAGTGCAGAGGCAACTAATGTGACATCAGACAACATCCCATCATCGTCACTCAGCATTGTTCAGAGCCCGTCCGGCCTGGATCAAACCCCAAATCGGGATCGAGACGCTCCATGCCCACACACCCGTACGCAAATAGCTGATAGCCTCAGACTTGGCTCCCATGTACAAGGCCGTATACAAGAGTCGGGCGCCGATAAACTCCAACGAAAGCGTGTTCAGGTCGCTCGAGGGAAGTTTAGCCAGGTTTCCAGCGAGCTGCGTGATATGTGTTAAGTTTCATACTATTTCTTGAGAATGTCTTGTCTGCCTTACCATTGCAGCAGCGAAAAGAGGCAATCCTTCCATCGCATTCAGATGTGCCCCACGGGCTTTGGCGAGCTGCTGCCAGATCTGGGCTGGCAGGCGGCCTTTGAGATTCGACAGGTTCTCCCGCGGTCTGTATCATTTTTATTTATTAGCTGTCATGGTGCCTTGACCGAGTTGCTTAAACATACACAATGTTTGTAGCGTGTTCCTTGGCATTGGCCATCATCTTGACATAGTAATAGCCGTGAGGGAACAGACCAACGGCGTATGCCGCGGCAATCGAATGGATGGAGTAATTGTTTTGAGACATTGAGAATTGTGCTTTGAAGGGACTCAGTATATTAGTAATGTTATGTCTTTGCAAGATGAGATTGATGATGGTGTTCTGATGTCCCTACATCTCGAATTCGTCGGCCTTATATAGCCATTTCTTGAGACCATAACATAACCTCATGAGGGTCCAACATAACGTTGGTCTCGAACATAACATGCAGCTTGGGCTGCTTAATATGAACAAGCGGACGAATACGAGGTGTCTGTAAATTCCCATTGATCGTCCAATCACGGTCAGGGCCCGGGATGATTCTCGTGTTCGTAACTATTGCCACGCATTCCACCAGCATTTCGTTGCGTGTGGTCAACTGAAATATCGCCACTAAGTGCGTGCCCATAACCATAACGTTATGATTCCCCGCTCATTCTTCGTGTCCTTGGGGTGGCCTCATCTCGCAGAATTCTTCTCCCACATCTCTGTCACAGCTCCAATCTACTTTTCTCTGATAAATAACCCTCTTCATTGGCTGATAAAATGCCAAACAAGCGTAAGCGAGATGTTCCCGCCGTTCCGGACATCACCGAGGACCCGGCGGAGCGAAAACGAGTGCTGGGCGTGCTAGCTCAGAGAAGATACCGTATGTAGTGGAAGCCTATTTCTGAACCGCTGCTGACTCCTGCAGGCGAGAGAAAGAGACAGCAGTGGCAGGCTCTGCAGGCTCGAGCGGAGAGTCACTCTGGATCTGAAGACGGGCAGCCCCAAGTCGGGGACGCTTCGCTGGCTTTGAAAGCAGCGGTTGAACCAAGAGCGACTTTAGACTCCACTGAATTCAGTGTCTCACACGCAGTGGAGGATATCTCATTTAACACCGAAGGTTCCTGGGCTGCCCCCTCCCAAATTATGCCCGAACTTAGCGATCAAAGCATGGACCTTATTCCAGATGCACTTTCTCCAAGCCAATTCCTCTCATTCCCGCAATCTCCACTATCGCCTTCACTTCTTGCTCAGGACTTGACCACAATGCCGTTGTCTGCCGTAGAGAATCCATTCTCCTGTTTTTCACCAACAGCTTTCTTCCCGGATCTGCTACCCTCATTTCCGTCCACTCAGAGCGCCAACAACCCTGGAGGTGACTGCAGTCTCTCGGACCGGCTGCAAACGTACCAATCCGCGACCTTTTCCTTCCCAGATGATCATCTGCTGGAAATCTCCTCCCTCACACTTCTCAATGCCGCAATGAAGGTAGCTCAGCGGTTGAACATTGCCGGCATACTGTGGGACCTCACGGCCACGAGCCCATTCTACCAAGGACTGGAGAACCGGGCGATCCCCTCACCTCCGTCTCTCTCATCTGGCGCCTCATCGCCATCCTCAACAGCGTTCAGCCCCGACGGAGCCGACGATGTCATCGAACTTCCCCGTCATCTTCAACCGACCACCTCTCAGCGTCTCATCCCTCATCATCCAATTCTGGATCTCCTTCCCTGGCCGAGTACCCGGGATAAACTCATACAGGTGTTCCATCTACCGCCGGAGATGCGTCCAAAGTCTGCGCAGGACCCCATTGGTCTTCTTCGGTTCGTCTATGATATGGAAGATGTCAAAGGAGAGGGTATCAGAGTACGGGGAGGAGATCCTTTCGCACCTGAGGCCTGGGAGGTTGGACAAGTGGTTTTCGAGCGGTGGTGGTGGGCTTTTGATGGGGAGATTGTAGAGCGCAGTAATTGTGTGAGGATGGAGAGGGGGGAGAAACAATTGATGATGAGAATGGAGTAGATATGCCTGTTATTTTACATACTTTAGCTCTTTATACCTATAGGACTCCGGAAAGCCATCGAATGGTTTTGTGGAGGGCATAAAATATATGCATTTGTATGACTAATCTGACTTTATGCAGGTCTCCTTCAGTCCGGATAGGCCCTTCATAAATCCAAGTTAAGGTTTTCCTCTTCGGTCTGATGCCCCTGAATCTGATCAAACTTCATACCTTCTTTTGCCTTTCTTTTGCACCTCATTCGATCCAGTCTGTCTTTACCTCATCAAACATAATGCTTGCACCTCAACTCCTCCTTGGCCTGGCTGCTGCTGGCCTGGTCTCAGCCCAGAACACCGTCACCTCCATGTTGATCTACGGCGCAGACCCACAACCTCTTGTCGCTTCCATCATCGGTAGTGTAAGCACTCATGAGTCATGTCAATTCCCGATCTCAAAACACATCTCACCTATTTTAGGATGCCACCGCAACAACATACAGCATCAATTGTGCCCCAGGCACAGATGGCTCCGACTGCGGCATGGGCCCCGGCCTGACCGTTGTCGCCGGTCCCACGACCACCGTGTTGAACATTGATGAGCCGGACGACGATTTGTAAGTCGGCCTTCACCTCTGCCCAACAGATAGCTAATGTGCATTAGCCATTGGACCGTCAGGTGCTCTGTTGGCGGGACCACCACGGCGGTGTGTACCGAGACGGCTAGCGGTACGGCGGCGAATTTCCCTGGAGTCAGCTCCTCGACCTTTTCCAATGATCTGCCTCTCATGGCGGTGACTATTACAGCTGGGTCAGCTGCAGGTGCGGGTCCGACGCGTGCCACTGCTAGTGTTACCGCTACTACGGCTGCCACTGCCTCTGTCTCTGGAAAGTCTACTGCGTCGGATGCAAGCAAGACTTCATCGGCGGGTTCGTCGGGTGCTTCGTCCGGTGCTTCATCGGGTGCTTCATCGGCTGTGAGTACCGGGGGAATGCCGCGGGTCACTGGTGGTGCTGGTGGGCTCTTTGGGGCTGCTGCGTTGGCTTTGGGCGTGCTTGCTCTGTGATTTCTTGTTGTAGCATACTTGGATGCGCATGCTGATTTAAGCTTGGATGAAAACCGGAATTGTCTGTCTTGTGTAGCAGATATCAAATAAATGTATTGCATTACCATTGTATATCTCTCTGCATGGCTATGCCAGATTTTCATAAAGACACTAACGTCGGTCCTCGTGAGTGACGATTGTCGGACCCTGCCACTTCTTCCGTCCGCGCACCACCCAGTCCACACAAGCGAAGATCATGACTGCCCCCAGGACTGGCCCCGCATAGTTCATATTCTCGCGGGTCACGGGGACCTGAGCCGGGAAGGGTAGGAAAATGGACACGTAGATTGCGAACGCAATCGCAAAGAGGTTCACGGGGAGACCCCAGCGACCCATGTGGAAGACACCGCGGGGGATATCCTGGGGCTCGCGGAAGCGCTTGATCACCAGCAGGATCAGGGGGATGAGGTACGAGACGTACAGGCCGAGAGTGCTGATGGAGAGAATCGCGTTGAACGCTGCGGTGGATCCGATCTGGATGAAAGACAGAAGGACGACAACGGTGGCGACGAGGAACAGAGCTCGAATGGGGATCTTGTGCTTCCGATCGATGTGGACGAAAAAGTCGGAGAGCGGAAGACCGTTGTCGCGGGCGAAAGCCCAAGTCAGGCGGGTGACGGATGCGAGGCCGTTGAACAGCGCAATCCAGCCGGGAAGAAGCCCCATCACCATGAGGATATTGACGGCGGTCTTGGACCCGGTAGCCTGGTAGACGATTGTGATGATTGGGTAGCCCGTCGGGGAGGTCAGGGCCTCCATGTAATCTCCCATGCAGTAGAGGATGGCGATGGCGTATCCGAACGCCATGATGCCGTTGGTGAGAGTTCCCCAGATCATGGATCGTGGGACGGTCTTAGAGGCCATCTTCACCTCCTCGGCCATGTGGATGACACCGTCCACGCCTATAGATTGTCAGAGTTTTATACCTCTCGAACATTATCTCACGGACTGCTCACCTCCCAGGGGCGTCACCACACCCAGAAGGCCTACAGCCCAAGCTACGCCTGGACTCGACCAGCCGCTGATTCCGCTGACAAAGGTATTCCAAACAAATTCATTGGGATTGCGGGGGGCAAGAGCCACAAGAACTGCGATGGTCACGGGCAGGAAGACGATGTGCATGATTCCAGCTGCTACCTCGATGACCGCCAGGACCCGCCGGGCATATATGTTGATGATTATCGGGATGATCAAGACTGCCCAGGTCAAAAGCGTGCCCTGGTATCTCTCTATGTGATAGCTTTCGCGGTTGAAAGTAACCAGTCCCAGAATCTGGTTCCCAATGAGGAAGGGCGCCAGGCAGACCAGAGAACACCAAGAGAAGACCTGCTCGCATTAGCAAGATATAGTGTGACGAGCCAACCAGGTTCGTCATACCGTGACCCATCCTGTAAGATTGTGAGCTCAAGCCATATGGGGACTACAATTGGAAGACATACCTTGAAAGAAACTGAGAAAGAGTCTGTGACTCTTGGGACTCAGATTATAGGTCCAATGGTATTGAGCACCTGCTGTGGGATTCCTGGACATCGATTCAATCTGGTTAGCGTGGCATTCGAGAACAGGGGGAAGCCGTCGTACACAGAGGCAAGTTCTGCCAGTGATGCTGCAACAGCTACACTGCCAATTGTGCTAAACATCATGCCATAAACGATCCCTGCTGGTCCACCATTCAGCAATCCGGCCGCCATACTTCCTCCCACCGTCTCCCATGAAGCCATCAAGGTGGCTGAAAAGGCCAAAGTCGAGAAGAAATTCAGGTATCTCTATCGTGGAGGATTAGCCAGTGTCACACAATCGACCAGGGTATGGATACAAACCTCGAGCTGGTTTCGTTGTCGGACTTCTTTACTCCCAGCTGGCTGGCCACTGTCTCCATTGGATCGGGCGCCAGATTGAACGTGGACACTGCCCTTTAGTTCGACCTCCTCAAACGCCATTTTGGTAGAGTCTGTTTTGCAGGTAACCAGGCAGAGAGACCGGCGACCTTTAAGGAAACAGGAGGGGTTCGGAGGAAGAATTATAGACAAGTTTTAAATAAAGGAAATCATGCCGGACAAAGATTGACCAGTTAGCCCGAAACCAATGGGATAACGGCATCATATGAAATCTGGACCGCCCTAGAGTCGACGACAACTAATATTATTATTACTCTTTGTCTTCGTCTTAGCGAGCAGTGGTCAATATCTAGTCACTGCACTAGACATGGGGGGCAATCTTCCACGCACTGCTTCTCTGGAAGACAGAGAAAGAGAAACAAGGGCATTGATTTAAATTAACCGGGGCAATAACCGGGGCAATCTAGATGTGGCCAAACCGTCCGATCCTTGTTCGATTAGCTCGACATGAATGGTCTGGACATCCAATCCCGCGACTTTAGCGTTGGCCCGGTCACTTTTAGAGCAACTTTAGGGGCACTCCGATGCGCCTAAGGATGCACTGACAACGATGGCAATATGCCTTCGGACTCGCACGAGGAATTCCTGATATGCACACATGAACAAGGACACCGATTATTAGCCAACTCAAGGAGGACACAATGTCTCATCTGCTCCTGCGCCACGAAACTTAGCAACATTTGATCCCAGCCCAATCACCCATCGCCTGCGTTTGAAACAACAGGGCACCCTTGCTGGATCCTGACTCGATCAAGAAGACCCTAAATCCTTCGGAAAATTCAAGGCCGCCATGGAATAAATGAATCATAAAGAGCGCTTCTCATCACCCACGGTTGTGTAGCTATGAGGGTCTGCTCGCTTGGGTTTGACCATGGAAGGCGTGTCTCGGACTCCTCCGTTTGCATCAATTACGGACAATGATCATGGTGCATACCTTCTTCTCGTCAATGTCTCCTTGTTGATTGTGCTGGCCTTCTTCATCGCGGCGAAAATAAGCTCGTCGATCTATCTCAAGCGGCGGCGAACGGCCACCAGTTCTCCAATTTACGTCGGAACGGTATGAACTGGTCCGAATCCAAGCTAAGAGCGACACTGACTGCGAATCTTCCAGGTGGTAGCCATCGTCCAGACAATCATACTCCACTATGCGGTCAAATACGGGTTGGGAAGGAAGCAGGGTTCCCTGACCGCGGACTCTTTCAAGAAGTACAGCAAGGTATTTCAACGCCCGGAGGTGTGCCACTGCTCTCCATCTGACTTTTGGTTTCGTAAACAGTACAACTACGCGGCTCAGCTGCTTCAGATTATCCCAGTCGCCTTATCCAAACTGTCGACGACCCTCTTGGTGCATATATTGACCCCGCGAAGCGGTTTGCAAAAGGCATGTCTTGCCACGATAGGAGCGATTGGTGTCTGGACGGTCTTTGCGCTGTGTGCAATCGCTTTTCAATGTCCCCTGCCAGATTCTTGGTTGTATAGACCGGATCGTTGCACGGCAAAGGTATCTACCGATTTTGATGGGCAGCCAACAGCAAAGAGCTAGGCTAATCATGCCAGGGAGCCTTGATGTACCTAATCTCTGTCATGAACATCCTGACCGACGTGGCCGTCCTCACCCTTCCCTTCTTCATGATGCACAAGGTCCAGATGACTCAAGGGAAGAGAGTAAAGATCCTGTGTGCATTTTGCGCAAGAGCACTGTTGGTCGCCCTGCATTGTGAGAGGTGTTCAATGCTAATGGAGACACAGCGCCGTCTTACTCACAATCGGGCAGCTCGCGACACTGCCACAATTCTTAACTTCGTCTGATACTACATGTAAGCTGGCTCCGGCTCCATCCCTCCAGAAGCATGTCTAACGCGAGCAGGGTCGATGGTCGTACCATCAACTTTTGCCCAGTAAGCCATTCCCCAAGCCACCGATGGATCGCGCCTCTGACTTGACTCCACCAGAGCGAACATGTACACGAACCTCATCGTCGCCTGCCTACCCACTCTCTACCACATCTTCGCCGGGCTGCACTCCGGTCTCATCACGACTCGATTACCAGACAATGTCGAACTCTCCACGCGGCGGAAGGGCAGCAGCTACGGCAAGCAGACGCCGCTCAGCGCAGAGAAACGCCGCAGCATATATACAGGGTTTGCTTTTGGAAACGGCGACTCCGTAGTGACCACCAACGTCCGTACGGATTCTCGAGAGGGCCGGTTGAGCCGAATCCCCAGTGATGATAGTGAGGGGACCAGCGCCAGTACAAAGCAATTGACGATGGAATCACGGAGGGGTGGAGTGCTCAAGACAGTGGACATCCACGTCCATGTGGAACATGAGTCGGATTAATGATAGGAATAATGCCACTTCCGCTTAGACTACAAGGCCTCGGCTGGATGTAAATAGAACAGGCTGCCTGGGTACCGTAATCTGTCGTTAATATGGCATGCATGGCGCTTGCAGGGATCGTTGCAGGGATTTATATGAGCGATGGTCGTGCGCCGCGCGTGCTAATCCACAATGGAGTACATTCCGTAGTAAACATAATATATGCGTGCTCCTTGAGTCTCGACACACGTGTCCTCGGTTCCTTCGCGGGTAATAGGTCTCTTGGTTGTTTCAGACAATGTGACAGGAAATTTGGAGCGACGAGGGATTATCTAGATCACAGCAGTTCTTGCGACCAGCATCCAACTCTCATAATCTTTCTCCGACAGAAGTGACCCCTATGAAGCATCTGTGAGTGCCCTTCGGGTACAAGGCTGTATCAAATAATGATGAGGACTGCAATTGCGATGCAATCATTCTTGGGTCATACGATAATTGCAGGGGTTGTTCTTGACATAAACATATAAACATTGGAGAGAAGAACTGACCACTTCAGGTTGGACCCGACCTCGAACTTGGCTGTCAAAAAATATAAATGAATAAATAAATAACATAACGGTCTCGTTCCGTTGCTTAGTAAATTGATGCAGACTCCATATGGTTCATTATTATCATTGTCGTCCGAAAAAAAAGATGTAGAGTTAAAAAGCTGCACGCAGGCAAAAAAAGACTGTGGACTGGACGGAGAGGCGGAGAAAGAAAAAGATAAGCCCTACGTGGGGGTCGAACCCACAACCTTCAGATTAGAAGTCTGACGCGCTACCATTGCGCCAGCAGGGCTGTTGTTATGTTAGCTGCCACTAATTAATGTTACATACGGCTAGTCTGCATTATGTATTTATTGAGAAGCACCAGGTTTAGTAGTCACGTGTCACAATATGTTGCTGCAAGTCCACTGTGAAATTCTGCTTTGCTCTCAGTTAGTCATTGCCGAAGATTTAAGCCTGTAAATTTATTTTCATTTTCTCATAATTCAGTGTGTACTTCCGAGCTCCAGCAGCACCCTAGATGGTTCATCAACGGTGGAACTTATGCACATAAAGGACATGGAGGGACCTGGACCGGCTTAACATATTCCCGTCTCTTACACAGAAAGTTGATAAACAAGCCATGTGCCAACTGGATTTACGACACGGCCGCAACCTCTCTTGAACGAGTCAAGGGGATGTGGCCGTTCCCTCTAGGCCCATAGGTTGAATTCCTCCTTTGTAGTAGCTACCACGATTGAATGCGTCCTGCTTAGACTTCTGTCTGTCGTCAACATGATAGGCCCCATCCTTCACCTCCAGCGATATTGTACCGCATCCAGAGAAATCCATAAAAATAATAGCTCCTACACCAGCAGGCTCACGGAGGCATCGATCGCCACCTTTCTCGGAACGGACCGCGCCTCGGTTGACTGCAAATCGCCAGGTTGAACTATGGAAGCGATTCAGCGATCTGATTGGTCAAATCAGAATTTGAAGGCTGCAAGCAGTCACTGTCACCAAGTACCTCGCATCTCGCAAACATCAAGGTCTGTAGTAGTTCTCGATTATTGCGTTGTCGCCTAAGATTGATAGACGGCTGTCGTATTTCACTGATGGTTATTCGCTCCCCGTGCGAGCACTGTTTGCGACAAACTGATCCATGACGACACACACAGATATAAAAGTAATCAGTGCGCAATGTCTCTACAGCTGTCACTAGCTCTCATCCGTCGCGAGAGTCAAGGGCGATTGATTGACTTATCATGTACGCGAAAGCATTAATTGCGTCTGCCTTATTGGCATCCTCCGCTCTGGGCGCAGCCTCAGCCGATGCAGTCGCGGCATGTCAGCAGGTATATACGACCTATCCCACTCTCACCGTCTGGGATCCTTTTGGGTCCTATGGAGCAGAGACTGTCTCAAATGTGGACAAATACTTTCCCGTTGTCCACGGGTAATGAAACGCAGTGAACGCCCAGAATCGCCCAGCTTGCGTTCTCTTCCCCTTCACTGCCGAGGAGGTCTCGTATGCCGTGCGGCAGTTGAACAAGTACCCCAATACTCAGTTTGCGCTGAAGTCCGGGGGCATAACTTCAACGCCGGTGTGTCTAGTACCAATGGTGGTGTATTGATCTCCTTCAACGAAAAACTCTTGTCGGTGACTCGCCCGGCCAGCGGTGAGAGCTTCGAAGTCGGCCCAGGTGCGCGGTGGGGCAATGTCTACGAGATAGCTGATAAAACAAATTATGTGGTGGTTGGAGGGCGCTTGGCCAATATTGGAGTTGCGGGGCTTACCCGGAGGAGGGCTGTCGTACTATTCGGCGCAATATGTGGGTGACCTCCCCCGAATGTGTTCGACAGCCACACTGATTGAATAGGGATTGGCGTGCGATAATGTGCTCAACTTCCAAGTAGTCTTGGGCAACGGGGCCATCATCGATGCAATCGCACCTCTCATTCCAATCTCTGGTGGGCATTGCGAGGAGGCGGCAACCAGTTCGGCATCGTCACCAAGTTCACGTTGCAAGCCCATAACCTCGGCGACAATGGACAAGTCTGGGGTGGTATCCGATCGTACTCCGCCGACAAGCGACAAGAAGTATTCAAGGCCATGTCTACCTTTATCCGAGTTTACCCAGACGCCAAAGCCGCTGTTATTCCCACCTTTACCGTTGGGTCGCCAGACGCTATGGGCTCGAATCCCACGGTATACTTCTTCTATGATGGCTCCGCACCTCCCACAAACGCATTCTCCCGGCTAGAGGATGTCGAGCCAATCCTGGACACCACAGCGACAACGACCTATGCTAATCTAACCAACCAAGCCGAAGAGGATAGTGCATATGGACTCAGCATGGGTCCTCGGATGAACACTTTTCCCAGCATGGAGCCTGAAAAGGCTAGCCGGCTGCTCGAAGCTCATTTTCAGCTGTACCAGAGTCGGGTCAGAAACATCTCAAGCAGGAATATTGACATTCAGATGGGTAGATTCACACCCCAGCCTCTGTCAGTTCGCATCGCACGCGCCTCCACAGATCGAGGAGGGAATGCCCTTGGGTTAGACCCTGCAAACGGTGATCGAATCGAGGTGGAGAGTGACCTGATTTGGATCAATCCTATCTGCAATGATGCGTGTCCGGCATATTTTCGTGAGATAGCAGATCAAGCCATGTTGAATTTCACCAACAGCTTTGAGGGTGAGAAGCCGACGAACTATCATTCGGCAATATAGGCTTTATCTCGTAAGTTGCATCTGAAAGAAAGTCATATTGAATAGTTGAGTAACGCGAGCAGATTGAATCCTCTGTTTATGAATGACGCGGCCGATGATCGGGATCTCTATTCTAGCTACGGGGCGGAGAACAAAGCTCGACTGCCGTAGATCGCTGAGGCATATGATCCTGCAGGATTTATGAAGAGACAGGGCGGATGGGCTCTAAATTGATGGATGAATCGATCCCTGTATCAGCATGGATGAAGGTAGGAGAGAGTGAGACTTGATTGTTGATCGCTCGGAGATGGTACTCACGTGACCGGACTTGTTTCACTCGCTTTTGCTCTTCCATCCACAACTTTAAACGACAACAACATGTCTTCTCTTCTCCTGAGTTTCGGGACTGTATTATTTTAGCTTGAACTGTGCGGATTCACCGGAAGTAGTGTTATTTACTATGATTCCTTCTTTTAGGCTAGGACCAGAAGATTTCGGAAGTTCGGTATTTCTCCGACGGTGACAACGCTCGCCACATATTTGAGTCAGCTCCAGATAGCAGGTGACTTTTGTTCGATATACTTCACAACCGCCAATATTGCGATAATTGATGGTTCCCTGTATGGAAGCTCTAAGCTACTAGCGTTTGCGTCTGTGATTTCGATTGAACAACCGGTCTCATCATGGAATCACCCAGGGGAACTCCCACCCGTCTCTTCAAGTCATGTCGGCGGTGTCGAAAGCAAAAGATGCGCTGCGATGCGCGTCATCAGATCCCTTGCTCCCGATGTCAGGCCACTGGTCATGACTGTGTAGTGGACACGATTGACAGAGGGCGCAATGAGCGAAGAAACCAGAACAAAGAGCAAACTCGGTATTCTGTCTACAACGAAAAATCGATCATAATACCTACTGACTCCTATCCAGATTTAACCCCCTTTCTCCAACAAGTTCCAGCCTCTCATCAGTGGGGAGCTTCAACAACCGAGGGTCAACTGGCCAATCCAGCCTTGAGATACAGCATTTTACGTCGCAGGATATGATGGCTCCTCAGTCAGCAATGCATTCCATGTCCGTCAATCTAGGAGCTCCAGATGAGCAAATATTCATCGGCGAATCCGAAAATGACGACCCAACGAAAGACGTGATTGCAAGAGGAATCATCACTGAGGAGCAAGCTCGCGGCATCTATGAGAGGTACGGTGCGTCCACCTGAGCGAGACAATGATGCTAAACGTCGACCAGGTTTATGAATGGGAGCAAGAACTTCCTGCCTCTCTTCGACCCTGTCAGGGACACCTTTGACTCCATCCGATCTCGGTCATTGTTCTGCTTCACCGTCATAATCTACCTCGCTAGTCGAGCTGTTCCTGAGCTTCGCAGCAACAGTCATTTGCAGCGGGTCCTACAAGATGAAGCCCAAAAGCTAGCCGAAGACAGCTTCTTTGAACGACCAACGAAGCTTGAGACTGTCCAAGGAATGATTCTTCTGGCTGCCTATTCCGAGAAATCTTGGTTCTCGACAGCTCTCATCCTCCGGACTGCACTGGATTCGGGGCTTGAGAAATCTCTGGATACTCTTTTGGCGCAGACAAACACTCCTCGGAGTTACCTATCAGCCACGATGGAGGATCGCATTCTGGTCTGGCAAACGCGAACGTGGCTAATCACGTACACTACTGAGCTTGATATCGCTGCGGGGACCGGCAGAAAATCGCGAGTCAATGAGCTTGATGTAGCTAAGCTCCGCAAGTATCTCGACTATCCTCTCTCACTGCCCAGCGATATGCGTACAGTCAGCGTCATTGAAATCCATCAACTTCGAGGTAGTGATGTATTTTCTATCATCCATTGGTCATTGTGGCTAATATAGCACAGCTCGAGCACGACGAACTATAGACAGTACCACCGCGGGGCAGTTGTTGTCCACCGAATTGCCCGCAATCATGCGCCGATTAGAGGAGTGGTGGAAGACTTGGGATGGAATACATGATCGTAAGAAATTGAACGCTCGATTGGACAGGAGGGACGCTGACTGGGTAGAAAATGGCTTCCACGCTGGGGCTTTTCAGCGGTCTAGCTTGAAATACATGCTCAATTATGCTCGGGTCTATGTCCTCTGCGCCACCATCGCTCGCATCCAGAAAAGGCCGTCGTCGGAAGTTCTTCCAGATCCGGAGTCAGACGCCGTCCTAGGGCTTTGGAAGTCACTGGTGGAGATCATTATGGGCCAAATGGCATTGTTGGTCAATGAGACTGCTTACCGGTGCCAGCTCACCTGGTCTCCGACGTATCCGGCGCTCACTATAGCCTTTATCAGTAGGTTCCCACTCCTATGCCCATTGCCAGGTACTAACCTGGCTAGCAACATTCGCTGTGCGAGTGGCACGGTGGCATCCGGCTTTGATCGATCAAAGCTTGGTCTTGCAACGAGCGCAGCAAATGAGCGAGATTCTCAAGCTGCCCCCTTATCCGGATATCCATCGCACCGTGTCCATATTCTCCAACTATGCCAGTGCGCTTTTTGCAGAAAGGAGTTCTACAACCAATCAGGGCACTGCAACGTCAAATACTGCAGGATGCTCGATGCAACCAAGGCAGGGTACAGACAATCCGAGGTCTGACTCTGAGCTGTTTGATATGCCGCATGACCAAGGTCAGGAGCAGCCGCCGCAGAGGGATGCACAGACTCACGGAGACACTCTGTCAGAGGAGGGACGAAATGCAGAAGCTCGACCGGATCCTGCACTACCACGCCTTCTGGGGGAGATGAATATACCCAACTGGACCCTGTCGACCTCTATTGCGGACTCGTTTGATCTGTTTGAGGAGGGGCAGTCGGATGTGTTTGACTTTTTGCCTTCAATGCCCTCCATATCCTAGACAGCAAGGACTACACTGCATCGATTTGTGACCAAGGCGGTTGCCGAATGTGACGAGTGTGAAAAGATGCCATATCAGCTGTGATCGACAAGCCTAGATCAGCAAGCTGCCTAGCAAACAAGTCAGAAAATCATGTGCCATTCCCCAATTCCCTCAATCCCATCCAGTCACGAGCAGTTTTTATGGTCGATCAGGCATCAAATACTCCTCCAGACAGCGGGGCCGGCCGCTGTGGACCGGCTCCTGATCGGCGCCGGAGCAAGTTTCTGCATCTCCACCGGAGCCGGTCCGGCGCCGAATTTAGTGTTGGAGCTTCAGACTGAGCGGGAACAGTGATTGGCCAATTGGTTTCTATATCTTGGTCCAGACATGAGAAAACATTTACATCTGCAATGCCTGGCCACATCCATCTGTTTCTATGACTCAGATTTGCAGCAAGACTGTCTAGAGAAAGGTCGATTCTTCACTAATAAATACTCCGGATGGCGCCAAGTCGGGAGCAATTTTGGGTGCGCCGGACTCAATCTTGCACAGCTGGAATGCACACTACAGAGGCTATTCATTATGCCTGAAGAGAAATCAACTTCAAGTCCGGCTCGGACAGAGTGTTCTATAGGTACGACATCCCGTGCATTTCAACACGTTCGAGCTCCGAGGCTGACAGATGCAAGGGACGCCCGAATCTCGACAAGCACGCTCGACGCAATGCAAATTCATATCCCCGAATGACTGGCCATTACATAAAAAGTTGTCCATTGTTGTCGCAACCTTTCTCAGTGTAATCAATTCCGGCATCGGAACCTCGCTGCCGAGCAATGCGGTCCCCTACATCATGCGGGAGTTCCACGTGGAGGATGCCACACAAAGTAATTTGCCGACTTCAGTGTTCCTCATCGGGTACATGGTCGGGCCACTTGCTTTTAGTCCCCTGAGCGAGACCGTCGGACGGCGGTTGGTGCTACTGCCTACGCTCACGGTGTTTACTTTGTCGACCGTGGCATGTGCGTTGAGTCCGAATTGGGGATCGCTGCTCTTCTTTCGTTTCATCTGTGGAACCATGGGCTCAGCGCCTCAGACGGTTGTGGGTGGCGTATATGCGGACATGTTCTTTGATCTCAGAGAAAGAGGTAGAGTGATGGCATTCTATATGGCGGTATGTTCTATAATGCATTGAAGTTAATCAATGCGTTTAGGCTGACTTTGCGTCTAGTCAGCTAGTTTCGGGCCTATTCTTGGTCCGATAATATCGGGGTTTGCATCGCCCTCTTATGGATGGAGATGGACGTTCTGGATTGCTTCGATCCTGGCAGGCTGGGCCTGGATCTGCCTTCTCTTTGTGCCCGAGACCTTCGGGCCGGTTTTGTCAAGACGCAATGCCACTGGAATGCGGGATACAGTTGCAGAGGACACTGTCAACGTCGTTCAGATCGTCAAGCGACCTTTGGCTATGCTGCTCTTCGAGCCCATTATCACCTTCACTTCAATATACATCGCGCTGGCTTATGGTCTTGTCTTCTTCTACTTTCAAGCATACCCAATAATTTTTGAAGGTTTGTTGGCCCTTTTCCTGGGGTCATAATACGCGTATGCTGACTTGGCAGGTGTTTACGGATTCGATGTACAGATGACCTCTCTTGCATTCCTTCCTGGTACGTACGTCGCCACCTCTCTATGAACCACGCTAATAGAGATAGTCGGCGTCGGTGCAGCATCCACCAGTCTTGTCGCCCTCTACTGGGATATGACCTACGACAAAGCCAAGAAACAAAACAAGCCATGGCGCTTCGGTGCAGAACTCCACCGACTCCCTATCTCCTGTCTCGGCGCCATCCTCCTCACGGCCAGCTCGTTCTGGCTCGCCTGGACCGCCCGATCAGAAGTCCACTGGGCAGTTCCCATCGCCTCCGGAGTAGTGTTTGGTTTCGGCTACCAGACCATCTTCGTCTCGCTGTTGACATACGTGACCGATGCTTACAAGATATACTCTGCCAGCGCACTAGCCAGCTCGGTCATTCTGCGCAGCGTTCTTGGAGCGCTGCTGCCGCTGGCTGCTAAGCCGATGTACGGGACATTGGGGGTGAGTTGGGCGACCTCGCTGGTTGGGTTTCTGAGTCTGGCGTGTGTGCCCATTCCGTTTGTACTCTTGTACAAGGGGGAATGGGTAAGAGAGAGGAGTAAATTCTGTCAGCAGTTAATGAAGCAGGAATGGTCGAAGGGAAGTTCAGATACAGAGCGCGGAATACGGGGTTGAGGCGGGATAATGGTGAGGTATAATGACTTATGAAACGAACCTAACTTAGACATTAAAAGTTTTAGTATAATTTTCGGTTATAGAATATGATGTTTGAAAACCTCAAACGGTCCAATCCAAAGCTCAAGGCTCTCATGTCCAGAGGAACCATGCCATTGTAGTGTGAAGGGAAACACATCATAAGCCAGGTCACTCTCAGAGCAACCTAAATATTAATGATCTTCAGTCAAGCCTCTTGCCCAATTCATACAGATATGTGTCTGCGAGCTTCCTGTAAAGTCGGCCATCATGATGACCCTCATTGTCATGGCGCGCATATACATTCGAGCTCAAAACCCGCGCAGGTAGGCGCCGCTGTACGTAATACCGCGCGAACGTGCTATGTTGATACAGATCATTCAAAATGAAGCTATACAATATATCACATGTCGCTAAAACATGCTATAATAAGATGGCTTATTGTAGCTGGCACTGTTCCACATATTAAGCTTATCTCGGCCGTCGTTGGGTCCACAGAGCCTTGTGGCTTGTCGATTTGAACTAGAACATTTGCTTATTTTGAAGTTTTCCAGTAGGAAAAAGATAGCCGTCCTTAAGAAAGCAACATCAAATTTACTTTGACTTGTATAGAGCTTCTATTCAGTGAGCGATGGCTATTATCGGACCATGCTGATGCCGCCAGGTGCTAAGGCCGATCTAGAGTCTCACATCAGAATGCGGATGACTCACTCAACAACAACCCATGTATATATGAAGAACACAATTCCGGTGACCAAAAAGACATAAATCTACTCTCACATTAAATGTCTGCGCGCTAATTCTCAATGTCTTACCCTTCTTACCCCGAGCAAGCCGTTGCAGTAATTATTCCGGAGGAAGTACCACCCATATCCACCGAACGCCTCCTCCTGCGGCCTCTGCGAATCGGCAACGACGAAGATGCCGCAGGAATCTTCAGCATCAGAAGCCGACAAGATGTCGTGGACTGGCTGTGAGAAAACCTATTCTGCGATGGCATCCTCAAGCTAATTTGCCACAGTTGGCCCAGAATAGCAGATACCACAATCGAAGAAAGCAAAGCCCAGATGGCAAGAAAGGTGTTCAAAGATCCAGACGCGTCCGGTGCGGTTGGGCGGTTATTCTTCTTTGTCATTATTCCTAAAGATGACTCTGAACGTATCATCGGGTCTCTTGGTGTTAACTCCCTATCGCCCGCTCCCTCGGTGGGATACGCCTTGCATCCCTCGTACTGGGGGAGGGGGTATGCCAGCGAAGCCCTACGGGGAGTGATCGACGCATGGTGGAAACTGCCACGAGTCGGTGGCCTGGGACATGAGGAGAAATTGTTCGCGGCGGCCAATTTAGCTAATAAAGGGAGCGTGAAGGTTTTGCAGCGAAATGGGTTCAAGACTTACATGGAGGCCGTGCTTGAGGCGGACACGGTGGCTTTTATGCAATTAGAGAGTCCTCGGCGAGCGGTTACTCAACCTGAAACGATGGATGATCCTATTTAATAGAGCCGATGTCATCATGTTTAAGTCCTTGAGATCCCGGGACTCGAGATCTGATACTAAATCCAATGTGAGAGCCATGCAAGTGAACTATTAAGTGATCCTGGCAGTACTACCTTACCTCCATCGCAACTTCTAGCATAAGAACTTGAAGAGAAGACTCAAGAGAGCATAGATATGCGAATAATTCGGGACTTCTTCCCACGCCAATCGCGCGAAATCAAGCTGTGCATCGATTGCTAGTAATAGTAGCTATGAGAAGAGAGCATCGGTGTCACCCTTCCAGTCCATTCGGGTATATGATTGATAGAGAGGGGCCCTTTGCAGTGTGCATCACATCAGGTATGTTTCCATCTTCCATCATTATATGGCTGTATCTCAAGCTCAGTCCCTCGCTGATGCCTATTGACCTAACAGATGGTTTTGAGTGGGTCAAGTTGTACTACGAAATTTACAGTCTATCTATCAAAGGTTGCTATACTTGGAGGCTCAAATTACACGAAAGGGCAGATTTACACTAATGACTGTTGAATATAGGTAGTTGACTCCTACGAGCATGAAAGGACTAGATCATTCATGTCATAGAGCGTCAGGCAGAGACTGCAGTGTGACCAGCTGACTCGTCATTAGACAATTACTAAGAGGCTGAATGCACAGCTTCCGATATATCGAATTGTATGCTACTTATAGAATTGTGGCTGTCAGATGCATGGTTCATGCATACTATGGAACAGAAAACTGTAAGGACTGAATCAGACATATCATCTCTCACTGCCTGTCGGGAATCACTTCTTGGATCTATTTTTTGCTTGTTTTCCACGGGCTTTCTGTCTGAACAATCATCCCATGTCTATGCCGCCTTACGCTTGGCCAAGAGTCAATACATTGGCTTAATTGCAGACACCGACGAACTAGTATTAATTAACTATGAGGTTCTCATTGCTTATTAACTTGAGTCTGAGTCTCCTCAGCCAGATCCACACCGCTAATATTCCTTCCCAGGAAAGCTCGTATTAGGCCCCAGTTGTCATCGCCATTGGTCATCCATTCGCTTATATACGAGCACTGCACCAATCTTTTGAATCCTTTTGATGTCCAACAAGACATCCAGTAAGACATTTCAAAGTATGCCCATGCCAGCTTGCAGGCTGAGCCAGGGATTCAATCAGGTGATCGAAGCCACGTTTTCGGTCAACTCGTGATGAGGATCATTCCAGACCAAGGGACATAACAAGTGCCGAAATTCCCGTCCTATAATCAATGCTTTTCTGCATTATGCAAGGCTCTCATAGATCTTGCCAAGACGTCGTGTAAGACATGGCAGTCTGACAGCGCGATTAGGCAACCCGGTTGGAGCTCCTCGATCAAATCATCTGAGACAAGTCGAAGTCTACGGCTCGTGCACGACGTCATATTCGGTTTCCCTGTTGTAATCTCGTACTTATTACAGAAGTTGGTCTTGATTTGGATGGTTCTTGCAAAGGCTATCAGCTTCGATGTATGCTGTGTCACAATATGAGCAAAACCTTGGACGCCACAATCCCTTGTTGTCGACTCGAACGTGAATGCCTCCAGGTGCACTACACTGGCACTACTGGAGGATAACTCAGACACCGGCTGAGCAGTCGACGGCCATCTCATAAACATAAATAGTCGTCTTCATCCGGTCCACTGCTCCGAGTAACAAGCCAACTTCTGAAATCAAAGACCTGACCATCCTACCAATTCACCACCCATCTCAACCACAATGTTCAAGCCCGTTGTTCTTTTCAGCCTGCTTCTAGCAGCAGTAAATGCCGTTCCCACCCCCACCGAGGACATCGTCCCTCGATCCTGTGGCACTCTGGGCCCATCCGTCATCGATGTGCTAAGAGTCTCAACGCCCGACAACGCCTCCCCCGGCCAGCAGTTCACTCTCAGCCGCGCCGGGTATCCCCCGTATAACACGCAGATCTCCGCCCTGACATTCAACTACATCCCCGCCAACGCAACAGGCTGCATGCTGGAAATCGATATCCCGGCTCTGGCTCAACCCAACCAGATCGCTGAAGGCGCCACCCAGGTTGACATCTGGACTACTGACCCCTGGGATTATTACTCGCTGCCTACGTACAACAAGCCGCCGAAGAAGAGGGCGATGGTCGGCACGTACATCTTCCCGACACAGCCGACGACGGCGGAATCGAAGACCATCATTGCATCGAATACATGCTCGGATCCCATGAGCTTCCTGGTGGAGCTGAGTGGGTGGCAGACTCAGAGTGGCAGTGTCAATTTTTATAATACTCTGGGTGGAAAGCAGGGACTTGTGCCTATTGGGTTCAGGATGATCTTTAACTGTTGATCTGGTCATGTATTCCTATGCCTGTCAGATGGTGGGATTATGACCGATGAGACACCACACAAGCAGCGTGCTCTATAGGCATAGAAACCGGAATTATCTTAAACCAAATTCTTATGGTCCCATCTGTTATTTTTAAATAAGTCGAGGCAAACATCAATTGGAGAAAGAAGTGGAGCGTGGAGGTCCAGAACAAAGAAAGAAAACAAGTGACCAGTGCCGGGTTCGATCCGACGACCTTGTCGGTTTTAACGATGAGTGATAATCAACCAACAAAAAGACTGCCCTACTTTTTGCAAGGGGTCCAGGGTTTTGCTTTATAGACTGCAATACATTCGATCTAGATCTTGCCTCGATATGAGCTCGGACAGGCATCACCACGCTCGAATTCGTTTGATCTGATTTGGATTTCGGTGCTGATAATCGCCTTAGCTCTGTAATCACATATTTCCGATCGAATTGATTCTCGGTCGGATATCCAGTGACGGCTCAAGCAGAAAGGGATTAAATATATATATTGAGTAGACCATACTATTGCCATGAAAGGCCCACCTCACCATTGCAAGGATATCTCAACTAATTCGGAGAGCCAAAAGGTAAACACTGGAAACTCTATACCCCTGTTATAATGTAGTACTGCATGCAGATTGGCAAGTAGATCATAGTGATCTCCAATTGCACGAGGAGTATATATCACGTGACCGCATCTTATGGCAAGTCTGCTCATGCCGAGATCCAACAACTGCTTACAGAAAATAAAAGCAGAATTTCCTTATAACTGAGAATGTCTGTAGAATCAAGCTATTCTGTTGTAATCCATGGAAGAATACTGGGGCCCACCAGTCCAGCATTGCCTGATGCGTATCTTGCTTGTTGGACTGCCCACCTTGACATCATCATCCTGATGTCATTCTATCTTCTATACAAATCAAGGTCAAGCGAAGGCTTGATATATCTTGACCACCACCAAGGCCAGAGATAAAATGGACTGTATACCCAGAACCGTAGCCTTTCAATTACGGCCAAATTTACCTCTCCGTATACATTTTTGTCGTTGCTTAACGCGGAGCGTCTCAGTCCTCGTAAGCTACCAACCGAGGATTCCGAACGTCAAATCACACCTTAGCAAGACACAGATCATTAGAAAATACTCACTCCTTTCAACCGAAGGAAATATGAGAATCGCAATTACTGGCGCTCGCGGCTCTGTTGGCCGAGAGGTGGTCAAGCTCTGCGCTGATGCCGGCCACTCCACGGTGCAGATCAACCGAACCGACACTGACTACGACGGCACGCCCCGCTCGGAAATGGCGACGGCGGACGTTGCCAACGACTATGACGCCTGCCTCAAAGCATTCAAGAACTGCGATGCCGTCATCCATCTTGCATCAATCCCAGACCCTGTCGATAAGCCAGACCACACCGTCCACAACAACAACGTCAACTCTGCATTCAACTGCTTCCGTGCCGCGGCAGAATTAGGCATCAAGCGATTTTGCTATGCTTCGTCGGTGAACGCCGTGGGATTGGCGTATGCAAACCAGCCACTCAAATTCGACTACTTCCCCGTCGATGAAGACGCACCGCAGCGGCCAACGGATTCCTATGCGCTGGCCAAGCAGGAAGCTGAGATCCAGGCACGCTCGTTCGCGACATGGTTCCCTGGAATGAAGATCGCCTGTCTGCGTATTCACGAGGTTGCACCGCTCAAGGACGTGCAGAAGGAGCACCAGGAAGATTGGGAGAATGCTGCTGTTAAGCAGTTATGGGGCTGGGTGAACCCTCAAGCGACAGCCAGGGCGTGCCTGCTTGCTGTGGAACGGAGCGATAAATTCGAGGGATGCCAGGTGTTTAACATCGTGGCGCCGACTACCACTCAGGACACACCCTCTGAGGAGTTGGCTAGGAAGTATTATCCCGGAGCTGAAATTCGAGGCGATATGTCCAAGAATCAGAGCTTCTTTGCCGTTGACAAGGCACAGAGAATTCTTGGATGGACCCATGATGAGAAGGAGTGAGCTCATTGTGTGACTTAAATGATATGACACGATAAAATCTACTGTAGATAGGCAGCCTTAATTGCATGTAGGTTATGATACTGACTGGAATGGACAGCGGAGTAATGAGCTGCTTTTGGGTCTGCGAGAGCTCATCTATTGTGTTTGAGTCTTAGCATAGCGCATTAGGCACATAATAAGTCCCTGCCCTTGGGTGTTTCTGGTCAAGCAAGCCCAAGATACATCCATTCCGCAGAACGGATAATCCTCTCGGTCCAGGCTTCCACCTTCAGACAGCATGATGCGAGATTCGCCTCTATCAAAAGGATACATACCGTGGTACTTTCCGAACAATGCCTCGGACGACTTGACGACTGGCAAGAACTTATCACTTAAAGTAGAATGATTAGATAGTGACAATCGATTGATAAAACCAGAGAAGTCTGTTCAACGTTCATCCATCCAAGCAAAGCTCCCGCAGAGCCACTTCATCGGTATGGTAGAATGCGGGATGGTCGTATCAACTTGAGAAGTGCGAGTCTCCACTTCATTCTCGAAAGTCTCTGTCAAATCGACTAATATCCACGAGCGAACAGGACAGGTAATTCAGTCGGCGACTCGGTTAACAGCGAAGACCTAGGTTGAGAGGGCCGTCATAATCAGGAAGCCGAAGAAGAGACTGGCATATGATAGTGTCCCGGCCAAGCGGCTTCTCGGCGGAGGCAATCATATTATTGCCTGATCCTGTCTGAGACATTGACGGACTGCCACGGGAAACACCATGATGAAGAGGATCCTGAGACCTCTTAGAACGTTCTTTGCAGTATCCCATGAGCAAATATCGGACGAGAAACGTTACCCGGCCGAGTGTCGGACGTACTCGGCCGATACAGTCGTGGTTGTTTCAGTTGACAAAGAAGATCAGCCATATTGCAGGTGCAGCTTGCAAGCGGCAGAGAGTCTGAAATAGTTGAAACAAGCGGACATAGAGAGAAATCTTGAGATAACAATTCTCCAGACTATAGAGCTGCTGAGAAGCAAGCGTGAAGGAGGAGGAAAGAATCAGGAGACTAAGAAAGTTGGAGACTGTGGGGATTAGAATCCACGTGACTCTCATGAATTCAGCCAATCAGACGTTAAATTCTACGGAGATAGCCTAACGCGGATCGGAGAATAAGGTATCTGTAGCTATGCATAAGACTTGTTATTTGCTTCGCTCTAACTCAAATTATTCTATTGATCCATAACTTAGTATCGTACAATGTAACAAATCCAGTCTATTGAATCCAGCCCTTGGGACCGCCCCAGGTGCCCTTCACCATGTAGTTGTAGTAGACCCAAGGGAAGAAGTCTTTCTTCAGGTGGTAGAATGCACGGCGAGGAGTCGCCTGGTCGATGCCCAGCAAGTTACCAAACGTCTCCTTGGGTTCACCCGCGTACTTGAACTCCGCTAGAAGGACCTTGCCGTACTCGGTCAGCAGTGGACACGAGGTGTAACCGTCGTATGAGGCGTCGAGCTCCTTGCCCTCCATGGTTCTCAGCAGGTTGCTGACGAGCACGGGTGCCTGTGCCGTGATCGCGGCCGCCGTCTTGGATGTGGGGAGACTGGACGCATCACCAGCTGACCAGACATTGCCGTACTTCTTGTGGCGAGTGGTGTTGTCGTCGACATCGACGAAACCGGCCTCATTGGAGAGAGGGCTGTTCTTGACAAACGCATGCGCTCCCATCTTGGGCACGACATGCAAGAAATCGAACCGTCTGGTGACCTGCTCCTGTCCGTCCAGACGCTTAAAAGTCGCCTTGTCGCCATCGATGGAGACGAGATCGTGCTGGAACAGTCCTTCCACCTTTCTCTCCTTGCGCAGCTCCTCCAGCTTGGCGCTGTACTTGGGCACACCGAACATTCCGGGAAGCGCGGTAGCGAAACTAATTTGGACTGCTCCACTCGAGGGGTTGCTGGGGTTGTAGAGACCGGCACGCTTCCAATAGTCCAATGCGAGCCACATGACCTTCTGGGGAGCGCCTGCGCACTTAATCACGCCAGCCGGCTGGGTGAAAATGGCGGTACCTTTCTGCAGTTTCTCAATGGTGCTGTAGGCCTTGTCGCAAGTGTCATAGCCGTAGATGGACGAAACGAGCGAGTTTGAATCTGCGAGAGCCTCAGGCAGACCCTTGATGCTGTTGAAGTCGACCTTGATACCGGGGGCAACGACCAAGTGCTCATAGTTGACCTTGTCGCCATTGGCGAGCGTGATGAAGTTGTTGTCGGGAGAAAATGTGTGCACACTGTCGTTGTAGAACCTGAGCTTGGGATCAAGCAGGCCGTTGAGGGGTTGTCGCAGATCCTCCTTGTTCTTGAGACCACCACCAACCAGAGTCCATCCGGGCTGATAATGATGCCAGATAGCGGGGTCGACCACCGCAATGTCGTCTTGAGAGAACTTTCCGGTGCGGAGTAACTGATGACTGACGGTGAGACCAGCGCTACCACCACCAACCACGACTACTCTGTGATTGCGCGCAGTGCCCACTGCAGCTGTCGCGAAACCCCGCGTTACCGTTGAGGCATTCTGTGCGGCAAGTACTGAGCGAGAAGCAGCAGCAGAAGCTGCCACTGTTACGCGACTGCGAAACATGACTGACATAATGTGAGAATGGAAGAAGTAAGAAAACCGGACGGGGAGTGAACAAAAGGAAAGCAGGAGTTAAACTGGACGGCACGACCATACAAAAATACAACAAGTAAAAAGGGCCCTGGATGTCGCAATCAGGAGCGATTATTAATGGTGCGATAAGGATCTGGATAAGAAAATGGGCCCACTCCGACTTATGCTTCCCCTATGTTATGTCAGCTGCATAAAGTCTGATGTCATAATAGACTGATGCATCAACTCAGTCGCCGACTGAGATTTCACGTGACTGGGATCGCCGAGTGGATACAGCTCCCCGATGCATTGGGTCCATAGAGGCCGAGAGAAGTATAAACGGCTTCGAATTTGCATGTATCTCTTGATTCTGTCATTCAGCACAAACACATTTGAACATGACATCCATTCAACCTCAAATCTGCAAAAGTTGGCATGCAACGGCGGGTCTGTTGTGTGCGCCTTCCACTGCAGTCCGAGTGCCACTGCGTCCTCTCCATTATCAAGCTGCAAAGAAGTCGGCCTGCACCATTGGAAAAGCACCTCTAAGATCGCTATCAGTTTATGCGAGTCCGCTGTCACAGTACCGCGTTCAGAATACACGCACCTCTCCGAGCAGACGTTCCCTGAACGGGACCGTCATTCGAGCAACATACAGCACTGCAACCATGGAACCAGGAGGACCAACAATTCACAATGTGTTTGAAAGCAAGACAGGCACCTGGCAATATGTAGTCGCTGATCCAACTACATCAGCAGCCGTAATCATCGATCCGGTCCTGGATTATGACCCCGCCACCCAGGTCATCACCACGGACTCGGCTGACGTACTACTGTCCTTGGTCAAGGAGAAGGGATACAAAGTCGAAAGGATCCTTGAAACCCATGCACATGCAGATCACCTCACCGCAGCGTCCTATCTGCAGAAGCGTTTAGCCGAGGAGCAAGGCCACCGGCCGCCCATCGGGATCGGCAAGCGCATCGGACAGGTGCAGAAGTTGTTTGGTCAAAGATACGGCATTCCTGAGCAGGAATATGAAGGCGTCTTTGACAAACTCTTCGAGGACGACGAGGCATTTAAGATTGGCAATTTGACTGCCAAGGCCATCCATCTTCCTGGACACACTCCGGACCATTTGGGGTACCGCATTGGAGGTATGGTGTCGACTCGCACCCACGGACTTGTCACATTGGCTAATTTAACCTACTAGACAATATTTTCTCCGGCGACCTAATCTTCCATTCGGATATTGGCACCGCACGCTGTGATTTTCCCGGCGGCAGTGCCACCAACCTCTATTATTCAGGACGGAAGGTCTTGAGCTTGCCGGATCAAGTCAAGATCTGGATGGGCCACGATTATCCTCCCGAGGGGCGCAAGGAACCTGTCCCCTCGCTGAGCGTCCTGGATCATAGGCAGCAAAATAAACACCTTAAAGACGGCGTCACCGAAGAGGAGTTTGTAGCGCTGCGGAAGGAACGTGATTCGAACCTGGCTGAGCCGAGGCTGCTTCACCAGTCACTGCAGATGAACATTCGGGCAGGACGATTACCGAAGCCTACAGAGTCGGGGCAACGATTGCTCCATGTTCCGTTAAAATTGAAGGAGTTGACATGGTAGTGTTGGTACAGTCAGGCGAGGCTGCAAGATATCGATAGTTTGTACATACTCTGTATACCACCAAAGTAACTGTAGTAAATATTTTCATCTGGGTAACCTCGGTTGAGTGTTCAAGTTGATCTTAGCACCCAGGCCGTGGCTTTTAATCATATGTCGATACTGAATACAGCAGCGGGATCTGCACATTCGTATGCGTCTTAAGGTGGATGAGGAGGGCATGCGCTGTGATAGACAGCAAGCTAAAATCATAGGCCTTTATCCTCTGTGGCCAGGACGGAATGCCCGATTGGGTTAGGGCTAATATTACTTACTTTTAGCTTCCTACTGCATCTAATCTTATCTGATCCTAGCATGACCATATGAGAGATAGAGTTGTTGACATCTGTAGACTGTAGCATATCAAGACGCAGGCATACCTGGCTGTCCTTTATGCGACCCAGATGAGATCGCACGTACTGATGTTCATTTGACAGCCTCATCCTCGAATCCAGTCCGTATCAGCTGCTACGGGCCGAGGTTTTCCCGGTAGGGCTGGTGGTGTCTCCCACGCGCCAGAGCAGTTCGAATCTTCCCTCACTTCCATTCATTATCTAAAATACTAAACAATTGATATTTTCTTCATCACTGCCTGTATCATCTTTCCAGGTTCTGCAAAGTCTACAGAAAATAAAATTATTTTTTTTTCCTGCCAATCCTCCTAATTTGCGACCGGCAAAATGCAACTTCCCTTGCGGCAACCACGAACCAAGGGCCATGCTGGTGTTCTGCATCCCTATGTATGTAAGTGGCACTGCTCATCCAACAAGCTTTCGCGAGCTTACACTAACAATACATCCAATTGAACAGTGTGAAGGATTGGTTGCTTTCGAGTATACTGACGGCCTCGTTCGGAAACCTAACACCCTCGTGTTCATCGGCGGCCTGGGAGACGGACTCGGCACTGTCGAATACCTGACCGACCTTATTACGGCGGTGGAGTATACATCCTGGTCCGTCTTCTCGCCCATTCTGTCTTCTTCTTATAGCGGATGGGGAGTGGGTTATTTGGGCAAAGACATCGATGAGATTGCGCGCTGCGTGCAGTATGTTCGGGAGTATAAGCAGGGGTTATTCGGCGCAGGGAGGATTGTGATCATGGGTCATTCGACGGGCAGTCAAGACGTCATGCATTATTTGAGTTGTGCGAATCCGCGCCCGCGCCATCCTGTGCTGGACATGGATGCGGCAGTAGAACCTCTCAAGCGGCCTCCTGTTGACGGAGCCATCATGCAAGCGCCTGTCTCGGACCGAGAAGCGATCAGTTGGGTCATCCGAGACGGAACGGACAGGGACTCCCCGGAAAGAATTCGCGAGATTTACCAGAGAACTATTGAGCGCGCCAGATCGACCCCTTACGAAGATGACAACACCCTGGATACCATCCTCCCTCTGTCGGAAACAACTCGGATCGGGTATCCAAGCGTAACGCCGGTGAGCAGTCGACGGTTCCTGAGCCTGGCCAGTCCAGACAGTCCAGAGAAACCAGAAGAAGACGATATGTTCAGCTCCGACCTCAGCGATGACCAGGTGCAGAAGACCTTTGGCCAGCTGCGGTCGCAGGGACTGCTGGGTTCAAAACTGCTGGTCTTGTATTCGGGAAGAGATCAGTCAGTGCCACCGTGGGTTGACAAGGAGCTTTTATTGAAGCGATGGTCCATGGCAGCTAGCGACTGCTGGGACAGCAACAGTACGATCATCCCGAACGCCTCGCATGCGCTGAGCGATGATGACCAGGCCGAGCCGAGGAGGATACTGGTGGAACGCGTCATGTCCTACCTGGAAGACGTAGAGAGATACCCGACAATTGCGAGCTGAGTTCGAGCACCAAAAGCACCAAAGCGTGATCAATCGATCCCAACTCCCTTGTCTAGACGGGAGGCATCCTTCTGCAATGAATTACTGCTGGAGCTTGTCATCATTGCGTGAGCCAGTGTAACAGGTTCCATTGCTCTTTGAGGCATGAGTAACTGAGGTGATTTAAGAGTTCAGTTAATTGCCTTACGGACGACCGGATCATGCGCCTCACACTAGTCAAATCCAAAACCAGAAGAAACTAGGCCCACTGCGATGACCACGCCAGTTCATTGCTCATATATACCGCCAAGATCCAAGTCACGTTCATGATCGCTTTGGCCTTTCTTCAGTCGATGAGGGTCTTGGGAGATGGTGGGAGGCGCAAGAAGTGCAAGCACAAAACTTGGCCAAGTAAGTCCGATGTCTGAAGAGGCTCTCTGATTGGCCATTCCATATGGGTATCTGAGATCTCTATCCCATTGACTCGCGGTGAGCTACATTGAGTTCTGAGGATATTATGATGGAAGATAAGTTTCTGAATTCTTGTATAATACATCAAATCTGTTCCACATCTCTCAAACGTCTACCATCCACCAGAGCATATTACATTCAGGCTGTGATTACGATATCTTGACCAGAGACTCCAGTGTAGTTCCTCCATCATCTCTCAGAAGATTGTCGACGCTTCAAGCAGTAGGCTGAGCAGTGGGAACGCCAGATGGAGCGACGCCGGTGGGGAATGAACCCTGGCCTTGACCCTGACCCTGACCGCCGAACCCGGCAGCGCCAGAGGGGACAGCACCCGAAGGGACAGTGCCAGTAGGAGATGGACCGGAGCCCTGGCCACCTTGTCCAAAGCCGCCGAAACCTCCCGCTGCCCCAGAGGGAGCGGCACCAGAAGGAGCAGCGCCGGAAGGAACAGAACCGGAATGAGATGCGCCAGAACCCTTGCCATGACCGTGGTGGCCACCATGACGACCGCTTGCCGATCCAGAATGGGACGCACCAAAAGGCGAGGTGCCAGAGGATTGGAACTGGGCGTTTCCTGAGTTCTGGAATGCCTGTCCGAAACCACCAAAGCCTCCGACTGCCCCAGAGGGAGCGGCCCCGGAGGGAATGGCACCAGAAGGAACAGCGCCGGTAGGAGAAGGACCAGAGCCTTCCTCGCCTGGGCCTCCTGGGCCGCCCTGGCCGCCCTGGCCGAAACTGCCAAAGCCACCGGCAGAGCCCGAGGCAGCAGCGCCGGTGGGCATGGTCCCAGATAGAATAGCACCAGAAGGAGCGGCGCCCGAGTCCTGGGGAGAGCGGGCGTGAACACCTTGGCCGCCGAAGGAGCTGCTGTCTCCCTCACCCTGGGGAGCGCCAGAGGGAACGGGACCATTACCGAAGGAAGGGAAGCCGGAGGGAGCAGCGCCAGTAGGAACAGCGCTGGATGGAATGGCACCGGTGGGGAACGAGCCGCCTTTCTGGCCTTCACCGCCGAATCCTCCAGACATCATGGGACCACCGGGGAAACCGGACGGCATGCCAGAGGGGATACCGGAGGGGAAGCCAGTGAGGAATCCGCCAGGAGCGTGCTGTCCGGTAGCAGTGGGCTTCACATCGGAACCTTTATTGGCGTGCTGAATGGGGGCTGCCAGGGTAGAACCGAGAAGGCTGAGAAGGAAAGCAGCAGTCTGAGGCTTCATTGTGAAGTGGAAGAAACGAACGGTTTTTGCGAAGTAGAAGTTTGATTTGAAGCTGAAGGATTGAAGATGGCAACCAGGCCTTGAAGTTCAAAGAGTGTGAATTGTGAAAAGAATGGAAAGCTGGGTGCTAGATTCTCAAGTCACCGGGACTATGGGGAGGCAAAAGCATTTCGAGAGCGGATTCGACGGCGTTTAAATAGACGTGCTGGTACTGCAGTCTGCCTGCGTTGACTGAGGATTTCCAAATTGGGCTAACTATGAGGGCGCTATTTGTCCATACTGAGTCGAGGAATCTAAATGACCCTTCTGTGTCCCATTTTCCTCCTCGAGATTCAAGACTGAAGCCACCAAAGCTGGTACGCGTCAGCACCAGAGGGATCGTCGGACGGAGACTAGATACATCGTCAACACTCGAAACGAAGAGAAAGAGGATGCAGGCTTCTTTCACCCTGCAGGATGCCGCCCTAAAAAGGCCCGGCATAATGAATCTGCGTCTAGGGTAAAGGATCGTCCTGCGGCGCCAGTGCTCACTAAGCTGATAAGTGACAACTGACGAGTGCAGTAGAGGGACGGCTGGAGCAAGTGAAACAACAAACACGCCACCTGCTTCTGATTGATACCCGACGCCAAGCAAAGCCAAAACGCATTTGGCAGCGTCACTGAGTCGGACTGGACACCAGTGCTTCACATTGGAATAGGGGCCTTGGAGAGCGAGTCTCGACTCTAGCAGTATACCGACTAGTCACTGGTACGCGTCATCTTGGTCTGTGCTTAGGTCGAACCGGTTTGAGATAAGGATACTGAGTTGCTAAGCTTATTCCAGAGAATCTTGAGTATTGGTGGATGAATGGCGGTTAATTCAGGGAAATGCAGCGACAATGTCCCCTGATTGTTGGATTGGAGAGGTAGCAGTTGGGGGTGCTGCTTTATCCGCGGTAACTGACATTGCTTACAGGCCCCTGCTAGAACCAATAGGGCTGTACCATGTATACTGCAGATTACGCAATACCTTATGTGGATTAAGGTGAAACAGGATGAAGCACTGACGCAGCCTTGCAAAGGGGCTTGAGAGGACAATGGAGATGTGGACCAGCTTGGGAATAGTTGCCACTACACGCCACGGAAAGAAGAGCATCTACACTAGGATACATGAAATAGCGGCAGAGACGATGGAACGGTGGCTAGAGGGCGCTCTCTTAGCGGGTTTCAAGTAGATCATCTGTATACGAAAATTTCTTTTAGAGTCTGCCATTTGGCATGAAGAATAGTAACCTATATTGTGCGGGGCACTTGAGGAGATATTATGACCGCCGGAAGGGAGAAATGACATTGAGGCCATCCGCGTATCAGAACAGAGGATAACATATTCCATTGAAGCTCTGAGGACCACATCGTACAACTCGACTGAAGTAACAGTCGATTTCAACTGCTCTGTTAAAGAGAGTCAACTGAACCGAGGACGGGAGTATAGGTAGTGCTGTTCGATGATAATATCATATCCTATTTTGATTCATTGCAGGAACATTGAAGATCATGCTGATTTGATCTAGAGTTAACCAAGGCTGCAAACCAAACCAGCCGAGCAGTTAAAACGCTTTTCCCTGCCCCTACCACAGCCTTGATCCACAAGGCCGCTGTTCGTCGGGGAGTCGAGCCACTGCCGAAACTGGGAATTTGATAGATGCATTCTTCAATACCAGGAATGTGAGAGTTTAAATGCTTCTTGAACTCGCTCGTATCTCTCAGATAAGCAGTCGGATACAGCTTGCCCCGGAGGTTCGGAATCTCTTCGGCAGATTTGGAAATGGAGCGAACGGATGCATCGTCTGGATCTATGAGAACAAATTCGCTGTCCTCGCCGTCAGACATGCTGATGTGGCTTTCACTTTCTGTCAAGGCAGCGATAGGAAGTAAAGAATGAGAGGAGAAATGCTGCACGATTAATGGTGTCTAATTTCTAGTACTATCTTGGTCTAGACTGCTTGTATTCTGCCCTCTATCGGGGCATGAAGCACAAACAGTGTGTATCGAGAATCATTTCCGCTTTGGTTCTACTTTAAGCGTCACCGGAGCATCCTCTGTGCCTCATCAGGGTTCGACATAGCAACTATAGCGACATATAATGCCCAATCGGCAACTTGTATCAGACTCCAGGACCTGTCTTCCCGCTGTGGAACAGAAGCTATGAGAGGCAACTCTGGTGCAGAGTTATTTCCCTGGCTATCTGTCATGGTTGAAATTGCTGCTCTTATGTCTCAAGTAACAGGCCTGATAAACCTTGAGCTGACAGCGTTCCTCTAGTAATCATGCCAAGCGTAAAAGATACATGTCTCTGTTGACTCACCAGGTTCCGTCTGCAAGACATCAAAGACATAGCATAGTGGCCGTCGACACCAATGATTCTTACAACCTGGGTGGTATATAACTGCAGAATTGTCGAATTGTATTGAGACTGCTCTGCAATCAGAGATTGACTTTATCGTTTTCCCACTGTAATTGAGTCTATCCCGGCCTGGACTATCCGCAATGCAACCCTGTCTGCCCTCTAGGCCCGTGCATACGCTGACCATGGACCGCGTTTTAAGGTTATCTCTGTACTTGGAACGTCCTCTCGCAGCTTAGCCTTGGCTTTGATTAATCATGTTTCCCTATTACAATTCTTCCCTATAAATGTTCGTTGGGTATCTTCCAGATCCGGCCAACAGAGCTCTAGATATCCATCCCAAGTCTCTTTACGTCAAGTATCTGGAGAGCAGCAATTCCGCATAATGATGCAGCTGTCTATCTACCCAGACCTTTCTGTCCCCCTCATTTTCAACATACTAGACAGTAAAAGAACCAAACAAGCTGCGTAATTCATAAAGCTGATCCACACTCCACTTCACGTCCAGCTCGTCGTCCCGCAACAAGGTAGAAATTTCGGTCGAATAGAGCTAGCTAGGAGTGAGCATAATCTTCACTTTCGAACTCACTTGAAGGGATTCTCAACCTAATCACCTGCTTCGTAGTATAGCGGAGAGGCTGGTATGAAGCCAAAGCGCTCGCATATGATGCAGGTTGTATACGAACAGACAAGAGAGACTGCAAGGGTGCGTGGTAGAAGATAGAGGATAGCAAGTAGGCCCAGTACAGCTTCTATGATTGCCATTTTTTGAGGAAATCAGGGAGTATTCACATTTCGGCATGACTGCAACACAAGGGGCTTGCCAAGCGTGCGATGAGAATGCCCTACATAGTTCTATAAATGTAGTGGGACGTCCGGAAAGATCAGTACGGCTTGCTCTATTGTCATTTGCTGTCGCTCAGTCATGGACACTTCAAGTAGGTACACGTCATGCGTGACGTTTTCAATGCTATCCCATCAGCTTAATCCTTGAGCAGCTTCAGAAGCCACGGGCAGGTTACATTGAGGGTGGATGCACGCGGTCAGAGAGCGTTTCCTTGAGGTCAAAGCACTCTACAGAGAAGCAACGGCAAGGGTGGAAGGATGTCATGGACTGTCAAGCTGAGTTTATTTGGATACCTCGTCACTGATCCCTGGTACTGTCTGGCATTTCCTGTCAGTAGCAGTATCACTAATGCGAGTGTCTACCCTCTTACGGCACACTCGATAGTTCTTCCAAGGAATTTTGGACAGGACCCATCTGGAACACCTAGAACAGTGGCGCCTTGCAGTTGGAGACCGGCCTTTCCGTAGGAGGATTGTGTTGGTCAAAACACCCTCCAATACTACATTACTCTCCTATATGAGCACAGGAGGTATAGGGAATTCCATCGGTTAGATGGCATGTCACTCACTGTCCCTTGCATAGTCCGGCCACGATTCTAGGCCATGTTGCTGTAGGAATGAAGCATATGATAGTGTCTCCCACCAGTTACGTCCTTGTTTGTCAAACAAGCGCTATCTCTAGAAGGTCAATGGACTGCTTCAGCTTGCATAGCTTCATTGCCCGTCAAAGAGACAATCATGCATGTGCCTTTCTAGAAACAGGACTCGGTCTCTGGTGCCACTCCGACGTTCGTCATCTGGGTGAGACTGACGTGACACTGATGAATCAAGCATAATCAAGCTCATGGGCCCACTCAAAACCGTACAACAGGACCGTTAGAAACTTTATTTAAAGGAAGAAAGTTAAGCTACATCAACATGAATGAAGGAATCGGCATTGCTGACAGTCCAATTCCATGGAAGAGAACATTTTTCTTTGCCACGGCACATTCCAGGATACCCCCCTTGATACAGACCAAAGCCGGTTTTTAGGCCACCACCCATAACACCGGTCATACCCGCAACCAGCGGCTGATCTTAAATCCCAGCTTATAGACGTCAGAGGTCTTTTGGAGTGCGCAGTCAGAAACCGAACGGGACTGAAGTCGACTTTGCCAATATACGGATCGTAAAACTGTAAACCCAGGTTAGAGGCACAATGTCTCGGAAGAACCAAGTGTAAGCGTAGTTAGGCCTCCAGTGTCCAGTATGCAGTGATCAGTGAGATGGGAAACACGCCCGCAGAAGCATAAGACTAGTATTGAAATGAGAGTTAAGATGTACATCTGCTTGCTGGGCGCCGTTCGCCAGTCAGATAACACTAATCAACAATGTCTCGTACTGCGGAGTTGGGGATGCAACTCACTGCTCTGGCTGGCTGCCATCCAGAGCAATATTGCCTGCTGTCAGACGCAAATCGGGCGCTTCGATTGTCGGTCCAATATAGCAAGCTTCGGAGAAATCCAGGGGGCAATTGGCGTGGAGAGACCAGGACCGACGACATTGCAACAACAGCCGAGCATATCCTCATGCACCAGGCTCTCGGTATCAGCCTGGATACGGACCGCGATGCATTTATTTCATGGCTCTATTCTATTCAGAACTTGGATGGTTCATGGGGCATCAACCCAGGGGACCATGACAAGCTTTCAGTCACGGTTGAGGTCTATCTCGCTTTGAGAATCTTGGGTGTCTCGCGGAAAGATCCTCAAATGCGCACATCTCAATCGTTCATCCTTGCGGCAGGAGGAATAAGAAACGTCTGTTTTATTACCCGCATTCATCTTGCAATGTTTGGCTTATATCCCTGGAATGCTGTGCAAAGTCTTCTTCCCGAGTTCATATTCCTGCCCCAACATTTTCTAAGCAGTGTATGCTGCTGGCCAGGAACGGATCGGACAGCATTGATCCCTCTCCTTATTCTCTGCCATCATCGTCCAATCTTCCCATTACCCAGTCAGGAATGCCCAGCCAGCGCGTTACTAAATGAATTGTGGTGCAAACCACAAGAACCGCAAGAGAAAGCCTTTTGCGGTGCTTTGCCAACCCGCACTTGCAGGGACATTGCAATAGCCTCGACCTCCACAGACCTGATTGTGCATTTTCTGAACTCGCTAGAATACATATTCCCCCTCCGACGCTATGCTCTCGATCGGAGCGTTGGGTTCGTCCTTGAGACTGTGCGGGAAATGGTAGGTACAGGGCATCGGTCGCGGCCGTTGCACATGGCGATGCTTGCATTGAAACTGGAGGGTTACCCGGTTCACTCGCATCCTCTACGTACAGGTCTGGACTATCTCGGACACTTTGTATATGAGGATGATAATGGGAAGAGGGTGCTGAGTGGGAATACAACCTTCCGCGACAGCAGTCTGATGATTACGGGCCTCGGAGACGCTGGCATCGCAGACGATACTCCGTGGTTCAGGAAGTCATTGCAATGGCTGCAGCATTGTTTACTCCCGGACGGTAACAACGACACATCCAAGACGTTCGACACTCGCATTTTTCGTGTGGACAATGTGGCAGCAGCAATTTATGCAGTCATTCGACAGGACCCTCTGATGGTCGGCTCCGCCTTTGTCTCCAACGCTCTGAAATGGCTTCTGAAGCGACAGAATGCAGATGGCGGGTGGACTTCTATATGCTGCAGTGACTATCACACCTCGCCAGATACACTTGCGCTTCAGTCGACGCCAGACGTGACAGGTCACGTCCTCGAAACCTTCGGCTTGATTCTAACGCTGAGTCGACGGAACGAGATACTGGCTAGGCAAGGGATATTGATCGATCATGTCGCATCTGCTTGTCAAACGGCAATACACTACCTGTCATTGATCCAGCAACCCTGCGGGGCCTGGTTTGGGTGCTGCATCAGACACCACATTTACGCGACAAGTGCTGTTCTCCGCGCCTTGGCCTATTTCATCGGGGTCAAAGACCGCAACAGGTGGGCTGAGAGAGATGACAGTATCAACGACGATGTGTGCCAAGCGATCCACTGGCTCCAGCGCGTCCGCAATCCAGACGGAGGCTGGGGGGACATCTCCTGGAGAGAGAAAGGTGGGAAGTCTACAGCGTCACAGACAGCTCTGGCACTCCTGGCGTTACTTCCCTACCTGTCACCCATGGAGAGCGTGCTCCGAAAGGGAGTGGAGTATTTGGTACAAACACAGACCAAGACACTCGTTGGAGGGGCAACATGGATGGAGGACCAGTCGACGAGGGCTGGTTCTTCGGCCTGCACATACATCACCTCTTCCTATACCTCGCATTGTTTCCCCATGATGGCAATTGGCAGGTATGCACAAGCACTGAGACAGTATGAATGTGGTGGCGAACCTATCTTCTCAGGCAGGGCGGAGAATGTACAATAATCCTGTAAACTCCTATTTTATTTGTTAGTCAACGGCGTACATTCCTACTCTAACACGAGCCAGTGTACTTTTGTGAGTGCATCCTTTTCCCGATTATAGCAACATATTCCAACACTAAAACAGCTACGGCAAGGTGTCCGAGTGGTCTAAGGAGCACGGTTCAGGAACTGGACCTATAAACTGATTCTTCAGTTTCCGTGTCTCGAAAGGGGCGTGGGTTCGAATCCCACCCTTGTCATTCTTGTTTTTTCATCTGATATTTCATGTATTTATTTATTTACCTTATGTGTTTTTTGGGACGCTCAAAGGTATTGCACCTTGAACTATGATTATTAGTGTCTGTGTAGAAGAGTGAAAACTTTAGTCACCATGCTAGTTTGTGGATATATATTTACTTCATGTGCGGACACTGAAAGTTTCTTTGGAGATGCAAACCATGAAAATATCACACTCCACATTGCTATATATTTTTCTTCGACAGGCCGTCCGCGCAAGTGTATCTTTAGCCGCAGATGTCTCCGTCTTTCGCATGATTCATACTACTCATCTGAGGCTGATGAACGTGGTGTAGAGGGGGTCCTGGATACCAGGCCCAAGGAAGGAAATGACGAGCGCGAGGCCCTGGAAGACATGTCATCACGAGAACTGTTCTTAGCAGCCACTTCCTTGCAAGACATCGACACTGCTTGCGATGGGAATCAAACCTGGTGGCAGCATTGATACAGCAGCTGCCGCGAGCGTGGTAATGGACTTGCCACTCAAGATCTGCATCGTGGGCATTTCCACCAACAGTTCCTTCTGGAACCACCGCCGCAGATCGACGGCGACAAGGGAGTCAATGCCGAGGTCGGTAAGCCGCGTGTCTGGCGGCAGCGCGGCATCCGAGGGAAGATTGAATTTATTGCGCACTTTGCGAGAGAAACCCTCCGTGACGACCTCGACTGCTTCCTCCATGTTGGTCACAGTTTCCAGGCACGTCCTCATTGACTGGCTTTCACCTTGTGTTGTAGGGACGTCGGAGCGAGACTGGATGTGGTAGTTGATGCGGTGCCAGGTGAAGGGGGAATGGTACCAGATGATATCGGGCTGCTTTACCGGATCGGTGACTGGCGCCCCTGCAACAATCTCCGCGTTCCGATTCGAGGAGGGATGACCGGCGAGAATGGCCTCGGCGAAGAGTTCATGCAGGTCCCGTTCGGAGAGCTCTTCGGCGCCGAGACTGTTGCGCAGGTACTCGGCGAGCTCAGCTCCCTTGCGGGCGATATAGCCCACGCCGCTGATAACGCCGGGTTGGACGATGCTGCCGACACGGTTCTGCATGCGTCGCCGACGAATCAGCCCGGCTTGGAAGCCATTGGCCGCTGAATAGGCGGACTGGTTCCAGTTCCCGATCACACCAGCGAGGGAGCCGCAGAGGATGAAGAAGTCCAAGTCGGTGCCGCAAGAGAGCTCGTCCAGCACCAGACTCCCAAGCACCTTGGCGGCAAAAGTGGATTGCATCATTTCCAGCGAGACACTAACGAACGGTGCGTCATGCAGAACTAATGCTCCGTTTACAATGCCTCCGAGGGGTGGATAATGCTGCTGGATATGGCGATAGACGGACGCGATGGAGTCCCGGTTCGACAGGTCCCTGATGGATTAGATGTTGTAACCAAATATTGGAGAACGGAGACTTACATCTTCATTGGCACTACCTTGGCCCCCAATGCTGCCATCGCCTCAAGCCATCGAGAACTTACATTTGGGGATCGACTGGTGAGAATTACATTGCGGGCTCCGCGGGCGATTATCCAGCGACAGACTGAGCGGCCCAGATCGCCTGTCATCCCAGCCAACAAATATGTCTTGTCTTTGGACAAATGGATCATGGAGCTCGCTGTCTGGACCCGGACAGATAGTGGGTTGGAGACATCGTACCGAGTCCAGTCAATAATGAGGCCTTGTTTCGCCTCTAGCCCTGTAGCAGAGAATTCCTTGATGTTGACCACCGGAGACGAGGTAAGTCTTGTTGACTGCATCAATTGCGTGACCATCGTAAGAGTATCGGTCAGTAAAGGGTAGGGCATCTGGTTTTCATGAACTGGTGGTACCGCCACGACGCCATACAGGCTGCTCAACGTCCCCCGTAGCACATGGTAAGGCAGCAGCTGGCTGATGCTCCGAGAGAACCCATCGTTCCCATCCTCCGAATCAAGGGATATGAACATAGAAAGCTCTGGGGAAATGAGGTTGGCAAGCGCACGAAGCGAACTCCGTGGGTGTACAATTACGGTATTCTCCCGCTGACTGGACAAATCAGCCGTGGTGAACTGGCATCGAATGCCTTTGGTAACAGCGTGCATTTCAATTGCCTGTTGTAGGGCTTCATCTGCTTCATGCACCCACACGACCGTGGAATCTTCTGCCTGTTGGACGATTGAGTAGGCCACAATAGCTGTTACAGCGGCAGGTAACAATGTTTGATCCTCATTCTCGGAAACTTCAGCTGGAAGCTCACGGCACCAGCTGGATGGCGTTGTGACAACAGTGGCATTTCTGTCCGCAAAGGCAAGCATGCGCTTGTTGCTGTTGGTCTCTATTCCAATTACCAGATGAAGGAAGACTCTTCCACCCCCCACCCTAACCGCTTGCGCGCTGGAACATTGGATATGCAGGCGGATACACGCATGGGTAGCAGTGTGCGTCTTTGGGCCATCGCTGCGCTCATCGTCCATATGAAGCTCGTACTGACCGCTGGAATCAGACGGTACCAGCTTGACGGACGCATCTTCCAGCTGAACGGATTGGTAGACCGCCTGCCGACAGGCTTCGTACCGAGTGTTCAACTCCGGCGCGTCGGCAAGGCGCGGGATTATCATCGCGCCCTTTTCAAGGCGCAGCTCGGGCTCTGCCACCCAGACACGGCCAGGCAGAGTGTAATGGTTAGGCTGGTCAGTATACACCAGACGCATCAGTGTGCGAGCGACAACGACAGCATCAAGGTCCGCGGGTTCGACGACATTGAGATACTGATACAGGCCATCCTTATGCTCGTAGGGGAGGCATTTCAGCCAACCCTTGCTCATACAAAACCAGGGGCAGTCCGATTCTGAGCCAGCGGTCACCCAAAGAAGCTTCCGAGCCATTCCGACCAGGTATTGAAGCCCTTTGAGACGGTCTTCGCTCAGGTCCTCGAAGCATGGCTTGTCGACGTCGGTTAGGACTAGGGCGCTAACAGCCGAGCCACGCAGGTCATTATCACCTAAAGTCTCAAGAGTTTGTACTTGCATAACGCGATAAAAGTAAGGACCTAAAAGTCCAGATATGTCATCGACAAGGCGCAATGTGTGGTTTTCAGCACCGCCAATAATCACCAGCGTGTCTGTGCCTTCAGTGTCCGGTACTGATAAGGGCGCACGCAGAAGTCGCATGCGATCATCGACCGCCTGTGAAAGTAGGATCGAATAGGTGCTCAATCGCGGATCGGCCAACTCAGACACAGAATCAAGACCACCAAAGCCAGTGTCCTGAAGAGCCTCATCCCATTCTGAGACGCTCAGCCGAGGTCCCCACATTCGACCGTCCTTCTCACCGACCCACCATCCCTCAAGACCACCAAAGCAGAAGGAAACGCCAAGAGTGTCGGTGTTGGTGGCCTCCATCAGAGCGAGGTAGCCACCAGGCTTGAGCAAGCGGCGAACGTTGGTCAAGGTCTGCCGAATTGACGGGGTGGCATGGAGGACATTGGATGCGATCACCAGATCGTAGTTCGCATCCTCGAAGCCCTGCTGGGTAGGATCCTGCGAGATGTCAAGGGACTGGTAGAGGAAGTGGTCTCCGTGTTCGGCGAACTGCTGCTGGGCGTCCTCGAAGAAACCGACGGAGATATCCGTGAAGGTGTACGAGTGATACGACCGGCCAATGCGAGCCAGCGTGGCGCTGGTGGCCGAGCCGGTTCCAGCTCCAATCTCCAGGATTTTCATACGTGGATAGCGGAAGACGACCTGGCTGGCCACGTCACCCAGGCAATCGTTGGCAGTCTTCGTCTCGACATCGTACTTGTAAAACAGGTCGAGTAGGTTGTCATTGCGTGTTTCCTCGAGGATCGTGGTCTCTCCGCGTAGGAACCGCAGCATATTGGAAGCCACCACCTGGCCCATGACTACTGCCGGTAGTTTCGGAGGCAGCGAGCTCATCAGCCTGTCGAGATCCTCCTGGGTGCTGTCCAGCCATTCTGGAGGACAGATTGGATGCTTTCCCCGCCGTGTCAACGACAGCACATGGTCAAACCAAGCGACTACACGTGCACGATGCCAGTCGAGGCCCTCGCGGTCGGCGGAAGTAAGCTGCTCGCTAATGAGTTTGATATGAATGAGCACTATGCGCTCGATGGTCAGAGTCTGAGTCACAGATTCTGCCGAAGACGTATACAATAGTCTTTTTGCGTCCGGGACGAGGGAACCCCAGACCACCTGGGAGAACGGCCGGCGACCCTGCCTTGTCTTCTCCAAGGGCGCGACTCGCACTCCCTCCATCTGAACAACGCCGTCACCGTTCTGTGTAAACAGCTGCACGTTTCCAGAACATCCTTTACGGCCAAGGCTGTTGATGACAGTGTCAACTAGGAGCTCCTCACTACCGACGGGGTCCCTGTGACGGCCGTAGAAAACTGGATTAAAGATGACACGATCGATTCCGGTCGGGATTAGCATATTATCCAGCTGTCCGTCCCTGATCGTGCTCAGGGCAGCGAGAAGCATCTGCAGACTGGCATCCAATACGGCGGGATGGAACTGCAACGATGAGGCCAGGGTCGTGAGTTTGCCGCTTGACGCATCCAATTGGCGGGAAAGAGAGGTAATACACTGAAACGGTCCTGAATAGCCGTAGCCGATGCGTTTCAAGGATTGATAGAAGCAGTTTATATCCACCGGTCTCATATCTTCACCAACAGGAGCTCGCGGTGGCAGCAGGCGAGCTTCTGGCTCTCCCCATCCCAGAGTCAGTTTCCCCGAGGCGCAAAGAGTAAACCTCCCACCGATCGTGGCATGGCAGCTGAAGGAACCAGTTTCTCTATTTCCACTCTGGGATTGGAAATCGCTGACTCGGAACAGGGTCTCCACCCCCATTGTATCATTTTCGTCCGAGAAAGTAATGGCCTGGGTTATGCTGAACTCATCAACCTGCACGAGGCACACGACCCGACTGCCAGCAACGATGGCAGCCGCCTCCAACGCCATGACTAGATACCCTGTTGCCGGAAACACTGTACGGGACTGAATCTGGTGCCCATCAAGCCAGTCAATTTCCTCCCGGCGCAGATACTGTCGCCAGCGGCACTCGCCATCCGTTGTGTTAGTCTCAAAGACTCCTAGTAACGGATGGGATTGGTGCCGAGCATACAAGCGGTCCCGCAACGCCCGTGTCTCAAACCAGTATGGTTGATTGTGTCCAAAAGGGTATGTGGGAAGGCCTTGGACGATCCTCGGTGGCTTGCGCGATCTGTCGAACAGTGCGACGTAGCTGGCTATATCTATTGAACTCGGCCCCAAATGAATCCAGAATTGGCCGATGGCTTTCGCCAATGATTCGATACCATCCTGGCTACGGTTCAGTAGTCCGACGTAGGGAATCTTTGAAGGGAAGAGATCCGTGATCGTCTGTTGTACCGGGCCTTTGAGAGCCGGATGAGGCCCGATCTCGACGATCAGATCAGGAGGCACATCGTCACCGCTGGAGCGTAACGCTGCCTGCAAGGCTGGAGAAAACAAGACAGGGTTGACCATGTTGTCCTTCCAGTAGTCCCTGGTCATACAGTAGCCATGTTGCTCCAGCGTGATCTCCTGTGCTTCATAGACGCTAGAGAACCACCGTGACGCCAGGTGGGAGCGAATCTGAATCTCTGCTGCGTCCAAGGCTCGCAGATAAGCTGCTGCACAAGAAGCCATGTGATGGGAATGGTATGCTGTGTGAACGCGGAGAAGCCGCCCGAACTTCTTCTCTTTGAGGAGAATCTGTTCAACCTGGGATATGGCATCACGGTCACCGGAGAGCGTGACACTGGACGGAGAGTTTACTGCCGCCAAGCTGATTTTGCCATCAAGTCCTGGCTGCTGGCAGAGAACGGTAACCTCCTCCTGAGTGATTCCAGCCGCCAGCATTGCCCCCTCTTCAGCCAGCCCCGCGACGTGACCTCGCAGGTACGCGATTCGGATGGCATCAGCCGATGACAAGAACCCGATAGTGTATGCCGCTGCAATTTCACCGGAGGAATGGCCAACGACTACAGCTGGGGAAACTCCCAAAACAGAAAGAACATTAACAAGAATGATCTGGAGTGCTGTGCATAATGGTTGTGAGATTGCGGCCTCATGCAGCTTGGAGTGAGCCTGAGCTGCAGCCAGCTCTTCTTGGAGGGAGAAGCTCGGCCGGAGCTCGACAGGCAGGTCGGCAAGCGATGTTTCCATTTCGTCTAACCAGATCCTGGCCTCAGGGCAGTGAGCGATAAGGTCCAACCCCATCTGCGGCCACTGTGCGCCCTGGCCTGTGAAAATCCCCAAGATGCGTTTCTTCTCATCTGTATGTGGCTGGGAGCTTACGATGGACGACGGCCTTTTGGTCTTGATGAGGTCAAGCTCTTCGCGGATTCTTGTGATTAAGAGATCTATTGTAGGTGCCCAGAGGGAGATACGATGCATCAAGAAGGAACGTCGCTGTAGTAAGGACCATGCCAAGTCGACCAGGTCGACCATAGGATTGTTTTCGAGATATTGAATGTATTGTTCCAGCATGGTAGCAAGCGCTTGCACAGAAGACGCGGAGAAGAAAAATGGCAGCACAACAGGGATTGGGGCTCTAGGCGATAGTTGAGCGGGCTTGCCTGTTGCATTTATGCTGTCCTCATAGCTCTCAAGAATCGCATGTGCATTAGTGCCCCCAAAACCAAACGAGTTGACAGACACGCGGCGTGGAACCCCGGGCTTCAGAGCTGGCCATGGCATAGCCTGAACTGGGACCTTGAGGCTGGCAGAAAATGGTTCAAGCTGTGGGTTGAGTTGGTCGAACAGAAGGTTAGGTGGGATCACTCCATGCTGAATGCACAATGAAGCCTTGATAATGCCTGCTAGGCCGGCTGTGCCTTCAGTATGTCCAATCACTGTTTTTATTGATCCCACAAACAGTTTCTCAGTCTCCCCATGGTGCTTCTGTGATTGCAAGTTTCCGAAGAAAGCATGATAGATGGCTGAAGCCTCTTGGGGATCCCCGGCCGGAGTCCCGGTTCCATGGGCCTCGAAATACTGGCATCGATCCTCGGCTCGGTGCTCTGGGTCCAGGTCGACCATCTGGTAGGCGGACTGGATCAGATCCAGTTGTGCTTTACCGGACGGCATCGTGAGGCCCGTTGTTCGGCCGTCTTGGTTGACGCGTGTGGCTCGGATCACACATTCAATCGGGTCATTGTCGGCGACTGCATCGCTCAGGCGTTTCAAAACGATAGACGCAATGCCTTCCCCACGGGCATAGCCATCAGCCTTTGCATCCCACATGCGCCCGCGTCCAGTGGGAGACAGCATCTGAAGCTTCGACGCCGAGACAAAAACATTGGGGTGCAGCAGAAGGTTTGTTCCCGCCACTACTGCTGTGGAACATTCTCCCTGCCGTAGAGCCGTCACGGCCTGGTGCAAGGCGACCAGACTCGAGGAGCAAGCCGTATCTACCACAAGGGATGGGCCATGCCAATCGAAGAAGTACGAGAGCCGGTTCGCGATGTTGGTCCGCGCCAGCCCGGTAATGGTATAGCGAGGGCATGCTTGATCGTCGATTTCCACGCGAGTCGCCCAGTCTGCCATCATCACGCCGCAGAATACACCCGTGGAGGAGCCCCGAAGAGCGTCGAGCCGCTGCCCGGCCCGTTCCAGGGACTCGTAGACGGTCTCTAGCAACAGCCGTTGCTGAGGGTCTATGGCTTCGGCCTCGCTGGCGGAGATATTGAAGAAAGAGGCATCGAACATGCGAATGTCCTCGGACAGGAAGTAGGACTCCTTGGTGTCGGTGGTCCCATGATGATTGCCATCCGGATGGTAGTATGATCTTCCATTGAATCGAGTGGAAGGTGGCTCAGATGCTACCGTTTTCGGGTTGCAAAGTAGATTCCATAAGCTGGATGGCGAGGAAGATGATCCCGGAAATTTGCATCCGGTTCCAACAAGGGCGATAGGCTCAAGGGTCATTTTCAATCGAATCGTGGAGGAAGATTGAGGAGATTTATAACCAGTATTGTCCTTCCTGGGACATCGATTTTACTCTGCAAGGCCATAAGCGCGGGGATACTCAGTAGCGCCGTGACAACAGTACGCCTGATATGCAACTAACGTTATCTCCAATAACTATCTCCATTAGGGTTGGCCGTGTCTACGCAAGAGACTAATGCTTGGCAAGAATGTCCCGTCTTCCCGAAGTTACTGCATGTTCAAGGACAATTGTATATATGGCCCACGCGAACTCATTTCCAAGACGGAATCCGGAGGAGCCAAGTCGATGTGGGTGTGGACAATTTTTCAAGACTCATGACACCAAACGAAGATTACGCAGTACTCAGACGTTATATTCTATTGAGTCGAGAACCTAGTTCCTACCTCCGGCTCTCAGGTGCACGTCGAGCTCTATACGAGGGCGAAGCAACGCCATCCATTTTAAGCGTGTGGAGGGTAAAGGACAGGGCCTGGGAATATATACAGCGCTGATACTTTGTGCTTTACCCTGCTAAGCAAGTGGACTGGCGAGAATTGCCTCGAGTTGTCCTACCTATAGCAGTTCTTGGCCTAATTGACCTTGTCACAGGAGACACTCACTAATGGTCCTTTAGAGCAGCCGAGACCCTATGCACGAAAGTAATTCGAGTTTAGGTTCGATCGACTTGCCAGAGAGGTCGTATTGATGCATGCAAGTATCTATTTGCATTAGATCATCTCTGCAAGGCACCTGGTGCCACATTCCATCACATTTAATGTGCTGTGCTTTGAGATCAGAAACTAATGCTTCTGCTGGACAACCTCAAATAATAGGCAGCCATATTTAGAAGGTCGCTCACCTTCAGCTATTAGTAAATGTTAAGAGCCGCACGTTCTGCTCCGAAGGACGGATGCCTATGAGCGTAGAAGTCTCTGTCAATATAATCCATACTATACTGGAGCGTGTCTCAGCAATAATTATGGCAATGGAAAATGAACAGATTGGAGATCAACCTTGAATGTCCCACCGACGGAAGAAGCGCATGCTGACGGATCCGGGATTGGTACGCATGTTGTCCTGGAGAATGCGTACAAGAATGAGGTGAAACGGTGTATCAACATGTCCTCAGCCGAAGTCTACAGACGGCTATGAAACCCCCATGGTGCCAGCAATGCAGCGTTCAAAGTGTTGGTCAAGCAGTATGAAACAAGGGGAAACAAGGGGCAATGATTACCAACACTGTTCGCTCGAGGAATGTGTACAGATCAAGGCAGTTTCTGATAGTGGGCCACTCCTTCCATTCCTTCCTATATCGAGGGGTTGTGTCCTGTAGAAACCGGACCACGTACTACAATGAGGGACGATTCCCACGTGCATTGCCCTTCTATGAACATAAGGTGATGATTTACAGCACCAGGGCGGACGTTAAGCGTTGATGGTATATCTCCGATTGCCGCAGTGCCTTCAACACTGTCTTCTAGTGTGGTCAGCCGAATGCCACTTACATTCTAGACTCGGACCACGCATCGACAAACTACATCTTTGTACCGGGATCATTGATACCGTGGTGTCGAGCCGAAATAGCGCAAAGACTGGCAGCGCAGAGAGACGGATCCGTGAATGCGGGGATTGCTCCTTCCATCCGACATCCCAAGTGGAGTGCGCCAAGCAGGAGAACCACCAACAGTCGAATTAATCGAGTCACTGGCCTTTATTCTATGAACCAGCCTTTGGAATAAATTGTCCACACTCCAGAACCTCAGATAGACGCAGCTTGTCAGCCTCGAAGAAGGCTTTGAGAGGACTGTGGATTGGTACAAAGTCACTGCAATGACCTGGTAGGGTGATCTGCAGAACACTAAGATTTAAATTAAGTAGCAAGTTAGAATGCGTTTGCGTAGTCTGAAAGGGGAAATAAAATTGAATAAGAAAATACACATAACACTCTGATCATAGGGTGGTTACGTCCTGGCTAATACACATAAGCAGTAGTTTGATCCTTTTGGCTAGGATCGTCCTAAGCCGAGGATGTCAGCAAGTGCCCTGTCTGACAATAGAACCCTAAGCTGGAGAGCAGGCCAGAGACTTGGCCGTCCATAGATGGGCGATGGTTCTGTCTCAGTGGGTCAGCCCTTCAAGAAAGGGAGACCAGTTCTTGAGTCATCATGTGGGGAAAGATGCTCATGGCAGCATTTATTGACTCATAACAGCACCCAAATCCCGTATCCCGCTTGTCTCACTCGACTCCTCTCTTCTGAGCAGCAAATATGTCGACGACAACAGTTGAGGTTGCTTTGCAAGAACAACAAGACTTGCAGAGCGCAGGCGAAACATTTTGTCCGAGTGCTGACGATGCAATCGTTCAAGCAAAGCAAAAATGGAATGACCCTCCCATCAACAAATGGCGCCTTCTAGCTACATTCGCCAGTTTCGCCGTTGTAGGAGCGAGCGATGGCGTCTACGGAGTGAGATCTCCCTGCACAGAGAAAAAAAAAAAAAAAAAAATAAAAAATACAGACTGATGATTTTTTCTCTTAGGTGCTCGTCCCATATGTATGCCGTGAATCAAGTCCATTCCATGCCTCCTACAAGCTGACCCTGAGTAGCTTCGCGAAGACTATAAGCTGTCTACCACCGTGGTCTCGTTGATTTTCGTGACCCCGTTTGCTGGATACACGATTGCCACTCTCGTTGTCAACAAAATTCATATGACATTTGGACAGCGAGGGATTGCGATCGTCGGTCCCCTATGCCATATCATTCCCTTCGTGATCATGGCCACCCGACCGCCCTGGCCGGCAATGTTGGCCGTCTATGTGATTGTTGGCTTGGGAAATGGCCTCATCGACGCTGCATGGAATTCCTGGATTGCTGATATGGCCAATGCAAACACGACGATGGGGCTCCTCGGGGCGTTTTATGGCCTCGGGTACGTGGATCATGTACGATGACCGTTACGGCAATACTGATGGTCGACGCAGGGCGACCCTGAGCCCAACAATCGCGACGCAAATGATCAAATCCGGCCTACGCTGGAACTATTTCTTCTACACTCTGCTTGGTGGCTCTGTGCTAGAACTACTGGCCAGCGTTGCTACGTTCTGGAAAGAAAATGGGGCCAGCTTCAGAGCCAAAACCCGCAGGAGTACCGATAGCAGTGGTGGGAGCAGAACTACAGAAGCGATGAAAAGACCCATTACCTGGCTGATAGCGGTGTGGCTGTTTGTGTACATGGGTGTTGAAGGTAGGTTGTCTTATTTTTTTCTCGGAGGGAATGCCCTGATCACTAAATCTGATAAGTGTCCATCGGCGGCTGGGTCGTCGATTTCATGGTCCAGGTCCGCAACGGAGAGCCATTCGAATCTGGTCTGATTCCAACCGGCTTCTGGGCTGGTGTCACTATCGGGCGTCTGGTACTCGGCTTCGTGAACGACTGGTTGGGCATGTACCCCCTCCTCGCAGCCCTGGCGCTTGAATGCTGACTGAGGATAAAGGAGAGCGGATTGCTATCACTATCTACCTTGCTATTTCGATCGCCCTGGAGCTTGTATTTTGGCTGGTCCCAAGGTTTGTCGTCTCTGCAGTTGCTGTCTCGCTGCTTGGCTTCTTTACTGGCCCTCTCTTTCCCGCAGCAATCGTAGTGGCGGCCAAGCTGCTCCCGAAGCATCTACATACTCCGGGAATTGGGCTCGCGTCGGCATTAGCCGGCGGTGGTGGTGCAATGTAAGTCTACCTCCTCGTCCGACAATGCTTATGAACTGCTGTTTGAGCGACTGGCTAACATGTCAATCCCCATTGGGCGTAGACTGCCCTTTCTTGCTGGTGCTATATCTGGGGCACGCGGAGTGCAAAGTCTGCAACCTTTCATTCTCGCATTGTTGGTCCTCTTGATCATTATCTGGGCGTTACTTCCTCGGAATAAGCATCGTTCTCACAGCACTTGACGCAGCTATACGAACGACCGATGGATATGATCATATAATAAGCATGGAGTATGCCACGGCATTGAAACGTAAAATTTGTCAGATATAGTATAGCACAAACAAGAGCGGAAGTTCAACTTAATAATCACATCCATCCAATATGACTAGACTGTAGATTTTGCATAGCCCCGATGAGACACCAATGAAAAGAATGCTCACTTGGACACATCACAAATCATCACCATATCATCTTCCCCAATCCACTCCCTCAAGGTCTCCTCGCTTGCATCCCGCACCATAACATGGAAATGCTCCAGCGCCGACACGCTCTGCAACGCCGCCCAATTCTTGAACCACAACACGCGGTCCTCAGGCGCATCCACATGGGCCTCTCTGGCCAACCGCTGCACAAAAGTAGCCGACACAAACGTCTCGATACGGGCGCGCGATTCGGCGGTCAGATTTCCGTCTTCCTGCACTGGAAACGATGTCTTCAGCCAGACGACCAGGTGCCGGATGCCCGGTGCTACCCCGTACGGCCAGTCGTTGAAGCGGATGCAATAGTCGGAGGGGCTTGCAAAGGGGATCGGATTCTTGAACGCGACTTTGGAGTCATGGTGGTCCCAGCCGAGACGCTCCTGACAGATATAGTTGAGGATGCCGCCGTACTGCTCTTTTATGCCCTTGGACCAGTTGATGTAGCGTCTGAGATGCGAGGGGAGCCGTTTGAAGAGTTCGAGTCTATTTTCGTCTGGTCTGTGCTTTAGTTTTAGTGTAGTGTCTCGTAAAGCGGGCAATACATACTGATTATCCATTTGAGCTCGTCCCAGGAGTGTGGCTCGTATTCCTCGTCAGTCTGGCGAAGGAGCATGCGGTCTAACTCTGTGAGATTCCAGTCGGGGATCTCTTGATCCTTTTCGGTGTCAGGAATTTCTGTCGCAGAGCCCATGATTGCGGTAGAAAACTGGTTGATATATGCAGAAGGAGGGATGGATCATTCAAATTTATAAGGCAGACGGGCCGGTCTCGTAATACCCTTGTCCGAATTACTAAACTAATTCAAAGGTGTCACAGCGTTGTGCTTCACAATTCTCCTTGGCATGCAGCAACCTGGTAGGGATGTTCCAATCAGCGGCAACTGGTAGTAGTAGGCAATGGTGAGTGATATGAGCATATTTTGGGCCATTCAGCGCTTCGAGATCCCTCCATACAAGTTACTGTACAAGCCTCTCAAGATTTCTCACACATCGCAACTCTTAAGCGACTTGCTTCTGACACGCCCTTTGCTGAGACATCCTTGCTGGCTTTGACGCCAAGCCCTCGAACAGAGGACCACTATAAAGTCATAAAGAGTTATACATAGGTAAAAGCGTAGTCAGAGAGCTCATTGCATCCCTTTAATTTTGCACTGGTCCCCAATAGCTATCATTTCTGGGTCAATGCACCACCATTCACAAACACCGCGTCGTCAACCCGGTTCGATAAAAATGATATTGGAATTTTCAGAAAGCCCCCAGTACTTGAACACACGGCTACATTGTATCTACCTCTCAGTTGACCTCCCTCCGACGGACTCGGACTGTAGCACTCGGCGGAACAAGTATGTGATGCCCAAAAGTTACATTCTCAGGCCTTTTGTCAAGGGGCTCGATATCATAGTTCAAAACAGTATAGGCGACAATCATCTTGAGTAGATGAAGAGCAAAATGCCGACCAGGACTGAGGAGCACGATAGGTCAGTGAGAAATCATACAATCATTTCCCGGAGGGAGAAAAAAGCTCACCATGCATGACGTCCTGCGCCAAAGGGCAGATATGTCGGGGTGACTGCTACCTTAGTGACCATCTGCTCAGCTGTACTAGTGTCTTTTTTGTTACTTTCCCTGCTTGGGCTCATACAATCCTCAATAGTCTGCTCTTCAACGAATCGGAATGGCTCGTATGACTGCCCTTTGGGATAGAATCTCTCGTCCGTATGAATATCCAACGTGGATGCGGCAACCCATATACCCTGCGGCAGATGTTGGCCCGCGGGTAGTGTGATGCCTGATGGGGGGATTACTTCCCGGCTGGATGCATGTAGACTTACTGGAGTCAGGCGCAATGATTCCCGGATGGCACTATCTATGTAATGGAGCCTCTTGAAGGAGATTGGGTCTGTCCATTCTTTCTCTGAACCAAGGACCTTTGCAGCTTCTTGCTGAAGCTGCTGATACAACTCTTTTTCTGGTGGGAAACTTGCAATATCCAAGATTGCAGCGGAAGAGGTAGAAATAGTGCTCATAAACGGGATAATTGTCTGCTCATTAATTAGCTGAGACTTGAACCGACTAAAGAAAGGATGGACCTTACAAAGAGATTGATAGCCATCAAGAGCTTCTCCTTGTCGAGTCCATTAGAACCATAAATCCTGCGGGATTCTCGAATGAACGAGGTTGCAACGTTGTAGGGTACTCTGGAGTTTTCATCAGAGACTTGCTCCTGTTCCTCCAGCTCAACCTGGGCTAACCACTCCTTGAGAAGTGGTTCAGTGGCAATCCACACTCTCCTTTGAGCAAAGTATAAAAGGACTCTGAAAAAGGCACCAAGCAGTGGCTGTAAGAACCAAGGGGTCAATTGACCACACACTATCATGGCACCCGCTTGGAGGCTTATAAATCCAGAAAGAGAACGCATGAAGGTCGCATCGCGACCTAGCGGCAAGCCCCATGAGAGTCGGCTAGACATGCCTAATGCAACTTTTTGTATCGCTTCAACCAGGTGGACTGGTTGCCAATTATTGTAATCCTTGCCAAATTCATGGTCAATGTTCCGTCGGAGCTCGTCAGCAAGCTCGCGCTGGATACAGTCTAGTTTCTGAGTAAGAAACTGGCTGGCAACTATACTGCTAACCTTGGCCACCTGTGGACATAGACCATTGGGAAAGATACTGGGGAAGAGACTCTTCAACTGCAGAGTGTGGGTCACGACTTCCCGTTGCGATAGAAAGCTGTCAGGTTGCCGCAACATCCATTCAAAATCCTTCACTGACAAGATAACTTGAGGGCGTAGGTTGCCATTGGCATAACTAAAGAGGCGACCATGTCGATTAAACTATTCCCATTAGCATAACTAGATAAAGGTCCCGTGGGCTCGGGTCACTGCGTTCGCAAAGAAATATTTTTACCTTGTCATATCCTTCTGAGAGCAACGGTCGAGCCGAAACCCAGCCTCGTAACCAGGTCCTAAGTCCACTGAAAATCCCCTTTCTTCTTCTAACGCGAGGAATCTCTCTGGGAACTGAAGGGGGGATCTTCAAGGGCCCTAAAATGAGAGCGGCAGAGATGAGGAACACGGCGCCGAGAACGAGTGCGATAAGTAGGTCTGGATAGGTAGAGAACATGAGCTTTCTCGTCATCCTGTAGGATTGTGGGTGTTCTAGTACTGGGTATAGAAAGGAAAGTCTTAGGATCGGGATGCCTTCAGCTCTGGCAGCCGAATCTGGAGAATATAAGGCGAACATTTATGGGGAAGAATTATGCAGAGGGCCATGGAAACATCACAGCCAAGGCTAACGCGTAAGAACAGGTTGTAACCGGACATGAGTCTATGAATCTCAGAAGTAACCTTAAAAAGCGGTCCATTGCCAGCGTATCCACGGACCGAAGACCAGCTGGGTTGCATTCCAGATCTCCCCACTAGCATGCTAACGGGGGATGTATCCTTTGGAGGCGCGTCCCCTTGTATGCTTAGCTAAGATTACTAGAGGAACGCTGCCCAGGTGAGAGGTACGGGCTTGCAGCTCGGCGGGTGTTGGAAAAAACTCACTGGGTGTCGGTGAAAACTTGGTCAGCGGGTGTGGAAGCATAAATCAATTTCAAAGAGCATGACACCTGTTTAGGATACACTATTTATCACCGTTGTTCCATTTCTTGGAGTAGAATCTCCGCGCTGAATATGCAAGGCCAATCCAACACACTCAGTCAGACTTTATGGTTTTCTTTTTCGTCCTCTCCGTGCTTCCCAGGGCCATCTTGCGGAAGGACAATTCTAGACGTTGAAGACTCCACACAAGATTACCTGATGGTCCGGTTCCCAGAGGGGCTTCCTTAACGCTCACCCACTGTCCAGCTTTTTTCCGTTCATCTCTGTCTTGTCTAAGGATCCAGCCTTCCTCCGCCGCTGGTCATTCACTTCCTTCTCAGACTGTTGGATATGCCAGAGAAGGATTCCATAGGAACCGTCCAACACAAAGAAGGCCGCCGTACCCCACCACGCCAAGGGACTGTGCCATATAACATGCCCATGCCGATACCTCAAAGCAAAATACAGTACGCTAAAAATAGTCCCCACAAAGCGGGCGAGCCTAACAACCAGTAAAGCGATTAGTTAAGGCATAGGTGAGATCATTTGGAGTTCGCTGACCTACCAAATAAAAAGGGATGTCCCGCGGCTGCTGTCTCGGACAATCAGTTGGCAGAGGCAACCGGCGCTGAGGAACAACTGGCAGAACCAACCACTCCATGCCATTCCGTCATCCGGTCCAAATTGGTCGACCAACGCCATATGTGCAGTCATCCAACCGACAATACTGACGGCGAATATCCAGGAAATATTCCGCTGAATTAGCGGGGCATGCTTCCATTCATTGGGCGCGAACCTCATAGCCGTGAAGACGACCACGACACTGAGGGCCAGCCAGCTCGCGAAGAGGTACTGAAGAATTGGGTCCTCCATCGGGGGGTAAATCACGGAGTATATGAACTCAAAGGCGATATCGCAACAAAGTGGCATCAATGGCATGCAGTAGGTACGGTCCTGGAACGACTTGCGGATCATTCCAGTGTAACTAGCGAGCCAGCATACACACATGCCCACGCTCGTTACAGTGAGTGCAGAGGGGTTCTTGCGATACCCCTGAGACGCCTGCAGCTCCTCGACCTGGGACATTCTTAGCAAAGATAGTGTCAGAGGAACTGTCACTGTAGGCTTCTTTGATGGATCGATTCATGTGTTTTGGGTAGTTAAAATCTTTCGAGTGGACTGTCCATGAGGGGGTACAGTTATTTAACAGAACTTGGTTGGCATTTTGGGCGCTGAATAATGAATTGACATCATGGCTGGAAGGGACCTAGGGTCTAGATATGATGACTGGCTTATTGCTTGAGAGGATTCTAGGAAAACATGGGGTCATCTATTCTGGACTGAACTGTGGTGTTACAGATGGCTGGCCACAGCATCGCCGCTTTTTCTTTCGTAGGGCTGAATTAACGCAGCATCCGGCGGGGAACGACCCGCACGGCTTAGACAGACCTACCCATAATCAACATGGCGGATACGTATACCACTGCAAAGGCGTGGATACAACGGTAGGATGCTCTTCAGTGTTACACTATCTGTTATCTCATTGCGACGTGTCCATGACGGTCCATAGTGTTTGCCATTATATTTGTACATTCAGACGTTTTGCACCCACCAATAGCCGTCCATTTCATTTGGTTCATCCTGTGGAATGCGCCAGCCTCTGCGGAATCTGCGACTCCGGACGATCCCTTGGTTCCGATAAATTCTGCAGATTTGCTTTCTGTTCGTCAGGTAACACCTGTGGCACGTTGATGGAACCCGCTTTACCATTACAAAAGAATCGCTAGTATCTCTCATACAAATACCCAGCATCAGGGCTTGAGTTAGTGAAACTGCTGCGATAGACAGATAAAACTAATAGAGTTCTGCCTTGCTAGATATCTATTTGTTCTTGAAAAACTGATATTTCAATCCCTTCGGCCCTAAATTCCTTGTTCAACCATCTGTTGGAGCCACCTGCTCGCATAATTGAGCACCGAGACGGCGGAAAGCTCAGGTCGCATTGCACCTCGACTTCACCTTTTCGGGGAGCAGCTGCCTACAAACTTCCCAATGCACTCGATTATCGTCAACACGAGCTTATTGCATCCTCTTTCAGTGCAGTTGATTGTTTTGGCACTTCCCTTCAGTGTCTGTGTCATCCGCTACACCCTTTGCAGTGTCCTGATTACCTGTGCCCGAAGAGGTTCCCTATCCCGGTACTTTGGTCTTGCTACACTGGTATTTCTGTCTGTTGTGCAAGCCGCTAGCGCAGTATTACTTCCGTTATATCGCCCACTAAGGACGTATTTGGGTGTGGAACCCTTCCTACACACCTTACAAGCATTCAACCTCGTGATCCTCCTCGAGCTTGATGGAGCAGACCTTGAAAGGGAGGGTCTCTTCCACCCTCATGCGAGGCTGAGCAAGAGAATTTGGAGCGGAATGTATCTACACTGCAATTATCGAGGCATTCGGACGAAGTGGCAGGTGAAGAACACACCTGATTTCCCGCCCTGTGTGAAACACGCCAAGTGGCTAAGCCCAAATCAATTCTGCATGAGGCAGAGCATTATTGCAGCATGGCAACTCTTTTCTATAGCCCTTGCAGTCCGGTTTGTGCAGAGCATTGTACCCAAATCGACGACTTGTGGTGAAGTCCTGCCCTTAACTAGAGGCTTGTTGCCTCTTATATGGATTGTCATCAGTCGCTCAATTATTGACATCGCTTTCCGGCTGAACAGCGTTGCCTCCGTCACCATAGGCCTAACTACACCAGTCGATTGGCCGCCGCTCTTCAATAGCACACTGGATGCTTGGACCCTGCGCCGGTTCTGGGGGCTATATTGGCATCAGTGGCTGCGATGGCCTTTTACCGCCATGGCGACATTCTTGGTGAGGAAGATCTTGAGAATTTCAAGACCAGGGCCGGTGTACAGATACATCCATGTTCTATGTGTGTTCAGTCTCTCAGGTATCTTCCATCTCATCAATGATGTCTTCCAGGGAGTTCGATGGCGTGAATCAGGCGCTCTGCTATTTTTCTGCAGTTTCACCATGGGATTTATGATTGAGGACGGTATCCAGGAGCTGTGGCGTCACATCACAGGAAAACATGCAAAAACACAGTCAAACAGGAGTGATAATGAAGGGCAGTCAAAAGACACTGCCCCAACCGTCCCTCCTCTGTGGAAGAGATTGGTTGGATTTTTGTGGGTATGGGTCTGGATGAGCATTATGACGCCGGTGTACATGCGGCCATTCTTGCAGGCGGTATGCCGCCATGGTACTGGATCCGATTTCCTTCGCATGATTCGATATCTAAATCCTGGGATTGGGCTAGTGTGTCTGGTGACAGGAACACTGTTTCTTTGGCGTCACATTGGTATAAGCATCTGACAAGAACACCTGTTCTGCTCGCTGAGTTTGCAGATGAGAACTAACAAGCACCGATCTTCCTCTGATTCACAACCGGTTATGAGCCCGGGAGCAACCTCTTGTATCCAGTAACCCAGAGTCCTTAAGAACGTATATTCAAAGCCTCTACAATTGCTATCCACCATTTCTTGGTGAAACCCCACTGCAATGGATCTCCCATTTAGCTCGTCAATCTCATCGTTTCCGATAGAGTCACAGTAATTGAGCCACTTTCTAGAAATGCATCATACCTCGTCTTGTTCGGAGCGGGATCATAATGAAAATTTGCCCACCTGTCCATCTAGCGGATCTGATTTCCACACAACCGACCCGGCTCACCTAAACACCTCGTCCGTTGAGAACACCCGGAGATCGTTGGTATCATCCGGAATGAAGATGTGTCCGTAGAGAGTAACCAGTGAAGACAGTGTGAAATATGCAAGGGTTTGGAGAACTGAAGATTGCCCTGAGGAACTTAAAAAAATAAGGCTCCTATGAGAGCTGCTGGTTATAAGCAGGTTGAGGAAGTGCAGTGGGCAAAGAACCTGTGAAATCAGCCAGATTCCAATGCAGCTAGGAACTGGCAACACTTCTGATTAAATAGGCATGATACACACATTACTGGCGGTGATATTGAGTGTTATGACTAGGCGATCTCAAAGTCGCTTCAGACCGGTCGTGTAGGCCTTTTTGGTCCCTTCCCTTAGGTGTCTTTTTGGTATTAGGTCCATTCACCAGCATGAACAGGAAATCTCAACCTTCTCCATGTTCTGGCGGAGCGACGATTGTCCCCGTCACCATGATTCTATGTTGGTTTTCTTTGACCAGTGTCGAAAATTAACTTGTTTTTAGGCACTATTAGAATGGGGGGCTCCTATGGAATTACCTATGGAATTACCAGTCTAAATAAACTGGGAGTAAGAGATGGAGCCGTATATCAGGCTTTGTGACGAGATTCTTTGCCACCGTTAGTATTACTGCATTGTTTAAACTGAATCATTCCGCGATGGTGAGTTAACTCGTGAACAGGACTACAGTATTTCCTTATAAGCGAACTTGCATCCCAATGGTGTATATGATAAGGTTAGCTGTAAAAGTGGTACTATTTAGAACATGTAGCTGCTTGTCACTGTTACTCAGACAGACTGTGAGGTTAAGTTTGTAGTCCTAAGTGACCTTACAGAACACCATTCAGCTAGACGGCACAAGGACAATTATCATGTATATAGCCTCTTAGTAGTTACTTCTGCAATATGAACTTGCGAACACACTATGCTGATATTTCATTCAGTGATTCCTCTACAGGCACCCAATACGGCGAGATTGACTAAGCCACCCAGTTCAAAGGCCCAGAATTTTGTCCAAAGAGTGCGACATGATTTGCATGGGGGACTGGAAAATTCATGCAGAAACAGTAGTTATAGTTACAGAAGTTAAGCTTATGTCACATTCAATAATGTTCAAATCTACCCACCAATCATTTCACTTTTCGTGAGTGTCAAAATCTGGATGTTCCGGGAAGGTTACATATAATCTAAACGTGGCTTGCCGACAATGTAACTCAACACTCCGATCCTGGATTAGACCAGGTTTACGAGGTAATAGTTGCAAAACTTTACTTATCCGTGTTTGATCAGCATTTTAGGTTTTGGTCTGTCGCTCTTCTTGTCAAGTCTTGCTTAAGCAACACCAGTCTACGAGCTAACCCTAGTTAACCTTCGGATGCATGAAGGTCTGCCATGGACAGGCATCTTTGATGTGTCATCGAATTTTCTCCATGAGGGAGCCGCCGAGAGCCGACATATAGTAGATGTAATATCCAAGAAATTTCAGGTTGACTGACGCCAGTGATATTAGTAACAAAAATGCAAACGCAGCTCCAGCCCATCTTGGAAAGACCGTTTCCTCCCTCCTGAGTGGTGCCCAGCCGGGACCTGAGCGAGTGGGTAAGGGGATGAAGTTTAAGACTGTAGCTCCCTCCAGGATCCTCAGCACTCTCTTCGCGGGTGTGTCTCCAGCGTACGGAACCAAATAACGCAACACTACCCTGTATACCAGATTTGCTCGAGTCTGCAAGCGCACGGCGATCCTCGACACGTTGTAGATTTTGGATATGCGTTTGACTTGGATGTTGCTGAACTCGGAGAGGATGTCCTCAACCTCCTTATCACAAAGCCTGTTTCCTGGATGCTTAGCCCTCAGAGCATCATGTATCTTGTTAGCTAGAGCAGCCGCGTCTTCAATAGCACAGTTGGCCCCTTGTCCAAGGTTCAGTGTCATCTGAAGTAGCAGATTGTCAGACCAAAGGTAGTCGTCACACTTCCGTGAAGCAACATACCTTGTGCATACTATCGCCAATACAGACAATGCGGCCGCAACTCCAGTTTCGAAACACATTTTCTTCTAGTGCCGTCATGGCGAAGGTCTCACGATTCTGCCATACCTGCTTGAATTTGATGTCTTTCCATATGTATTTGTCCGTCAATCGCTGGCCCCAGGCTGCCGCATCTTCGACAGAGAACCGCGGCGCGCTACCGTATCGATATCTTTTATCCAGTTTGACGATGATGAACCAGGACAATCGTCCATTGACTCCCGGGATGAGGATGAATGCGGTCCCATTGTCCACTCTTGCATGCAGGTGCTGCTCGTTCAATCCTGGAACCGTAGTGGAGGCGCCGAAGACGCAGCCATACTCGATACTCATTCCTATCAGCCGTGATCATAGTCAGCCTCAGTTTTGCCTATTCCAATAATATACGGAGTTCAGGAATCTTCACCGTTTATCTCGCTTTCACAGATCAGACCCGGCTGTCGCACTTGGGCTGCGCGCCACATCTGAGTTCGAACACGGCTGTGGACCCCGTCGGCACCAACGACCAGGTCGCCCTCGTAGGTGCTTCCATCTGCGGTGTACACCAGCACACGGCTATCTTGTTGGTCGACCCGTATGACATTTTTGCCCACGTAGATGTTCGATCTCTTGGGAAACGCTTGATACAGAATCTGGAGTAATTGTTGACGGTCTAAACACGCCATTGGGAACCCAAAGCTGGTCGAGAGCAAGACTCCTGATCAGACAGGACAACACCAGGCAAGGCGAAGTTGACAACATACAGCTCATTTATGGTCTTGGGATACGGGTCGCTGAACTGGAATCCGTCCGGGAAACGCAGATTCAAGAAGTGTTTTGGCTTGATCAGCTTCTCAACAGCGTCGTAGAGCCCCAGTTGGTCCAGGATTCGCCCCCCATTTGGCAGGATTGCAATCGAGGCTCCTTCTTGGGGAGCAATTTCAGGCCGCTTTTCAAGGACAATACAGGGGATGTCTGCCTTGTGCAGACAGTGCGCCAGAGTCAGGCCGGCAACGGATCCCCCAACAATGATTATCTTGAAAGGGGAGTCCATTCTGCTGGAGCATGATAGAAGCAAAGCTATTCCGTACGAATAATCTCTTGGAAAGCTTTCGAATAATAAACTATCAATAGGACTTTCGAGGTAGAATCCGAACTTACTTTGCTACCGTACAAAGTGGACCCTACACCGGTCAATTTGCATCCGGAATAATGACGTTCATGTCAAAACTGGGCCATTCTGAGCCTAGAGCCCTAGACTCGGGATCTACAGGGCTGGGATTGACACGGCAGATTTCCATGGGTTCAAAAGATGTTTTTTGACGCTACATGGGCGCTGCATATGCCAATCTATGGCCATGGCCTGCTCTCGATCGAGTGCCATGGCTATACACTTATCTTACTAACATAAGAATCAGAGTTATACCTCACTGCCGAATTATTCACGGCTTTGTTCGGCTCTAAGCGGACCAATCC